ATGGCAGAACGGGAATTCTGGAAGCTGGAGGACATGTGACACAACACGCATGTGCTCTGCACTAGCAGAATTGCATTGGAGAATCATATGTCTTTTGTTTCTTGTGAAGCCCACAGTGGTCAGATCACTCCAAGCAAGTTCCCCACATGGTTTTTTTTTCCCCGTTTTTCGATGGGTTTCCGAGGTCAAAAGAACTGATGGTGCCCAGCGCTCCAGGTACGAACTCTTATTCCAGCTGGTGCCCATTGGAGAGACCAAAAAGGAGGATCGACTGGGACTTCATGCCTTTCCCACGCGTGCTCACCGATTGCAACGCTGGTTTGGCGTGAGGCATTTTCTCATCCTCAGAGCTTCGGGCTGGACCGGTGTTGGTCAAGGGTGGTTGGTGGCTCTGGCTTGGGAGTGAGACCATCCATGGGACTGGCCGATCAGTTTGCCGATCAGTTGGGGTGGTTGACCTGGGGTCAATGTAGGCATATCTTCCATAGATGGATGGTCTGGAGGAATAGAAGCATGTTCTTCCTGTATCTAGCTTCGACTTTTGTGGTACATTTACCCAGAAACCGATTTGTGGCAATTTGAATTCTATCCCGGAGTTGGAGAAAGCAGATGTACCCTTGAGAGATATTCTGACGTCTGACAGTCTGATCTTGACATGTTTGCTGAAAACATCTTCAATATCAAACAACTAAGGCATTAACAACCACAACATTGATCTGGACAGCGCCCGAACGCTCCTCAGTGCAGCTGTTTTGGCCACTGCAGCCGTGCCTAGGGAGCAGAGCCAGGGGAGCAGAAGCAAGTTTGGCTTTCCATTGGTCGTACATGTGGACGTCACACAGTTTCTTGGTATCTGGTTGTTGAATTCATTTATCCCGATGGGCATCAATATGGTATGAACTGTTCGTTGGCCTCTCCTTCTTATGACCCAGCAAGGCTTCGGTGCCGGTGCCGACTGCCGGACGACCGGGACCTCGACGATCGGACGACCCGGACGACTCGGACGCCCCAGTGAGGTGCCCTTGAGACCGCGCTTGAGCTGTTTCGTGCCCGTGGAGGGTGGCCGCAAGCGGGTCTTGGGCGAAGCCCTCCATGGGCGCCGCACCATCTACTGCCACTCGGATCTGGAAGATCCTCCTCGCGTGGTGTGTGTGTTGGGGAGGAGGAGTTAATGGGTCATGGAGTCATCGAGTCATCCAAACTTGTGAAGAGACTGAGCCACAGTCCCCAAACACACAAAATAACATTAACAGAAGAAAGCAACGACGAATATTGATCACACGTTTTTCTTGTGGTCATTCTTTTGTTTCCTATCCGACAGTGTAATTAAGCCGTTTCTTCAGATTAAGACGTTCCTTGCCTTCCGGCAGCACATTTTGTTGAGGGTATTGTGCAGTGCAGGGGTACGCAAGTATTGTCTCTTATTCTCTTATGGCACAGTCGATTTGATAGCTGCCAAATGGGGCACGCATATATAGGTTCCTGGTTTTGTGTTTCACGCGTCAAGTGATCAACTCAGACTACGTCCCAAGGTTTTCTCTCCTTCAATGAAGGTGTGAGGACTAGGTTGACTCAACCAATTGAGCGGGTGTGATGAAGTACTGCATCATATTCTTACTTTGTGTCAGACATAGATCGAATTTCCAACATTTTCCAACACAGTCTGATGTTTCTTTTTTTGGGGGGATTGACTTTTCGGATTGGGCACATAGAATCCTAAGTGATGACTTAAGGCATACGTTTGTCTGCCTATTTGAGCTTGGAGGCTCTCCCCCAACAGAAATCTTCCAAACCGGATCCTTCCTGTTCCTTGCTGTCTGAACCCAGTTTCGCTTCCCCCGAAACTGGGGGTTGGTCTGAGTGCTCTCCCTCTCTCTCTCTCTCTCTCTCTCCAACCTCCGCTGGCAACCAGCCAGCCGTGCTTCACGCCGTGCTGCCACACACGCGGCAGCGGTCGTCGCCGTCGCTGCCTCGGTCAGGTACCGATTTGCACAGCTCGGTGCAGCCGTCGCTGGAACACTTGGCGGGTCTGTCGGACTTCTTCCGCCGCAAGGTGGAGGCCGAGGTGGGCGATGACAAGGAGCGCAGCTGGTGGCCGAGTGGGCGCGGGATGGGTCGGGCGCCATGGCGCAGAGTGAGATTGGAAAGTGAGATTGGGATGTTAAGTGAAGTTCACCACCCCATTGGTCTTTTTTTGTTTTTTTGATGCTTTCTTTTTTGATGGGGCTTGAACATATCTTCTGGAATTTGCATTGACTGATGAGAGTCTAGAAGCTGTGAATCGACTTGTGCGGCTCTGTGAGAGAGTTTTCGCCCTGGACTTACATTGCGGGCTAGACAGGTCAACATGCCCGGGTGCCTGTGTGCCCAAAGCTGCCTGCGTTGGAGGTTGTGGTGAGAGAGGAACGAATCAGTTGGTGCAGTTGTTGCATTTGCTTACTAAAGAGTTTTGTTCTGGTCTGTGTTTGATTCAATCGGATTGAGACATGGATTGACCCGGATTGCAGCCCCCAAAAGCCACCTTTGCACCGAGGAGCCATGCACCATGATGGTGGGAGTCCGATTTACCTACTCTGCAGATCACTTTGACACTTGGTCACTTGACGGCTGAACATCAGCGCCTCCAGCGATGCCGAGCCCTCGTCGGTTCTAACACGGGCCATGCGACGACCAGTGACATGATCAAAGAGTGCAACTCACGAAGTCTAGGGTTTCTGCTCGGAGGGGAATGGCTCTCCTTTAACAAACTGTTTTAGAGCGGTTATTTTTTGGGGTCACTTCCATTTCTTTCCTTTGTCCCCTGTGTGTGTGGATACTGAGGCAAGTCGACGGCGAAGAGGGTGAGGATGCGATTGAGTCCATGAAGCTTCATTGTTTGTGGTTCCTCAGCTGAACCAGCCATGACTGAGTGGAGCAGCGAGCTCCACTTCCATGTTATGTGAGAGTTGCAGACAGTATGAACCGGTTGATTTGTGCTGACAGACCGTTCACGAAGTCTGTCCAAGACCTCGAACATGAGTATGGCGATCTTCTGCTGGGTCTGTGCGTTGATTGATACTCGCAGTGCTCCATACACTCTCTGAAACACATCCTGAACTCATCATATTGAAAGTAGATGGCATAGGCCCGATTTCGGATGACCCATTTCCTCTACGAACGTACCATCCACTTCCGTGCTTCTTTCAGTGAGTGTACTTGCTGTGAAAGCGAAAGCTTCAGCTGCCAGGAACGCTTTGGGTCGAACTGGATGAAACCGTTCACTGAGGCCAGCCTTCCCCCTGGGTGCCTTTGTGGATGATGCGAGGCTTGGAGGTTTGATCACCTGGTCCGGACCACCTTCCCGGTTTCGAAAGCGACTGAGGGGATTTGAGGGTCGATGGCTCAAATGGGGCAGGACAAATCCTGCTCCTGGGCCTTTTTTTTGCTACATAGAGATCCTTTTGCAGGCATTGGTCAAAGGGGGAACGCTCATTCCTCGCTTCTCACTACACTGTGGGTTCTTCGAGCTGGGGCCAATGGCTTCTGTTCGCTCCATCAGTCCCACCAACAGGTCCGACTCCCAAGGATTCCGCCCAGAGGAGTCATCGTCCCAAAGCCTTCCCGCTCCGAACTCCTCTCTTCACCGTTGCCTCGCCGCTTCGATCGCCCGAGGAACTTCTCCGAGCTGGACCCCCGCTCCGCGCCCTACTGGAAGCTGCGCCTGCTGCGCCGCAGCGCCGGCGCCGCGGGCGGCGCCACGGCGCCGCGCACGGCGCGCCTGGAGGCGCTGCTGGGCTTCCGCCGCGAGGCAAAGCAGATCCGCTCGGCGGAGCAGAGCATGCACAGTCAGGCGCGAGTGTTTCTTTCCTCTTTTGTGGGGGTTTGTTGATGTGACACTGGCAGGCAACCGGCATGTGAAGATATGAAGGACGCGATGGTTCAGGTAGATGGAGATGGTGAAGTGGTTTGTCTTATGGCCACCCATCAGTGGCAGGGGTCATCGACAAGACTGGTGCTTTTTCATGTTGGGTTGAGTCAAGTCATCGATGTTTCCTACTTCTGGGGCCCTGGATTGGCCTTGATCTGTCAGACATGTTGGCTTCTTCAAGGTCTCCTCAACTCAACTCTAAGGGTTTTGCATGGTTGGATGCACAACTGTCGAAACACCTTACTTCGGGCTATACTCACCCACCCATCAGTTTGTCGTAAGCACCCATGAGGTGGTGTGAAGAACCTGATGTCGTCATACATCATATTGTGATTATATTAAACCTAGCACTTCCTGTCCGGGTGCCCTGTCTGGAGACCTGTTTACCTAGGGTAGGGTAGTCTAGCCCGCCAGGACACCCATGTCCAGGATGATCCTGAGGTATTGTTGTTTGCTGTCGTGTTTGGGGTCGGGACCCCCGTTTTACAGGGGACCAGTCCACACATGTCCACACCCCTCTGTCCACACCCGCCACGTGTCGGGTGCTGGTTGACGCCGACAGTCGGCCGCGGGGTGGCAGGTGCCGAAGACGGCCATGGCCTCGTTGACGGCGGCGATCCAGGAGTCCTTGGAGTCCATCTTGCTGCCCACCGCAGGCGGCGCGTTCCGATGGGGGAGATGGGCGAGCTTCCAGCCCGTTCGCGGTTCGCGTGGTTCAGGGATGTTCAGGGTATAAGATAAGATTATAATGAGTGTCACAGCAACGGTGGTATTTCTTTGGCGAAACCCCCGTCCCAGCAACGGCCCCAACTCGCACCGGTGAGGCGAAATGCTCTCCATGACCGATCTCTGCATGTCCCTCCCGGTGGTCCCACGGCGCGCCGATCTGAGCGCCACGTGCGACCTGGGCAGTGCGGCGGGCGCGCGACGTGGAGGGCGCCTGGTGCAGATGGCGGTCTTGAGCGCCAAGATGCGGTGCTTCAAAGGATCGGAGTGAGGGGCAATGATGGGGTGACGGGTGGATGAAAGGCGGGGGTCATGTGGTCATGTGGAAAAGGATGGAAAGGAGGTGCACAGGATAATATATATATATATATATTTAAGATATGATATATTGACATTGAATCCTTAGATTCAAAGGGAGAACAGGGTGACTGGGTGATGTGATGTTGTTTTAGTGTCCGGAATGGGATTCGTGGTGTTCATAGTTTTGGATGCCGGTGGGAGAAGGACAGTTGAAAACACCCAATACACTTTGGTTTGTCATACTGTAAAACTCAAGTTTTTCAATATCTTGATGTGTTCTATATGGTGTGAGGTGTGAGTTTCAGTTATGGAGCTTATTATTGGAGTTCACAACTCATGGGCACCTTTTCTGATTGAGGAGCTGTCATGCTGTGGTGCAGCATGCTGGCGCGCATGCGCCGGCACTTTGGCAGTATGGTGCCGTCTGCTCAACCAGTAACCAGATGAAGCTGCTGGTGAAATTGGAAACTGCATTACGAAGGAGTTCTTCACCTGTAGGTTTGTACGTGCCATAGAAGTATAGATGAGGACTACCTTATAATCACATTGTCTGCTGCTTGGTGTAGGCATCAAAGCAGATCATCGAACGCTTTTGAAGCAGTCTAGTATCTCTTTGGCAACGGATGCTAGACTGCCAGCGTCCTGAATAGTTAGGATAGACGGGTGTCCTTTTTGGGGATCACCGACACATTCACAGGGTCCATGCTACCTTGGTTCGTCGATCTCGCACCCTCTTGGCAAGAACAAGGAAGAAACTGTTACTTAATGCGTTTGACCGAAAAAAATAAACAAACACGAACTAAAAAACACCATGGTCCCCAAAACGTCACACTTTCGCACCAAGCCCATGCTCTCAAGCCATGCGCAGGAACCGAAGGAACAGGGCATCAAGTCACCAAAAGCGCCCTCCGTTGTCTCCGGTCGCGACCGGTCCAGGCAATGGGATGCTTTGGAAGCTCCCTCCGCGGACTCTGCTATGGCCACCACTTCTCGGCTGGATGCGTCCGCCAGGACAGAGCTCTTTGACAGTAGCAGCTGGGACAGTAGCCCAAAGGAAGCCAAACAAAGCCACCTAACCAGGAGTCACAAAGGGGTGGTGTTTAGTCCCTAAGTGAGTGGATCATGGGCACCCCTATCCTCCAATAGGCACCCCTTTGTGACTCCTGGAAAGGAGATCTTTTTGCCCGGTTCCTCTTATAGCGGTGTTTGAGTGGTTTGGCTTTTTCCCATCAACCTCTCCAAGGACATGAAAACATGTCACCAATCGCCCTGACGGGCACCGTGGAGTTGTTGGTAATATGATCCTGTTGGCTATCACCTTTGGCTCGAACCGACCGAACGTCTTTCGGAGTACAACTTCTTCTTCTTCTTCTTCTTTGCAGCCCTTCGACTCATCGCGTGGCTTGGAACCTTCTTCACGTCAAGCGAACGTTTGAGGCATGTGCCTGGCGCAGCAGAAGATGGAGCTTCTCGAGCGGAGCATCCGCGCGAAGACATCGAGCGCTGCGCTGTCCGCTCCGTCGGCTCGCGCCGCGCAGGGCAGCTTCGTGTCCCGGCCTTCGCGGCTTTTGCCGCGTTCCGCGGGTGGAGCTGTTGAAGGGTTTCACCGGGAATGGATGAATTTTCCCTTGTGTCCGGGATTGAAGAAATGGGTTCAACTCCAACTTTCAGTTGGAATCAAGCACATGGGTTCTAGCTGTGGCCGTTGAACCTCATCCCACTGCTTCACCGCACCTTCCAGGACTTGGAGAGCCTATAGTCAACAGTGCTGGTTAGTCCGATGGGAAAGCAGCCAGTGGGAAGTGGGTCGCAGAGTAGTAACAGTAACAGGGTGAAGTCAACCCGAAGAAACACCCCCAAACTAGAAGAAACCAAAGAAACGGTCCTGCAGCTTGTTACCAATCCGGAGTCTCTGAAATACAGATGACATGAGATCGTTCAGAGCAAGACCGTCCAGTGCCTCGAACAGACCAATTCCTCCCCCCCAGACCGCACGCTGTCCATGTCCATCGGTGTCCGTCCTGTCCAAAGGTGAGCCGCAACGGCCGCAGGAACTGCGTGGTGGCCGGGCGAAGAAATCCGTCGGTGGAGGGACGGCGATTTGGACCGGATGGTGGAAGGAGAGTCAGAGGAGGATGAGCGACCCGGCCGGTGGATCCACCGACCCGGTCGTGCAAGACACCTGGAGGACCTGGGGAGAGAAGCGGCGGCTTTTTTGGTTGGGAGTGGTGCCACCAGACAGCTAGCGCTGATAGGCCACGTATGTTGGTTTAAGTTTGTTACTTACTATCAAAAAGATTCCTGAGGTGGTCTATGTTAGGCTTTATCCAAGTAACTCTTACGGACTCTTACGTTGATCACCCAAAACAAAAGACACCAAACAACGAGGTACACTTCCAGTGGTCAACAAAGGGGATGATCACTTCGACAACCTAGTCTGATTCCAGAGTTCCAGAGTGTGATGTCAAACTTGAAACCTGAGACTTTATACTTTTTGTGTCACCTTGACTGCATAGATTTTATAGGATCAACAGCAAACAAGATAAATCCAGGACACCCCTCCTCTCTTGGCAGTGAACGGTGGGATCTCTACTAATTAACATGCGCTTTTCTAATTTTTAGGGCATGTTGCCTTAAACATCCAAGCCCAAAAACGCGGGGGGGCGGCCATCCCATCCTTCGTCTCCATCGACCGGGTCAGCCCCGCTGTCCCGTCCCAAGGTGCCTTCGCTGCTGTGCCCCGCGCTGCTCACCGAGGACTTACGGCTGCAGCGACAGATGGCGGCCGCCGGCCTGGCCGAGCAGAGCGCCGAGCGCGCGGAGCTGAGCTTGGGCAAGGAGATGCAGGCAGATGTGGCCGCCTTCAAGGCACAGCCCGCTGGAATGAGGAAGGAGGGTGGGGACTCACAGGTGTGGAAGTTGAGTTTCATGTGGTAGCTTGGACATGGCGGCACCTGATAGCGTGCCATGTGTTTTCACACACTCATGCTCTTTTTGTTACAATTTTTCTCCACAACCCCGCACGTCTGCTGAGCGAACTGCCGGGGGCAAAGAGAACTGCGCCGCTCCCTTGCCAGGCAGAGAACATGGAAGCGGACTTGGAGGATTTCCTCCAGTGGCGCGAGGAGATTGAAGGTTTGAGTGACCTGGCATGAGTTCTGCGGTCGAGAAGAGTCTTCAGAAGGACAAGTTCAGAACGTTCATTAGTTTGTTTGGTCAAGAGTTTCAGTTCTTCCTTTCAACATGCAAAAAGATGCAAAAGGAGCTTACGTCGTCGATTTGGTGACACCGTGAAGAAAGAGAAGAACTCAACGACGATGAACAAAAAAGGGGAACAACCACAGGCCCCTCCGCCCCTCCGCTCCCGGCGGCTCCAATAGCTCGTTCGACCAGACCCTTGAAAGCTCGTGCGCTCGTGCTGCGTGTCCCACGAACCGCAAGTTTCGTCGATCAACGATCACTGATTTGGAGATGGGAAGGTCGGCCTGCAACTGAGGCTTCTCATCCACGGAACCCCCCACTGCCCCCCCGCCCCAAACTGACTCGAGACCGACTCTCGACTCGACTTCTCCCCGGCGGCGACGGGAGACACTCGGCGGGTGACGCCCACCGACCGACCTGTCGGTGTGTCGCCCTTTGTCGGCGTCGGTGAAACGAAGTGGCGACACCGACCTGTCGGAAGAACTGCTCGTTTCATGGGCCTCTCCCCTTTCGTGTTTTGGTGCGGCGCGAAAGCAGAAAGCGGAAATGAGGTATATACGGTATATATAGTTAGTTATTAGGTCGTCCCAGAAATTGGGGCTCCAATGGTCGTAGACCTGGCTACCATCTAAATGAAGATCAAACACTTCCTGCTTGACAGGGTCGTTTTGATGTCCGCCGAACTTGGCGTGGACCAATATGGCACACCACCTGGGTCGGTGTTTTGCAACGAAGGCAATGGTGGCTTCCCGCGAGCATGGCTTGAGAAGCTGTGGGAGCAAACAGATCCTAAGTTGGCCTCAGAGCAACAGAAGAGGCCGGGCCAAGAGAGGTTTCATGGGTTTCAGGGCCGTTCCCATTCAACAGGGAAAATTGGGTGCAGTCAACCCATTGGCTTCCATTGAGCCAGCGATTTGAGGGCCTTTTTTTTTGGTCGACCTTGTGACTTCCATAGAGGCGCCCAATGTTTGGACGTGGCACTTCCATGTATACTCCCCAGATCTCCCCAGTATACTTGCCAATACCCGAAATCGTGGAGTGTGATACGTCCTCCGTGACCTCCATTGCCTCCTGCTTGAGATGGGATTTGGATGGAGAACGGTTTGTGCAGCTTAGTCAAGAACCTAGAAAGACTCGGCGGTTTAGGACGTAGGGACATCCAGCCATCCGATCATCATCCGATCATCAATTCCACTGTGAGGCTTCATGTGAAAACTTGGAGGTTGAACGCCATAGGCTTTGCTTGAATGCATTAAATGTAAGACAACCACAAAGCTGCATGACAGCGAGCAAAGCGTGCACTTTAAGGCCCTTTTCCACGGTCAGGCCATTCCACGAGAACTGCACGGGATCATTTTAGCATCATTTAGCCGCTAAGAGCATTTTGGCAGCCCACTCAGTTTGCCGTGGAATTGAAATTGGAAGACAATTTCTTTTTGGACTGTTTGAGAACTGGTGCCCTCATGTGCCCCAAACTTTTCCTTTTGGTGTTGGGCTTGGCGGAAAGCCTTTCTGACCCCCCACCCTCCCCCCCAAAAAGAACCCGAAAACCTTTCGCCCCTTGTGCTCGCTCGCGATCCCCTCGATCTACGATCGCGGAAAGGCTCTTCGATCCCTTCCGCGACGCCGAAATGGCGCTGCACTACTTGGCCGCTCGGCCCGGTACCCGGCGGAGGCGTCGGCCGAACGTGGGCGCGCGCCGCGGACCGGACCAGTTCGGTCGAGTCCGGGGAGAGATCGGTGAGACCGAGAAGCGAAAAGACTAGGACCCACTGTCGGGGTGGTAGACATGGACATCCCGAATCACCTCTAAGGGGCTATCAATAATCACCCCTTAGGGTGTAACGTATAGATATCAAGAAACACGGATGAGAAGACACTCGGAAGAAACAGAGCCTGGTCCAGTCTATAATTGGGCACGGTGGGGGGCACCCGTGGATGGATCCTGAGCACGAGAGATGGTCCACCGCAGAAGCGAGATGAAGCTGAGATCCTGGTAGTGGTTGTGACATGTTGTGACTGTCCGGACATCTTCAGCATGGTGTGTGCACGTTTCTTGACCGTCCCTCATGTGTTTCTTGTTATTTTTATAGGTTTCAATCACATGCTCCAGTGAGGAAAGCATCGAGGGGCCCCAGCTGCTCCTGCAGCTCTTCCGCGTCTTGCTGCGCAACACCCTCGAGGACCGAAGCAAGCGGCGAAGTCGAACGCGAGGTCGAACGTTGAAGCGGAAGTCATCAGGTCTGGTTCTTACACGACATTCTACATTCAGAGTGGATGGCACCAGTTTGTTGCCCCAAGGTTTGGTGCGTGTAAAACGGACCCCATCCAAAAGACGTCATTATATATATAGATCTTGGGTTGCCAGTGCCATCTATATACTCTGAAAGCACTGCATAGCCTTTGGAAGTGGGTCATGTACATTGTTCTCATTGAGGATTACGCATTTGCGGAAGATTCGAAAGGGGTCCAGATGGAGCTCTCTTAGGCCCTATAGCCTTTTTGTTGCTATCTTTCCTTTTGGAGACTCATTGTTCTCAGGAGTTGAGCGATGAGATGGCCGAAGCCGGCAACCCAACCTACCTCAGAGTGCTTCGCGACCGTGCCCTGTCAGCGAAATGACCCGTGCTTCACCAGGTCCCAAGGGATGACTTCGCCCGTACGGCCGTGCTTCGGGTGCTGGCCAGGAGCCCCGTTCGTAGCGTCCTTGCTCCTATACATGTTTTTCATCATGAGAGACTTGAATGGGGACCCCCCAACTGCATACCCCCTCCTGTGATTCTTATTTGGACATGTTTTTCATGTTTTTTTCTGGATGACAAGATGCCACCGCAGGCGTACTTCTCTCAAGCAAATCATGATTCTTCTCATGGCGTACTGTGCCCTGTTTGGCTCATCGGGAAGGTAGTGAGATGTACATCCATCCCCCTGCTCTCGGGCCAACTTCTGAAGAAAGAAAGACACACCAGGATCCTCCTGTTTGGGTGTCCCTGGAGGTCCAGTCGAGCAGTGGGCTGTGTAGTCGGATGCCCAGACAGGATGACCTAGGTAGGAATTGGATGGAATTGGCCCAAAAAGCCCGCCAACCTTTGGCCCTAAAAATCTGCGGTTTTGCGGGTCCCGACCCCTAAGAGGTCGTGTCCAACCCTTCGCATGGAGGACCCAAGGATTCTTAGGGTGGATCCTCTCAGGTTATTTGTGTCGTTTTTCGATGTTTTCATCCGATGCTTCCAGCGAAAAGCCGCCCGATTTCGCGTCCGATTTCGCGAGTCCGATTGTTTTTTTCTCCTTGACATTTGGACTTTGCATGACTTTGCGGTGTATGAAAATATAGGGAGACTGACACCAGGTGTTCGGACCACCTAAAATGGTTTGGGAACATCGACCTGTCTACTACATACCATAGTCTAGTCTACCGGGGGCGAGCAAACACACACCTGCCAGGAACCTTTATGTCTGCCAGACATTTTGGGCACGGACGAACAAACAGGGATTCCCGGGCAAGAACGAGTTCAAGTGGATATGATGTTACATGCTATCTACCCTATCCACCAGAGGCGAAACCTAAACCTTGAGATTGCCCAAAACAAGAGCAACACACGAACAAACACACCAAAAGCCCTGGGCAGATAGCTCCTTCTTGGATGCTCGTGAAACCTCTTGAGGTGTGGTGTCTACCTCTCTGCAAGCCTTTCGCTGGAAGAGCAAGGAAGATCAGGAGGAGGTGGACGTGCAGGACTGATGCGACCCAAGTCTGAAAAGCTTCCAAGAGCCTCATGGGGAGTTGGCACTCATTGGAGAAGGCCAACATCCAGCTAGGAAGTGAAGGTCTTTTGCCAGCACCGGGGGCTTGACAAAAGTTTTGCATGCAAGGTGTAGGCGGGACCGGGCGACCTCAATATTACCAAGGGCCGTGAAAGGATACTGATGTGTTGAGGCTCATATAGATAGTCATAGATACTGAGGTCACGGTCTGCTTGAATCAACGCAACCTCAGGCTCATCAGGAGGGGGGAAGTACCTTCTCCTGCTCCAGTGCCCTCCGCCGTGCCGTCCAATGTTCTAAGACCTTTGCTTCAGGCCACCTTGGAAGAGCTGACGGAATTCCCGGAGGAGGAGAGCCGAGCAGAGCCCTGGGTCCTTGAGAGGATGGTTCTGGGTTGGAAGAAGCTCCCGCGGAAAAGGGGCAGAGCCGCTCGAGCCCTCGAGCGGCGTGTTCGGCCGAATTTGTGGGGCTTTGGCCGATCTGCACTCACAGCTGAAGATATTCACTGCTGATTCCGAAGCCCCCCCTTAAGCCGCCCCTTAAGCCCCCTCAAAGCCCCCGCTCAAGCGCTTTGATTCTTGTTGACCATCCGCTTCGACCGCTTCGATTGGACCCTCGGTGGTCTCCGGTGGACACCGCGGTCTGGCCTCATGTCCGGCCAAGTCCTCGGCTCCGGTGGACACCGCCAATCCAACGGGTCTGTCCTTTCTTCGCCAGGAGGACTTGCAGAGCATCCTTGCAGCCATGGAGGTCCTGGAATCGTCCACCAGACGCTGGGGTTTGTTTTGGGGATGTTTGAGTATTTGTCTATAGTACTGTTTTAGTACCGAGCTGAGCCTAAGCTGGTTTTTCACAATCAGCTTTTGGGATCCATGAATGGCCGAGCGGCTGTTGAGCGGCTGTTGAGCAGGGTTGGTTGCAGGGCGACGTTTTTATGATGTTGTTCTCGCCTCTGTTTTTTCATATCCCAAGCCAAGCTCAAATCCTGATGCTATGCAAAGTCGAACACCGAGTAATGCGTGTGGAGGTGTGACATGGGCATCCCCAACTTCAAGCTGTTTGTTTTCCTCGTAGGAACGTTCATGATCTTCTGAAGCAGCTGATTCAAAACTCCCTGTCAGCGGCTTCCCACAGGCTTCTTTCAGAAAAGCAGCCTCGCGGTCTCTTCCCACCGAGGACTGGCCTTCTCGATCAGGGCCAAACTGGGGGACCACGCGGATGGGTTGCTCGAAGATCTCCTTAGCGAGGGCGAGGTGGGGGCGGAGGAGGGCGGTGGATGGCGGAAGTTTCACGCTACACTCTCTCTCTCTCTCTCTTTGTTTATTTGTCTGCCTGCCTGCCTGCCTGCCTGTCTGCCTGCCTGCCTGCCTGCCTGCCTGCCGGTTGGACGTGGCAATTGATTCACAAGTGACCTGAGGCGACATCACTGAAACGAAAGCCGGGTCCAGCGAGCATCACTAGATCCGAACGCTTGATTGCTGGGTGGCTCAAAGAAAGCGATCTCGAACTGGCCCAAGACTCTCTTGTAAAGGAAAGATCGACCCCAAAGCACCAATGGTTTATGAGGGTCCAATGAGCCTTTAGAATGCAAGGAAACACACATATATAGTGCCGGGGCCCGGGAACTGGGGAACCCTCTCACGTCGGCCCTAGCACGGAGAGCATCGTGGCGAGGCCGACGTGACTCAGCCGGACCAGCGCATGGCCATCGAGCCACTTGGTGGAAGAGCTCGATCTGCCACCGATCATTGCAAAGTGAAGAAGGGAGGCCTCGCAGTTCCAGTTTCTCTCGGGATTCACGGGAAAAACGGTTGATAAAGCCCATGACAAGGTACTTCTAAGTTAATTACTCCACTTCCGGCAAGATCCCCTCCCAGCTAGGAACCTCTTCGAGCAAAGCCGCTGGCTGGAGTCGCAGCTTGATGGACCCCGGTCGCGGGCGCAGCTGGCACGGGCGCGGGTGCAGCGGCCAGGGCAGGAGCGGCTTCTGGGCATCTTCGAAAGCCTGCCGCTGGCGAAGGAGCAGCTCAAGATGCAGGGATGGGGTCAAGAGGATATAGAAGTCCAGATGGCTCGGGATTTGCTGTTGGTTTTGGATAGAAAGAGAGGTAAAGAAGTGTGTGTAGGGGTCGTCACACGGTTCTCATAATAAGTATCCAGAAGAAAGAGGCCCATGGGGTCCGTTTATGGCACACCCTTCAGGATACGACAGAGTTCCGTTTTTCGGCGCCTGATATCCGATCATCCATTGAGAATCGTTGAATCACGGTGGCTCGTTCCCGGATGTCAGGTTTCTCAGGTAGGAGATGGTGGGACTTGACATGACTGCAAAGCTCTTTCAGGCTCAAAGCACTGCCTCCGAGGTTTGTGCTTCAACTGCAACCCTGCGAGACGTCCAACACCCACCGCATGCGTCGCATGTACGCGGAGGTGCGGGAGAACCACATGCGCTTGGCCTTGGTCAGGGAGCTGAGCTTCAGCTAGTCGGTCACCGTCGCACCGCACTGGAGCGATGCCTTCGACCCGCCCCGGTGGCGCCACGCGGCACGGGGCGTCAGCAGTTCGACCCGGGGACGAGAGGACAGCGGAGTCGGACGTCGAAGCGGAGGACGGAGAAGGCGGAGGAAGCGGAGCGGAGGACCGGCGCCACGCGGAAGGAGAAAGGAGAAAAGGTTGCGACGTTGAAGAGTCAAAGGTTCTAAGGAAATTCAAGATCGAGACTGAGCCGTCCTTGGATGTGCTTGGATGTCGAACACACTGCTGTAACATGCTGCTGTAACCTTTTGAAGTTGGTGCACATGGAATCTACTCTTCCTTCAGGATTCATCATGTTGCAACTTGTCAGAAAATCATCAATTTCATATCATATATATATATATTCATACAATATATATTGCCGAGAATCCTTGCTGGAGCAGTTTGTCTGAAACCTGACAGAATGCTGGGAGTGTTTGGTGCTTTCTTCCTGCCACACGGCCGATGATCATCAAAGGTGACACAGAACTAATTTTGTCATTTGAAGCTAGGTCAAAACTAATTTGCATTCTAAAGTTGGAAAACAACAGTGGCATCCAACACTAGTCACTATAGTAAGATCAAGACAATACTCACTCATCCTCAAGCAGATCACACACACAGGCACGACTCCTAGCCATCAATCCGGCGTTTGTTTGCTTTTGATCAGCATGCTGAGGAACATGGAGGAAAATGGTCTTCCCCTCCTTATCATTCGCCCAAACCTTCAGGATCCCGTCATCCACGTCCGAAGACCGTTCATCCTTCGCCATGACGACAGCGGAACCGTTCTGGGTGGGTCAGGGCAGCCCAGAAAAAAGAGATCTCTTGAGAACGAACGAGCTGCCGCGAATGCGTGGGTCGCAGGGCAGCTGAGGTGAGGGGCAGCGCACATGCAGTGCGCCAATCTTTGGAGGCCATGCGTCATGGAAAATAATGAGACATACGGCGGATGTCGTTCTTTTCCTTTTGTGAACTGGACGTTGTAGCTCGCCTCCTTGAGGTTGAACCTCTGGCAGTTCTGTCCTGCTATTACATATTACATACTCCGTACTCCTCTTCAAAAGGCGGCAAGGTGTCACAGGCTTTGCGCCAGCTGAGGTGAGAGTGAGGCAGGGAGCCTAGAGGGGTTGGATGGCTGAGGTGGGCTGACCTTCGGCCGATCCCAAGCGAGCTCGGTCGGGTCGGTGGGTTGTTCTTTACAAATCAGGGTCACATGGGTCATGTTGCATGGTCACATACCCATTGGTCGTCCCATAGCACCGGCCAAAACTGTTTCAACACCTTCGATTTTTGAAAGAACGCGCTGCGGGGCGGACTTCATCTCGGAACCCACATGAAACGGATGAACGGATGTCTGGGAACGGACGAACGGATGCCGGATGATGTCTGGCATCAATTCGGGTTCGTGGTTCTAGACTGGGGAGCAGTTGAAGATCGGAACGTTTTTGCATCACATCATTCATGAAGGGTGTGGATCGAGCAGGTCGTTTCAGGCAGTCCAAAGGTGACCGCCCTTGTCTCCGAACACGGCGTGTATCTGTGTATCTTGCAGTTTCAGGAACAACGACACGGAGTCTTGGACCCTCGGGACAAGTCCTGGTAATTACAGGCTTTGCCTTAACAGGAGGACTCAAAGGAACTCATGGAACGCACGCGTGCTTTCTTCTCCAAGAAGGACTATGTGAATGCTTTTACACTAGCTGATGGACTGGAAACCTCTCAATGATGGCCTTCGTGTCTTCGCATACGCTGGAGCCGTGGACATCTTTTTTTTTGATAATTTTTGACGCATGACATGTGTTGTGGGCCAACATTTTTTTGTCATGGCTTTTGGCCAGAATCCGGTGTTGAGAATCTGATAAGAACTGATAAGAACGGCAGAGTTTTGAGAGGCAGAATGTCACTCACGATTCCTGTCCCAATGCAATGTACGAAGAGAATGAAGGACCTAAGGTGCAAGGATTTGCAGGAGAAGACAGAGGACAGAGTAATCATACAGCCCTTCTTCACGATAGAATCTGATATTGAGGTTTTCGAGACCCGTGTCACTTTTTTGAACACGATTCCCATATGTACTCGAACTATCTCGCACTTGTGAGCGGGGAATCAGATAAATTCCATCAAGAAACTCCTCCATTACGCCATTGTCAACACCGCGCCCTCAGTTGGACCTTGCGCCCTTCGTCCTGGGAGCGCCTCAGCTGAAAGATCCTTTGGGGGTCGTTGACGCGTCGAAGCCTTGGGTCGATGGGTCAAAGCCTTGGGTTGAAGGGTCGAAGCCTTGGGGGGACGACCAGCGACCCAAAGACGAAGCGATGGCATTTTTGAGGTCGGACAAAGCTTCCAAACCCCTAAGAGAGCTGATTCTAAGCGTCATAATGGCACTGGCACCCCAAGATGACTTAGACAGATGGGGGTCCACTGCTAAACCATAAACCAAACCACCAAAACTTGGGGTAACTTGTGCCATCGAACCTCTCAATCCACATGTAAAACGCATGCAAATCCAAATCTCTGAAGGCAGATTGGCTCCGCAAAGCGCTGCCGTTTCTGTTTCATGGCATGCGAACACATACAGCTTCTGAATCGAAGGAAGGACATGGATGAACGTGATTTTGCCACCCCATGGAGGGTTTTCGGTGTGGGTGGCAAAATCACGTTCATCCATGGATGGGTTTTCGGTGTGGGTGTCAAAACAGTCGGGTTTTCGGTGTGCGGCGATGCTTGGAAGTACTGAGGGTACTGAGGATCTGAATTGGGATGGTGCTGGTGGTGGTGGTCAATTGGCAGCGGCTATTTACACTCCTTTTCAAGGATCTTAAGCAGAGGTGAGCCGAGAACGACAATCACCTGCACACGAATTACCTAGAGGCTTCAAGATTAAGGCCACCCAAAGAATTGTACAGTTCATAGACAAAACTCCTACACCATTCAAATCAGGATGCCCCACACACTAGGGCAAGTCACTTGGTGTCTTCCATTTCAGTACACTTCCACGTGGCTGGGAGATTTCCGGCTGGAAGCGACTGAAGCTCCGTCGCAACTGAAGGTCTCCAGATTCCCGAAGCAGCAAGACAAAGTTCCAATTTACCACTTTCATCCACTTTCTGAAATAGGCCAGTCTTGGTTGGTGATCTCTGTTTGTACTGGACTCTCCAACCAGACAGCATCACCTGATTGACACATACCCAACGAGCGGGGCCTACGGACTTGCCACATGTGGAGTCGGGCGGGCCTACGGACTCGCCCCGCCTTGGCACTTGTTCCTGGCTCAGTTTCAAGGGAGTGTTTCCATGTTTTTGTGTGACATGCCACAGAATGACTCCCCAAGCTTGGCTGCGCACCACAAATACACGTGATTTCGTAGGCTCAGTTGGCGCGATTTATGATTCCGATTTCTTGGCCACAGCTCTACAATCAACTTTAACTTTAGCTCATGATCCTACTACGGATCTTTGCACACCAGAATTGAAGGTCTCTGAAAGCATCGACATTGTGCACTTGCACCTGCCAAACAGGCACCTGTAGAAACACCAGGAACCAACACTTCTTTCAGACAACCTGGCAGCAACAGACTTGTGGATTTGTTGCACGAATCAACATCATTGGACAAGTCAGTGGCGACAACTATTCAGTCGATTCATCGCTGGCTCATGGTGGCAACTGCGCGGGCGTGACATGGGTGGTGCATGAGGCAGTGAAGGGTTGGGGTGAGATTTGGAAGCCTTAGTTTGCTTAGGAAGTCATGTCCATATTCAAACATCATGAATGTTTCAGTATTTTTATTGATTATCCGTTCCAGAAGGGTTCCGTCCAAAAAAGATTCTCAGTGGTTTTGGTCTGCGACTTTGCATCGTGCAGGTCCGGAAGCAAACGGGATACCTGGAGACTGGAGGAACCAGAGTCCAGGACTTCGACGAAGCGCCAGACGGTGCATGGAGACTTCGAGCGCCCGTTCGCCCGAAGCCCATCGGACGATGAAGAGCTTCCAGTGATCAGCAGGAAGACCAGCAAGAGGAACACATGGAGGAAGGATGATGACGATGAAGCACTTCCGGTGATCACCAGAAACACCAGCAAGCGCAATACATGGAAGAAGGATGATGACGAGGCTCCTAGTTTGAGCAGGAAATCCAGCAGAAAGCGCACCTTGAGGCGGGGTGGTTGAGTTGAAAAGGCTTGAGCTTTGAGCTATGTCGCGCCCGTTTGGGCCCACGATCGATCGATCTAGACCCGCACAAAAAACATGCAGCCCTCGGTTCGCATTCAAGCCGTGACCCCCAAACAGATCAAATAGAAGCAGGAAAGACTGATGTATGGTGGAGACAAACAAAAGAATATATTAAGAAGGGTCCAGAAGGGTCCCGGTTGTTTTCCCTTCTGTTTGGGCGTGGGTTTACAATGGTTTACCTTCTTGAAGGATCCACGTGCCGAACCCACCGATGGCTTGCGAAGCCTGCGATGCCTCACAGGCAAAGCTTCAATCAGGCGCGCCGCGACCGGGACACGGGACGTGCCGGTCCCTGGCGACGTGGTGACAGGTGGCGACGTGTGGCGAGGTTGTAGTCGTGAGTGCCTTTCAAAGTCCAGTGAAAGATGGTGAAAAGAGAGGTCTTTCCAAAGAACTCGAAGGTTTTCAGGTTTCCTCAGGTTTCCTGAACTGAACTCGGATCTTCTTCGAAAGGGGTCTTCCAGGTCGATGTCGTCCTGGGGTCGATGTCGGGGTCGATGGTCGGGGTCGATGTCTCGCTGGGGCGGTCGAAGCCATAGACCCGCAGCACATGGAACCTGAGACTTGACCAGTGCAAGAGCAGTTTCCAAAGACCAACCCAGTCAGTGGTTTTGGTGGGTCCATGTGGTCCGAAGAGCAGGGGAGTACACTGTGGGTGTTGCGGTATTTTTCCAGCGACGAGCGTCACTGGGAGCCGTCTCCACTCAAAAAAAACAAGAAAGGCGGAACCATTTATTTGGTTGACTGATGTGTGGTGGGGTTTGAGCCGTTTCCGCCTCCTCTTGAGAGAAACAGCTCAACTTCAACGGATCAAGGAATCAAGTTGCAGGTTGTTTGCCTCTGAGCGAAGAAGTATGAACAACGTCGATGTTTCATCAGGTTTCATCAGGATCTCGCAGGCTACTGGCCAGACCAATGGCTTAAGAAGTTCAAAAAGTGCATCAATCAAGGCCCTCACCAAAAGACTTTGGTCGGAGAGGTCTCACTTCCCCATGTCACTTGTCGTTCGATAAGGCTTGTGTGTTTTGCTGTACGAGAGTGTCCGCGACCATCTGAGTATAATTGAATTGGGGTAGTTGTAAGTTTTCCTTGTTTTTGGAACTAACCCGCAAGGCTACAGATACCAGCCTGTCTTCTTCCCTTGTGGCGGACCCCACAAATGTGGTGGGGGATCCTTTTTTTTGGGTCCCAACATTCCCGTGAAGGAGACGGTGCCGATCGACATGAATGACATGGAAAACCGAATCCACGAGGTGCGACGGACAGCGACGCAGCGACGCGACCGCGACGCGGCCGGTGACTGCGCGCACGACGCAGGGGCGCAGTGCGGTGAAGGTTCATCGGTGAGACTGGAGCGACCCCCCTTCTAGTGGACAACAGTCCCCCAAAAACTCGCAGACCGAAGCTGCATGGAGAAAGACCGAGCCAGGCAGTTTTGAACGGGTGTGTATTAATACTTATATCGTTTTTGTTTGGAATGCCCTTCTTGAACTCCCATCAAGCTTTGTAGATTGATCTCCCGACGGGGACTTTGGACATCCTCATCCCACAAACCCCAAAAGGTGGTTGTGACCATGGAATTGTACCCCAATTCCTTTGGCCGATGGAGGTTTTATGACCCAACATTGGTTGAGGAGGAGGATTTTCTAGATGAGCAATCCGTGTGAACACAAACCAAGATCATTGGCTTTTGTTGGGTGCCCCAAGGCAACCTGGTTGAACAAACTGCCAGCCTCACATGGGATGGCCCATGTCTTTTCTAAATGACCCTTATTATAAGAAGGCCTTCGACTTTTCCCTGACCCTCCCCCGTGGGGTGCCGTCCACAACGCGGAAGCACCGTCTTTCGTCCTCTTCAGGTCTTCGAGATGTTCGACAAGGCGGCGGCGTTTCGGACCGTCCGAGTGAAGGAAGGGCACGGACCCGCCCTTTTGCACTACAGGGACAACTCTCCATACTCATGTGGGCCGCCCCAATCGCTCGCATGCCAACCCCTGTTTTTTGACTCCTCGCCATGGCCTGCTGATCAAAGCTTTCTGTCCTGGAAGGCGCATTTGCTGACTCCACGGAGCGTCGGCTAACAGGGCATGGCGCAGAATGATGCGCGTACGGCATATGGCCTTCGTCACAAACCTTCCCGCGAATATGTGAGAGTTCCAGTTGCGCCGGGCAGGACAACAGCGGAGAACTGGACATGTTGGAGCTGAGAGAAGCACTCTTTTCCTTGTGCCTGGGCCGTGTTCAGGGATTGCAATCGGTCCGAGGCACCCCGCACGCGAAAAGAAAACTACATTAATTAGAAAGGTTCAGACATATAAAGGTTCATTGGAAAGGTACATTTTACTGTGTAGATTCCACTTTTTTGGCATGTAAAGGTTCATGTTCATATGAAAGTGGAACTACATTACAGCCCACGAAGGCCATTCTCACAGTTTTGCGAAGCCAACGCACGTATGCCCCACCTTTTCTTTCGCGAGGGCAATTTGCGTATAGGCAAACAATCCTTGTCTCTGCGTGTTCCAAAACGGTTCGCGAAGGCGACACATCGCGAAGGCAGATGCGAAGGTATGCTTCCAGTGTACCAGGACCCCCAAGGGGTGGTTAATGGACACCCCTTAACAGCTAAGGGGTTATAAATAGACACCCCTCGGAGGGTCCTGGTATAGTTTCGTCACCAAAAAACACTGCTCAACTGGATGAGGTTTCGGTGCAGATCTTCGTCTCAGTTCGGTCGAACTGGGTGACGCGTGACGCAAAAAAACCGTGGACTCTTGGTCACTCATGCAGAAGACGTCAGTGAACTAACTCTATCAATGGTCCATCCGCAAAAGCAGCAGCTCCGGTTTATTAAACCCCTACCACGACCCCCGATGGCTTGCGCTCCCTTCTCTCCACATCACCCAGGCCATGTGTCTGGTCTTTGAGCACCACTCCCCCATCGCTGACATCGAGAGGGATCCCATCCTCCCCATGCTTCGGCCGATAGCCTGACCTACGCCCCTTGATCTTGGTTGATTCATGGTGCCACGACACCAGGTCATGAACAGCCAAGTTCGGTCTATGGTACCTGGGGGATACAACACCATACAAAACCACTCTATTTGGCGTCCCGTTCGTACCGGCCATCACTTTTCGCCCGCCCCGAGGAATCCGCAGTTCTCCGTCACGGAGGTGGCCTTTTTCTGCAAGTGGATCAACGAGCAGCTTGGTGCTTTGTTTCTCAATGACTCGATGAGGATCATGACTTCTTTGTTCATGATGGGAACACAACTGACTCTCTTGACTCTCCTACTGTTTGTTTATTGTATATGAATAGAACCTCTCTCGAGTGCACTCTGGCTGTCACGTGGTTTGCTTCTGAGATGACCCGGTAAACCACTGGCTTTATGGATCTTTATGGTAAGCTAGAGAAAATGATTCTATTTTCCAGAAGGGTGTTAAGCTGACCTGATTGTGGCTCACCGTTTGTTTGCTTACTGTACGTACGCCTACTCTTCCATGACTCCATTATATTCTATGGTGTATGCAGTGCGCACTGCTGGAGAGACCCCCCCCCAGCCTGCAACCAAATGCAGTAGTGATACCCACAGCGCAGTAGAGGCCTTTACTGTCTATTGCTGACCACTATTCACGTGCAGGTGCGAAAGAGTGTCCAAGTCATGGCTACAAACCAAAAAGATCGAACACTTGAGCTGTGCACACCGTGTACATTTCAACCATGTCATTCTAGTATCAAGCTCCTTGTTTGTACCCCCCTCCGTTTCCATTTCCTGCCTTCAGCACCGGTGAGCTTCTTGAACAAACGGATGTGAACCGCCACTCGACCATCCACTCGCTTGACTAAGGACTGGAAATGGCGATGGCCTCGTCTCTCACAAGGACCGTGAGTGAAGGGCTCCGCCAGACCAACGGTGATGTTTGGTTCACCGGCAAGTGGATTTTTCTTGAAACGCTTGAGCCGGTAGAATGAATGTGGTTCGAACAGTTCAAACATGTTTTGCCTCACCTGCCTGTCAGGTGAGGGTTGTTAGATTTTAAGACCTCCTCCGCCTCGTCCTGAACCGCGAGTTCTGGCTGGCAGTGTTCCCCACCGGACCTCAACCGCGAGTTCCCACTTGTATAAAGCAACTCAAAGAAGAAAAAGGAACTCCCAACCACGCAAACATGAAAGAATGTACTTTCAACACACTCCCCCAGCTTGGATGGGATTTTTCGCGTGCTGGCCTTCTTCTGTCTGGCACAAGCCCACCTCCAATCGAGCCAGTCTGGTGAGAGTAGCAGGGTGGGGGGCGTAGATCCAAAGAGACTCCGTGCACGGTCTTGTTCGCTGTCAACTTTCCTCAACTCGCTTGCTCGTGCACATAGAATCCGTTGGGTGTAGAAGTTTTCTCTTGTTGCAACTAGAGTGCTGGGTAGTTGGAGCCGATAATCAACAAAAAAGCGCAGCAGGCTTGCAAGTGGGTCCCTCAAGGTCCCTCCAATCTGTCTTTAACGGCACCAAAGCACGCTGCCGTGAACTCGTGCGTTCGCTTTCAAACGCCCAAACCTAAAGCTTTTCAGGCTTTAGGGTCATCACCTGCGGCTAACCATGCTGCAGAGGATAGAGGAAGAGGTTGATAAGGGTGTCTTCTGGTATTGAATACTGGTGGCTAGGGTTGACTATCACCGTGACTTGCACAGGCTCATGATTGGAGTGACGCTTGTGCTACCGTCATTGCTCCTTGGCCATTGGCCCAAATCTCTCATCAAAACGTTTGTATGCCAAGACTACTGGCCATGCAGGTCATTTGAGCTGGGAAATTTGGTGATGTCCTTCGGGTGCAGTTGAAGACCATGAAACACTGCATTGTCTGCACGTGTTGGGCTTGTTCAGGACTCCCCGGAAGCAGAGCCCGCTGCAGCAGCGGCTCAACAACCCGGCTTGAACTTGATTCGTTTTATGAGTCCCAACCCCCTGATTCTGGAGCAGCGGGTTGAAGCTGTGGAAATGCTGCAGGATGGCGACAATCGCCTGGATTATATAAATTTCCTTGTGGGGGTTATCTCATCTGCTCGCGGCTAGTCACTGAGTACTCAATAGCACTTGCCAGTGGGGTTGTTTGCCAGCTAGCTAGAGCAGCTGGCTGCACATGCCCAGTGAACCGTTGGCTGACGTCCCATACCTCAACAGCGGGGGGACGCGGGGGACCTTCGTCCCGACGTGGCGTCTCGTCCCGCGTTTGCGCCTCGCGACACGCGGCTCCCGACACGTTCGAAGACACACCGCGCGTCGCCCCCGACCCACTCGCCACCTCCGCTGCTGCCAATGGCTGCTGCGAGCGTGCAACCTTCTGCTTCGCCATTTTCTCGCCCGAAACGCAAAACTTTTAGTTCGACCAAAGTTCTGCGAGACCTGCGTTGGTCAGGGGTGGCCTGGGTCCGGACACTTTCCGGTGGATTCATATGACCTGCTAGATCTTTGAGGTGTCTTGCAATTGCTGCAGTGCACTTTCATTTGTGTCTTCCTGGCATGCCCAGGAGTTCATGGACTGGCTAAAAGCTGGGACACCTGCTGCCCAAGAGCTGAGTAGCTTGGAACTCAATTGCGCCTTGATTCTTTTTTAAAAAATCCCCGTTAACATTTCCCCTATGAGTACCTTACAGCTCAATATTTTATATAGACATGTATTGTTTTTAAGAAATGGGCTGGTCATTCTATAGGCTATAGGGGTTCATGGCCTTGTGTCCTAGAAAACTTGATCCGGGAATATCATTTTGTAGAGGTCTGATGTTCTGGAGTCAGTGCAGAAAAGTATTGAAACACGATAACACGCACACTTCTGGATGCCTGACATATCATGTTGATATATATATATACAATTGTGTGGTTTGTGGAGACAGTTCACCATTTTTGCAAAAGAGGCATGGTTGTCATGTCATTGTGTAGTGACCCCAGCTTTGACGATGTTTGTTGGAATGAACCCAACAAGGTTATCTCTGGAACCGCATTTTGTAGTAGTGTGTTTGGCTGTGGGGAGTGCAGAACCGATCATTTTGTAACCAAAAGTAACCTGAGAACTCACAATTCTGTAGAAACTCCCAGGGGGATGCATTTTATACACATGTTTTCTTACAAACATGTATGTCCCCAAGATCACCTCCAAAATTCGAACGGGGATATACGGGATGTTTTTAAAGATCACGGCCCTTTAAGGGCCATTGGGGCCGGCATGGTCCGACCGTTCTTCCGGTGGGACGCGCTGTTTGACGTGGACTCTCATTTGTGCGAGTTTGGGGTCTCTCGAGTCATGTGCGAGTTTGGGGCCTCTGGAATCATGTGCTTGTAATAGTCTGAAAACATGTTAGTAGATTACTTGACGAGTTCTACACATCCAGTGTCAGACTTCACATCCAGCTTGGTGAGTCATTTAGATTCCAGGCACTGTTTGTCCAAGATCCATATGATTACTTGTGAGCAAGACAACCTTAGTTGACGACAACGACTTCCAGTGATCTGCTATTGAGGTCGTTTGAAAGACGGCGTACCAAGACCTCACACTTATTTAAGCACATAGTCTCAATGAGTAAGATATAGTGGCATTCACAAGAAACATAGACAGGACATATCGCACTTACATGAATTTCACACCAAATCCATTCGGTTCCTGTTAAGCGCGACCACGCCGCTGCGGTCGCCGAGGTCAAATCATCATCGCCGAGACGGGCTCGTCGACCGCGGCGCGGCTTCGGGACCTCTTCAAGCGCTTCGACAAGGCTTTTGGAACCGAAAGGGGGGGCGGAAGGTGGGACGAAGATGAAGAATTCCAGGATTTTGGTTGGAAGGGTTTAGAACCATTCTTTGCATATTCTAGTTCACCTACGTTCACCTTGTTGGAAGAGACTGATACTGGATCAGGTTGGATTCTCCAGGGGTCCGGAAACCACCGCACTTCACCGCGGTGGGGTGCCACGTTTTGGTCACCCTGGCAGGTGGGAACGTAGCGGCATGGAACGAAGGTCTTTCCCTTCTTTTGTTCCACAGGTGAAAACCCAATGGAAGAACATGTAGAGGCCGGTGGGTGCCGCCGTATACGATGGGATATTTTTTCAACCATGAACCTACATCTACTGGCATTTCGCCGAACAGACAGATGGAGCTCGCTACATAGTTGAAAAACAAAAGATGTTTTTGCAGACCTGCTAAATGTACTTTCGCCTGTCAAGTCTGGCCGGTTCTTGGTGATACAATGATGTAGGGGACAAGTGATGATACTGCAGCAGTGGAAACTGACATGTTCCCTTCTTTGGTCTTCTAGGCACTCGCCACCCATGCGGGGGCCCGTGGCACTTCTCCACCTCGAATGAAAAGAAGTCGCAGCGCGCCAAGCAGACTGCACGATGTGAACCTCAAAGATAAGTTCGTTGTGGCTATTCGACCCCCACAGAAGTTCCACTGACAGTCATTTAGAAGCAAGAAGGGCTTAAGCCTTAAATGCTTGCCTCATCCTAGCCAACGATCCCTCCAAGAACAACACGCACGCTTCGTCATGTCAATCTGACATTTCATCGCTCACAGGATGGCGGTGGCACATTAGACTTGGACGAGCTGCTCGGCTCAACTGCTGTTGTGGCCTTCGATCGAGTCGTGCGTCTGGTGCTTCAGCACCTGGTAAGCAGTTCAAGAACGACATGCCAAGAGCTAAGCTCTTGTGTGAAAGCCAGCCCAAAACCCAGCACGTCAAGAGCCCGTCCAAAGCACTGGACCCATTGGACGACTTGGATTTCACCGACCCTAAAAGGGCTTCTTCTGGCCAGGCCCAGTGGGTGGGTGGGCCCAGTGGCTTTGGGAGAGGAAGTGTCGAGGGAATGCGGAATGCTTTTGTTTCCTTTGGACTTTTTGGGGGTCGGTAGTGGGTCATACTACTATATTGCAATTATGAGACACAGTCGAACAAACAGGTGTTTAAGAACACAGATTTGTTAGCCGAGAGCCTGACTGTCTACAAGACGCCAGAACAGAGTTTAAAAGGGAGACATGTCTTCAGTCACATGGTTTTTAGTTTGTTTTGCCTTTGTGAGGCGGTCTTTGGGGGTTCCGCCTATTGCCTGACACGACCGAGCTTTAAAGAAAAGGTTTCTCTCTGCTGTTCACTGGCCAGCTCTTATCAGGATGTCCAGCGTCTTCCGCGTGCTGATGCCCTGCTTGACCTTTCGAGACATTGCACTCTTGATGAAAGAGCTCGACACAGGTGGATCGGAGGGAGGGGGTTTGGATGGGTTCGCGTCTCTAAAAAGAAGAGACCTGCATGTGATGTTCGAGCTCGCGTCGATGCGCATGTTGACACTCTTCATCTATTCAGTTCGAGCTCGCCATTCAGTTGTGAGACCTGCATGGGGTGTCTTTTCTTTATTTTTCTTTCTCCTTTCTCTTCATTCGCCGTCGGCCCGACGGTCGGGTCCGGTCGGGTCCGGTCGGGTCCGGTCCGCGGACTGGTCCGACGACTCGGACGACGGCGGCCGACCTCTCGGTCCGGTGTGAGGCGGCGATGAGAAGGTGTCGCGCATGGAGTTCCTGGCGTGGTTGCAGAAGGGAAGTCCCAAGGCTTTGGAAGTGAAGAAGGCACGTCCGTATTGTGTTTCATCGGATCTGCCGCGCGCCGAGTGTTCCGTACAGTCGGACGGTAAAGAAGAACACCTATGTCGTCAAGAAGCAGGCAACTCATCTCAGGGCGCCCAGTTGCTTGTGGCTTGCTACCGATGGAAGAACGCCTGCACCACTTGAAATACAAAGAGAATCTATCATCTGTGTCTGTCTGTCCTGTCTGTCCATCCATCCGTCCGTCTGTCTGGCTACCTACCTACCTGCCTCCCTACCTCTTCAAAGTGACCCTTGTTCCCGCCCCAGTCGCCACGGGTCACCGACCGAGGTCATGCACTGAGGTCTAAGCACCGACTTGGTCATGTCATGGTTGGACCATGACTTCTTCTGCATCGTCCCCGAAGGCCTTGAGATTTTAACCCCTTTTCGATGTTTGAAGATCCAGGACTTCGTTTCTCAGGGCTTTCGAATTGGATGTCCTTCCTTTGGACGGCACAGCTCGCGAGAACCCTTCGCGACAACCTTGGGAGGAGATCATCGCGACCACGGGCATTCGTTGGGAGCAGCGGATCAGGCGCGAGCGGATCTTGCGACGGGAAGCATGGCTTGTCAGCGGCTCGCGCCTGGAGCTGGGCGAGTGGGTGGGATCAGGAGAAGATTCCAGAGAAAGAAGAGCATCCCAAGGTGGACAGGTGGACGGCCTGAATCATTCCAAGGTCTTTATCCACACTCCTTTGAAGTTCAGTTTCACGGCATTCTTGCAGCCCCCAGCTTTGAGTCTTGCAGCCATGTAAGACGCACGAATCACCTGGAGGAGGGCCTTCCAGACCTACGACATTGACAATTCGGGTCTCATGGACATGGGCGCCGCTCGTTTTGTGACAGGTTTGGGAGGTGAGCGGTGAGCGGTTTGTGCGGATGGGGGTGTGGATGGACTTGTTCGGCATGCCAACAGGTTTCGCGTTGCTTCGGTTCATTTTTGATGCGTTTGTCTGTCTCTCCAAAATGGAACCCCACTAAGTCACTAAGGCTTGTGGGTCCACGAGTTTACAGGCACAGAGAGCTTTGCGAAGCTTGCGCGTTGTATTCATGAGCCTCTCTTTGTACCTGCAGTTTGCGCGAGATCCTCCCTTTTCGCTGCGTTTAGAAATGCAGTTATATATTTCCATTGCCCGTACATGCCTCCCCCAAGGCAATGGCCATGGCATTGAGAAACCTGGGCTCCCTCACCAACGAAGAGGTCCGGAACGTGTGCGACTCGGCCTCAAGGACCCTCGTGACACGGCAAGGGCCATGTCAGGGATCTCTGATTCCAGAAGAGCCAAGTTGTACAAAGCTGGAACATGTGCTGCTGCAATTCATTGTGTAACCGGATGCGATCCTTCAGAATCTATGCCCTTGATTTCCTGCATGAAGAAGCTCTTGAAACGTGTATGAGGTTTGCCTTACTTTCTTTGTTTAAACATATATTATATAATCGGTCGTGATTTGAGCCTCTATCACTCAAAAGGCTAATATACTCGTTCTCCATCCTCTCATAGAATTTAGAATATGAAGAAACATCCAAGGCCTCGTTTCTGAGGCCAGCACGCCATTCACCCAACCTGCGAAACTGGAGAAGCGTTTACTGTTGTTGACTGGAGAAGTCCACTCGTCCACTCGACGTAGAACCAACAGAATGGAAGCGGCAAGCAAACCACTGAGAGCGGCTGCTGAGAGCTCCACTCCAGCAGTTCTAAGCCTGCAAGCCGCCCCCATTTCGCCAGCATGAGGAAAACCCCAAAGACAACCCTCGAAGGCTCCCAAGCGGCCAAAAGGGACCCTGCTAAGCAAGGTCCGCGCCATGATACGCCCCCCAACACCCATGTCATTTCCCGGATCCACGCGACGCCTGTTGAGTTCGTTCTTCTCCCCAGCCACTCAGAACCGGGTGCCGACCGACGGTCGGCTTGGTGCGCCCGAGTGGCCCCCCTGTTCGGTGCGGGGTGCCGGGTCAAGGGGTCAAGTCAGTCCGAGGTGCGGATCTGGACAAGTCCAAGGATCATCGGATCTCCTACGCCGAGTTTCGCGCTTGGATCAAGAACGGCATGGGCTCACGAAGCTTAGGTGGTCAAATTGGTGGCAGGGTTCCATGGAGGGCGATGTCGTGATAGGCTTCCTCCAAGGGGTTTGCCTTTGGGAAGCCAAAGTTTGGTCTCAACAACGGGATCGGCATGTAGCGAAGACCAACCTTGCCTTGGAGCTCAGTTTGGCGACTATTGGAGCGGAGTGTCTCAACTTGGTTGAATGATTTGTTAGTTTTTTTGTTCATCGGTGTGGGTTCACTGGCCAACCAGGGAACCCGGATTGGTCAGTTGACCAGCGAAGATGAAGAGCAGGGTCTATGACTGACGAGGTTTGGTCAAGCTGCCGGGTCAATTTGGGGGCCACAGGTTGGACTCACAACCACATGGATTTGGCCTTTTTTCGTTGCCGTTGACGTGTCTTGTTCACCTTCAGGACGGTCCGAACCTGGGATGGTCCAGAAACATCCCCAGTCCCAGACATTTCGTAAAGCAATTCAATTGCCGGAACAACCGCTTGTTTCTGGTTGCTGGGGTTTCCAGGCAGTCGTCACTTTTACAAAACCACTTCTCTAAGGTACCGGGTGGGAGTGAGTTCTGTTAAAGAGGCGACTGACAAGGCCTGCCAAGAACCAACCAGGTCATCTTAGACGAGGGAGGTCACCAGATGGGTGGACTGAGCCTGTGAAGCGAAGTTTCTTTGTCATCGATCAAGGAGAAATCGAGAAGGCGAAGGCCATCCTGGCGCCCAGTGACAGTGATGGCTTGGAAGCGGTCTTCTACAACTTTTGTTCCTTGTCTAATGTGTCTCAAAATGGTCAAAAGATCAGCTATGAGCTTTTTCCAAGCTCCTTGGACTCTCCGAGGAAGAGACATATATTATATATATAACTGTTTGAGGTGCTACACGGGTATGTATATACCTTAGGGATCCGAGTACAGAACCTCAGGTTCGCTACGACTGGATCCTCCAAACCTACACAACAGTGTCTCCAATCACCGTACCGATAGAAGGGTGGCAGTGGATCCCTAGGGGTAGGTTGTTGAACATCAATGGCAAGTGATTGGAGCACGCAGAACGAACATCATTATCTCCGATGGACATGTGCGACTGTTGTTTTCGCCAAGTCCCCAAAACGTGCTCTTTACCATTCTTGGGAAAAAAAACACTTGTTAAAGACTGAGTCACCTTCCGAGGCGGTGCTGGCAAAGCAGAGCTGGATGGGAAGAGCTTCATGAAGCTCTGCGAGGACGCTTCGCTTGTGGGCCACCGTGATTTCGCTTCTGCCCACCTTTGGGACCGTGAAACTTTAATAATAATATAGACTAACGTGGAAGAAAACATCTCAGCATAACCATCCAAGAGCTAACAACACTTCTGATATATGGGACTTCCCTCAACGGTTGAGCTGTGGGAAGCTGGTGGTGTACTTTTTCTCAAATTACTTAAGGCTTCCTACATGGAAGCAGCTCCTTCGTGTGGCTTTCCGGACTGGAGGAAGCTGCATGGATACCACATGGAAAAGAACCACATGGAAGGTACTTCCTTCCAGAGGGGGGGGCAACCATACCTGTGCTCGTACGAGGTCATCCAGGACCCTCTTGAGGTCCAGGACTTGACTCACCCCATCAGATGTGGCTGACGTGGAGCTGTGGCGGGCCGGACGGTGATCCAGAATTACCAGCCAATCTCCACATTCTGACAGGGATGCTTTTGGATGACCTGACCTCAAACTGGATCTTCAAAGGTACCCCCAAACCAGCATGCCGCACATGCCCCTGTAGCCGAGTGTTCACCACCACCTAAGAAGGTTGGCTGGCGGACGTATCTGATGCACCCTTGGTATTGTAGTTTGTGAAGTTGTTGTAATGTATAGCAGAAAATCACCAGCCTGACAGAAACCTACCAGGAGCAACTTGGGCAAATTCATCTAACAAGACACATCGCACACGAAATGACAGCAACATGCGATAGCGGCAACTTGCAATATATATGTGTTGCATATGCTCGAGTCGATGTTTCCCAGTTACTTGTCTATAGGAATTGTTCTGAGTAGCAGCTCACTTGGAATATAATCTGGATAGGGATCTGTAACTTTGTCATACTTTGTCCCAACTCTGAGCATTTTTGTCCACGCACTGACCAACATTTGATCTACTTGACTGGCATCTGGAAGTCCAGAGGGTATCTCCCATTTCGTGCCGTTCCGGGAGCGTCGGAAGTCTCGTTCCCATCTGATCGTTACGGAACGGACGGTGTCTCGCGAGGGAAGGCCATCGATCGGAGCACTGCTTCAGTTCGAATAGGACGAGGGAAGGCCAAAGACTCAAGGCACTCCTGTTGTTGCATGATGGTAGGAGCTTTAAGCTTGGTATAGTATACCAAGATGTACCAAGTGAAGCACCATCGTTCGGAATGCTGAAGCGCTCTTCAGCTCTCCAAGAACGATCCTGGATGCTGGCCCTGTGAATTGCATCACGATAGAGAGTGATAGATCGGCATTGTATAAGTTGTGCTTCCTGCTGCCTTTGATAGATAACACTGCCGCACTGCCTTTACCTATGATATCGCAGAGTTCGGCCCTGGAAGAGGCTCCCGTCAGGTGAATCGACCTCCCTCTGTCTGGCGCGCCAGGTACCTCCAGGTAATTTGGCCCCTGCGAATGCCATGATCCAAACCTCGAACATCAAGCTGTTTGGGTTTGGAACATTTGGATCATTTTGGAGAAACCTAGGGCCTAGTCACAGTCCAGTTCCCTTGAAAATTCTGGGTCTTTGCCACGAACCCCTTGTGGCTAGGTCCAGGCGTACAGAACAACGCCAGGACTGCCAGCTGCTGGATCGCAAGATGGGAAGCGCGCAGGTGGATTTGATCTTCTGTGATACCCGCGTGAAGAAGAAAGGTGGGGGTGTCATGGGAGTCTGATGGAATTGTTAGAGGTTAGGGATGGCCATGCGCAAGTGCCATAGTCCCAAACTCAACATTCTCTTGAACAGTTGTATTTTTGTCGTCAACTTTGCATGGTTGCTTTTGGCAGACGGCTGATGCGCCGCCACCCTGCCAAGAGATGAACATGTATGGTTCAACCATCCTGCATCAGGCTTGAATTCTTGTTTTCACCCCACTGTATTCGGTCAGGCTTCCTGGATAGCTTGCGATCGAGCATGAAAAGGGCACAAGAGACTTTCATGGATGCTGAAGATGACTTTTTCCTTTCATGGCTGGTAAACATCCTCACTTGCTTGCAGGGCAGCGTACCATTGATGTGGTGCAGTTTGAAGTGGCTTTGGAACTCTTGGCAGAAAGGCTGCGGGTGGTCGAGAAGGTGGTGTGTTAGTTTGCAAAAAATCACAGCCCAGAGGGCCATGAAAGGTATAGTCCGGAAGACTTCATAAGCCAGTAGGCCCGGTTGGGCACTGGGAACACCAGTGGCAGGGGCACCCCGAATCAGTAATGTTGAGGTTGTTCCCCGGCAGTCTGAAAACCAAACCCTCCAATGATCCTTTCTTTTCTGTTATATAATTCTATATAGTATTTCTTGTTTCTTTGTTGTTTTCGACCGACAAGCTCCGACCCCGCCACTCAAGTGTGGTCACTGGTGAGACCTTTGTGAGTACCTGTGGGTCTTCAGGGTGACTTCGGGGTTTGGATTGGAGAGACCTTCAAGTGCAGCTGAACCTGAACCGGATTTTTGAAAGCTGTCTCGAAGGCTGTGTGCTATTGCTGGGATTCCATGAATTTGAAGTCGTTCGGTTCTGGTCGCTCCTTTTGGATGGACTTTGGGAATCACCACAACCAGGAGTTCAAATTCTTTGGGTCTCACAGTACTTTTAACATCTCATGGGTTTTGAGGTGTTTTGTTTCCTCTTCCAGGGCATATATACACCCGTATTACCTCTTTGGCTCCAACGGCAGTCTATCAAACCAACCCAACCCGGCACCTTACAGTGCGCCAGGACAGGAGTTCCGAAGCAGGACTTGAGAATGGAGGCAGGGGGCTGAAAGCTGCACCGGAGTCGGTCAGACTACAAAAAGAACCAAGAGAGGTGGAACGTGACCGGGACCATAGGACCTGTCACTTACTGGGGTACCCAACTGGGATAGTCGAACTAGGCTATAGGGTTCTGACCCACCTCTGTTGGAATGGTTCTGACGAGTTCGGTGACCCGAGTGACCCGGAATTTCCTGAAACCTTCAGTCGGTCAAAATAGAGTCGAACTGGACTTCTAGAGTTAACCTATGGGGGATTGGACAGTATGGTTTGGGTCAGCCAGAGATATCACTCATCATCACTCATCCAAATACGTGGTTTTCACAGGAGTCGCCACCATCGATCACCTCCAGACTCCAAACGCCTTGCACTCGTCCACCTGGGTGCGACTTGGACCCAACCCCTCTGAGAGGCTCCAATCATCGGGTTTGGCACTCCGGAGTCGCGGTTAACCGCTGGGGCCGAGTCTCCCAGGGCTGACAACAGATCCTGTTCGCACCCTCACTGACTTGGGTGCCCGGATCTGGGGCCGATCGGCTGTCTCAATCGCTACATGTACGTGGTTCGCCGAGTGAGGTGCTTCTGAAGGGCAAACCCGACTTCCGCTCCTCCACTGGCTTGCGTGGCTTGGCGGGGACGGATTGGAAATGGAGGACGCTTGGAGAGGCTTTTGGATGCTTGGACCTGGAATCCAGCCGATCGAGTTGTGACAGAACTTTGTGACCTGTTTTGGAGGGTGCTGATCGAAGGCTTTGAGCTTGCCAGGACCTTTTTCTTTTGAACAACGAAACAGATGTCGATGATTGATGATGGATGATGTTCCTGTTTCTTCTTTTGAAAAGGCACGCTCAGCATGTGCTGGCCAAATCAATTTGTGTCCCTCTCCTGCGTAGTCCGGGGTCAATAGTGCAACTCCACTAGTCGGCTTTCCGGAATCAAGGAAAGACCGTGCTAGGGTGGAGGCCGGGGTGCAGGTCGGAAGATGGTGGGTGGATGATATCAATCGCACAGTCAGGGATGAACACGTTGGGAATGAACCCCCGATGAACTCGAGTGCCGAACACCTTCTCCGCCGAACCTGGGACGCATCGCGGCTTCGCCGACGGCCTCCTCCGCGCGCCGAGAAGCCTTCCGGAAGATGGCGCCGGCGACGCCAAAGGAGGGCGAAGGCGCACGGTCTGAGGGGTCTTTGAGGTCTGAAAATTCAGAGGGGGTGGATGTGTGGCCTTCCTGTAAAGAAAATGAATGCAAACTTCTTGAGAGGTACAAATGGTATCTACTGGTGTGGATGCTTTGTGATATATCAACTGATGTAGTTGGGATTTACTTTGAGGTCTTAAGATGGGCGATCAAAGCGCCAGCTTTGATCACCCATCTTTGGGACACTTTTTCACCCTCAGATCCCTCAGGTAAGTGGACAGGTGCATCGCTTCTAGTAACAAGTGCCTTACTAGTAGTCACAAGAAGCTAGTAGTAACAGGTGCCACGCTAGTAGTAACAAGAAGCCTGTTGCAGAACTGCTGTCGCACCATCCCATCCCAAGCAGAACCTCCCCCTGATTGGAAAGGCGCCTCGGCACGGCGAAGCCATACGCTCCGACGATTGCCTGGGTCGCTAGGAGGGGCGAGTTCGTCGGGACGAACAGAAGTGACGTTCGTCCGAACGAGGGAGAAGTGAGGGAATGATGTTAGTCGTATCTGTCTACTCCACAGGATAGATGGTGAAGCCGCTCATTTGCAGTGGCTTTCGAAAATGGTGTGTTTCTTTCTTTTTTCTCAGCTGTTGCAAGATACGTGTTGATTTCTGAGCCACCACCATGAGCAGGGGAGTCGAAGTGTGGGGGAGTTCTCATGCATCAAGTATGTTCGGAAGCTGTGATGATAGGATGCCTGATGTTCTAAACATGGTGCTCACAAGAAGCCTCCCTGGCCCCTGGCCAGGTCTTTTGTGGGCCCACTTAGAGTTTTTGAACCAAATGGTCCACTCAGATTGCTCACCGAATATGAGTGGCTTGGGGAGTCGCAGTCTTGCCTTAAATAGAGGCATTGCTGCATGAGCTATTGGCTTTCCTGAATGCTAGGAGTTCGGTATCCAAAAAAATCACCCGAATCGACCACCTCCAGAAAGGACACCCTAAAGAAAAGGCCTGCTTTTGTGTCTTTTCAAGAGGCACCAGTTGACTTGTTTCGCCTCGGCGAAAGAGACAATTCCTCATTGGCCCTTCAAGAGGTTTATAGACGGAATTTGTCCAATTCTTCGGGTCTCAAGTGGCAGAAATACTGTTTCCTTCCGGCCGCTTGACATGCCAGATCGACCACCTCATCCAAAAAAGAACACATCTGGACCCTTTGTCCTTTGGGCCTTCGGGTCGCCACAAACACCCGTAACGTCGTAGCGGTGTCTTGTGTCGGGTCCATTCGCGCATTCTCTCCGACCTGTGGAGTGGAGAAAACGATGTGTGGTCGTGCTGTTCGCTCGAAACGTCGCCAGAATTGGGGGGCCAGAGATCCATTCAAACCCATTGAAACCCATTGTGAGAATGGTGCGTCTTCGGAGAAATGAACACTCCTCACGGCCGGCGTCGACGATCGACCGACGTCAAAAACGGGGTCCTGGTCGACAGGAGCTCCACGAAGTGAGAAGAAGGTGGAGGCTTCCAAGCTCTGGCAGGCACCGGGAGACCCGGAGAAAGCTTGGCTTCAGGGTCTTTTCTGTCGAGCCGTGGGTGAAGTTGGCCAATGGTGGAAGCGGAGAAAACACCCTGGGTGGGGCGACCAGAGAAGCATGAGAGACACAGTGGATTCTCTGACATGCGGCATATGACATTGAAGATCATTGAAGTCAAGTGCAAGTCTGAATCGCTAGCTGCTAGCTCCAACCCAATCAGTAAAGTCAGTGAAGAAGCCTGAAGCCTTTTCTGTTTTTGTCGACATGCTAAACCTAACAGTTTATTTGGTCAGTCCTTTCAAGAGTTGACGCTGGCAGCGACGAGGGACCGGGGGCTGGTCTTAGCCTGGTTCCATGCCTTCCCATTCGTGTGACAACTCGAGAATAGCCAGTGGTTTCGGACCCTGGATTCACCAAGTTGGCTCATGGATTCCTGCCACACTTCATTTGAGGTGCTCGCCGAAGATCAGAAGGTTCATCCGCAGGTCCCCAACAATGAATCCATGCTCCCGGGAATCCGGGAGTATCGACATGGGAATTCATTCATGGTTGAACTAAAAAGGAGCTTTGCTTTCGATCCCACGTGTGGCACAGGGTCAGGGCCCGTGGTTCTCGCCGGGTTTGGCTCCCAAGTTCCCAGGTCTTCAACCGCCACACCGCTGCAGGCGGGTTTGGCGGTTGGCTTAGACGCATGGACCCCCCAAAAACCAGCAGACGAACACCTCGGACGGATGAGGAGTTCCTTCAGATGTGACCAACGGGCCGGGTGGGCGTTCCGCTTTCCGAACCCTCCAAGCGGTCACCCAGCCGACCCGCCGTGGCGCTGCAAAGCGTCACACGATGGTGGAGGGATTTACCTATAGGGCTGCTGGCCCACATCCTCAGGTGATTGGGGGGTGGGTTCCAGGTCTGTTCCTGCATGCACCTGACCTGAGGCATCCTGAGGCCCCAGAGCATCCCGGAGCCCAAGAACTTGGGGTCCCGACTTGCCAGGTCGCTGCTTGTGGCTCATCTATGCCGAGAAGCCGAAACGTCCCAAGAGCCCTCCAACGGGCCGAGCGTCGCCACGGGGAGCGCCCCCCAGGCGGCGCGAAGCGGCGGTCGGACCGGGGGTCGGGGGGGTCGGACCCGCTCCACCAGGCCGAGCGAAGCCTTGCGAAGCCTGAAGAAGCGAGCCAACAGCATGTGCCCTTACCATGTTGCTTGCACATCTGACTTCAAGAGAAGAAGGAACAGGATCCGACTTCAAAACAGCTGCAGGGACCAGAACCATGCAGCTTTAACTTTAAATCGCTGCAGAATGAGGAGCAGCAACAACCATTGGATCATGATGAACCATGCACATTTCAAACATGGCTCACCAGAATGGGTATTCAATGGGATCACCACATGAACAGGACACCTGTACACCTGTACGTCAAAACCAACCGTCAGAACTCTGGGTTGGCGGAACATCTCATCAAACGCGTGTCCTTGGGGCTGACGGACTGAGAGGACCCAGCACCCTTCCTGGCGGACTGAGCTTTGACCCCTGGTTGAAGAGTTTCATGGGCACGGAACAGGGCCTAACCTCCTACCCCCAGGTTGTGGAGGCTGGTTTCTATGGCTCTTACAGTGAAAGACACCGGGCGGGACGGTCTTTGACAGTGACGAGTACACAAAACGGTCGGAGAATTCACACCGAACGAGCACCAGATCGGCTATGTTTCAGAGACTTAGCGAGCCACCGGAATCATTGAAACGAAAGGACAACATCTTGGATCATCCTCCCATATCCATCAATGTACGTAGGTCTATTATATATATATATATTATATATTATTCCATTTGCATGGGTCGTGTCTGGGTACTGACCCGTCGACCTCGACGTCTGGGCAGGCCCAGTACACAAAGGAGAGAGCGGCGTGTGTCGCCTGATTTCTCCGACCTCTGCGTGTGGCTCGGCACACGGAGAACCCAGTGGTGAGTTTCGGTGGGGACGGGGATGAGGGGGAAGGATGGGGTTCAGCACAAAGACTGGAAGGTTGGGAGGATGACTCAAGGACTTGCTTCGGTGCAAGGGGCTTCTGTTTGATTAGATACTTGCCACTGTCGTGGTTCTGTCATTCGTTTGGGTGGACATGTTCACCCCACGGATGTGGGACTGTTTGGGCAGTCCCAGCGCCACCGGAGGCGAGAATAGGGTGTAACCGAAGCGGACCGTGAAATCGAAACGAACCGGTGCGCCGGTTCACCGTGTTCTAACCCGCACTCTGAGGAAGGTGGTCCACGATTGATGTGGGTGAATTCACCTGACGAACATCTCGGACGCGCTCAAAGATGAGCGCATGTCCGATCTAAGAATCGTAGGGTAATGTATGTTGCTTTCACTGTGGGCGTGTCTCAAAGATCACAGAATATATAAGAATCCAACAATTTGGTCCGTTTGTGACAATTGTATACTAATTGTCTAATTGTGTTTTAGTTTTATTATGTTGTATTAGTTTCTGTACCTTCGTAGTCATTGGAGACATCTCCCATGCGAAAGCCGCGCTTTTTGGTTCAAAACCAGAAAGCCACAACTCGCAGCCATCTCGATTGAATGGAGGCAATGGAGGCGAACAATGGATCCGAAGACGAACGGATGCAGGGTTTCAGGAGATCCGAAGACTTGCTCACCATCACTGAAGTCCGAGAGCATCGTGTACCGGCGATCCTTGGGGCTGTCGGATTTGGGTGGTTGGATGTGCTGGATCATGGATCTCTCCAACCATATGGAATATGTTTGGATGTGTTTGGGCCAGAGGAGTAGTGGGTTGTTATTCATAGAGCTCACTACTTGTAGGAGACGGACCGTTTCTTCAAAAGCATGACGCCCTGTGCACTCAACGCATGATGCACCTGGGATCACATCCCAAACAGGATCCATCTTTGGCCAGGTCCCATGATGGGTGTCGTCCCTTCGGCCCAGCCGTCCTGGGACCTGGCGGTCTGGAACGACCTCGGCAACCCACGGGTTCGGCGAAGCCGCCAATGGCAGTCGTGCGTGGAAGCGGTGCAGGTCTTCTTGATGGTCACATTGACATGACAAATCCTCCCACTGAAGACGTCCAAACACTGGCTTTCATCCTGTTTGGTGTGTTTTAATGTATACCGCGGTATGTTTTCACATGTTTTTACAACCTCTAACAACCTCAGATTTTGTTTCGGACATATGTAACCATGCAAGTCGCTGCCTTTCCTGGTATCGCTTCACTCCGAGTGCCCAATGCCTCCGCCTCGGCCCAGGTGCTCCAATGCGCTCGAAGCAGCTGCGGCTTTCGAGTGACCGAGGCGTCGAGTCGGGCGTCGGTTCGGCCGTCGAACGCGAGGCTTCTGGGGTTCGGTGCACCCGTGGGGTGTTTGGAGAGAAACAGGAGGGGGAGGGCATAGGGATCGGTGGAGTATGGCAGTAAACAGTAGTAGAGCGAGTAGAGACTTCCAGAGTGTCAGAAACCCACTAACATTTTGTGACACCCGAAACTGTAGATCTTCACATTGACATATGGACAGATGTTTTTCTGCGCCATCGAAGTCTGCCATTGAATCTGGGTTTCCAAGCTCGTCGGCTCCAAGCTCGTGTGCATGCGCCATCGAATGAAAGCGCACCTTAATAACCCAACCAACTTGAGAGTGACATATGTGACATCCTGTCAAATGGAGGACAGGACCTTGGGTGAGGAAAAACGCACAGAGTCTGAGCGATCCGATGCCAGCAAGCGAGCGATCCGAGCGTTTGAGCGCCGATGGGATATGGCGATGGGTGCAGGAAGTGGGATGTTTTGCAGAGAACGATGTGCCGTGTGCGTAAACCTTTTTTGTGAGAACGTGAAAGTCAACACAGAACAGTTCCAGGCATTTGTCACTGCCAAGTGGCGCGTGGGACCTGGAAGCAGGAATGCGACCCAGTCGCGAAATCCGACACAATAGTTGCTGGAATTCACGTGAGCAATGAGATGTGTTGAACCTAGGGTGTGGCCCAGCCAACCAGTATAACCCCTAAGGTGATCACTTATTTTTCAGATGTCGGCCTGCAACCTAACCATCATCCACCGGCCCCTGGTCACCGGATCCGGGCAACGACCGGCACCGCAGAAACCCCGCCGTGGACGTTGGAGACTGTGGACTGGGCTCGGGTCAGGAGCCCGAACATCCCGACGTCGAAAGACCGACACCCAGGTAGGTCAACGGGTCAGTCTCCTGGTTTTGGACCGGCATATTGGTTCGGCCAAAGCCAACCGATGGAGCTGCAAGATGCGGAGCTCGTCACAGCGGCACCAGTCCCCAAGACCTCGTCGGCGAAGACGTGACTGGAGCAGCAAACCAGCACGGTGCGGTGCGGTTTTTAGGTGCGTTGCACAGGATGAGGATGTGGATGCACTGTTGTTGGGGATATCGACACTGTTGTTGGGGATATCGATGCTTCCCGATTGCTTGACACTCCGTGCGCGATCGACCTGCCACTCCGTGCGTGATGCCGTATACAGCGGCCGGGCCGATCGGTGGCGTGCGGAGCGACGGAGCTGGGAGAGGCTTGCGCAGTTGCCTGGAAGCCAAGTGCAAGGTCGGGCGCAACGCCTGTAAGCCATTGCCTGAAGCGAGCGCATGGTACTCAGATGAAGCGTTGCTTAACGATTGATCCATATCATCGACTTGTAGGGCTGTGTGCGTGGTAAGGCTATTCTATGGCAGTGGGTTAAAACAGGAGGACCCTGTTTTTCTTTGTTCCACCGAACATGATCGGAATACACCACCAGGGAGGTCAACCTACCAGGCTTTGGAGCTCCAGGTTTCAACCCACAGCCATATTGATGCTTCCTCCTGCCCGGTCCGCTCCACTCCAGCTTCGCAGGTGGGAGGGAGCTTCTGCTGCCAGGCGGGTTCATGCGACTTCATCTGTGGTTGCATACCAGAGCGATTTCGGCATGGTCGGTTATGGTGCGGGGATTAAACGTACTTAGTACAGATTTCCGTGATATACACCATCCCACCACACAAACCCAAGAAGCTCACCAACCCCAAGCAAAAAGATATATATATATACGCGTTGCACAACTTGTCAAGCAAGCAAAGCTTTCGGTTAAGCGTCTTCGCACGTGCTGATCAAGAGATCAGGCTAGCGGCTAGCTGGGCAGTTTGATAATATATTGGCCCAACCTGCGAGCACCGGATTGAACAAGGCAACCCTGCAAAATACAGCCAACATGTGTGCCACTCTCGAGTTCTATCCCGAGAGCCTCCATGGTTTTGAGCTTCTGGTGTCCCAGAGCCTCTACCTGAGAGGCGGAGGAGTTGCCGGTCTGTAGCACCGGTGTGTTCCGCACTCGGTCGCTTGTGCTTTGTTTCGAGGCTTGTGAAGATCAAGCCGGTGATCAACATGACAACACGTGGCTTGGTGCAGTGTTGAAACAGACACTGAAACAGACACTTCGCCAAAAGGGGATGGCTAAGGAGGTTTTAGATGGTTTGGTTGAGCACGCTTAAGCTAGACTCTAGACATGGCGTGACAGGCACTAAGTGCCCTTGTGCGGGAGGCTGACAAGAAGTGTTAGTGGCAAATCAGATGTATGCAGAGCTTCTGGCAAAGAGGGCAGGCGAAGCTCGTGCAACAAAAGTGGTGCAGCAAGCCTTGGAGGCTGAACAGAAGAAAGTGGGGCACTTGGGAAGGCAGCACAGGAGCGCCCAGCTTTGTGTCAGGGCTGTCAGGACCTTCCCACGCTGTGAATTCGAGCTTTGTGCTTTGCAACTTTGCTCGGCCGTGGCTTGGGGGGAGGACAGTCTCCGGTGTTGCGAAGATCCTATGGACTCCAGCCGTTTGCAGCGGGCATGGCAGCCATATTGCCGTGCGAATGCAACGCACGGCCCGTGCAGACTGTGTGTCACGTTTTCCGAGGGGCAGGCCAGTTCTATGGCAGTGTCGCCCATCCTTGAATTCTGGCAGTGTGGCCCTGAGGTGTTGCGGGGCAACATGCAGGTGGTATAATGAGAGTATCATGCACTGATATTAGTCTGTATTCCGTGTCTTGCAGAGCATGAATGGGATCAGAGGCCAATGAGGAAGTTTCACTTCGGATTTACACTGTCCATCCATAAATTTTGTTAGGCGATTGACGGATAGCTTTGCCTGAACGATGGCAACTCAATGGTGCCAAATATTGGATCGTTGGATGTATCATTGCAATCATGGAATTGTATCATGACAGTCCGTCTAATTTGACAACCCTTGGTGCTTCCAGCATCACCAGCCAAGATGTTTGAATAGTCATCCATAGACAACCATGATGCCCAGGGCCCAGAGGGACCATAGTTGGCGCGCTTTGCAGTGGTTCGCGACAGTTTGCGAAAAAGTAAAGGTGCAGAGAATGGAACAGAGCCAAGATTAAGAGGGAAACAATCTTTGCTTCGAGACGCGAACCACCTTGTTTTTAAGTGAAAAACAAAAGTTAATTTTCGTTTTCGAGGAGAGTTGCTTCAAGGCTGAGTCTTGCCGCTGTCAACCTTGTCAATCATCTGCTTGAAGGCTGTGCGGCATCAAGCGAACCATGCTTTCTATTTCATCCAGCATGGATGTGGACCAGATGATGAAACAACAACACCAAGTCATGCAGGCTTTTGGGACGCTCCAACATGTAGGGGTCTTACAGGGTTGCTGGTCCTGTTTCCTTTCACCGAACCAAAAGCAGTTGTTTGCACGGACACGTGGTTGAGAATGCCCAAACCTTCTGAATTTGGAGAGTGCAACAGGTGAGCTCAGGTATTCTTTGAGCGGTAACTCTTTTTGATCGTGCAGTGGTTTTTGTCGCTGCAAAGATTGAGAGCGGCTTGGCGCACCCACCAGCCAAGACGAACTGTACAATAGTGCAAAGCACCAGGAGTCACATGTTGGGGTGGTTTTTTCGGTCCCATCCATTGAGCGAGTGGATGTTCTGGGGCTCCTGTTTTTCCAAGTTCGGCACCCTGGTACATTGCAGATGTTTCCCCATTGACGAGGTCTCCATAGGTCTCCTGACAGCACAGACCCACCCAAGTACCGGTCGCAAGAGGACAAAGCGGACCCGAGCTCCCAAAGCTAGACGATGGTGAGCCCACGCATTGTGCACGGCAACAGCCCAAGTTACCTCTCACCCGAGTGACCTCTTTTCGCATGGCTCAAAGGCATCCGACTCCTTGGAGCGGACATCAGACGAGCCCGAACTCCCGAAGCACCGACACCGGTGTTTGCAAGTCTCCCACCGAGGTGTTTGCAAGTGCCCGTCGCGGGGCTGTCGATGGACCGCTCAGACCGAGGCTCCGACCGGGACTTCTGTCGGTCCCAACAAAACATCCAAAAACCATCCGATGCCCAGCTAGTCTTCGGTTTGTGAAACCAGGTGACCAGGTTTACATATTTTCTGCAATAAATTATTATAAAATACTGTAAGCCAAAAACAATGTTTTTCTTACTGGTGCGGTCGCTCTCATGCCATATCTCAGCAGGTGATGCTTACAAATTGACAGTTTACAGGTGGATTTGTGCTAGAATTCTCAGCACCTTGGTAGAATAGTCTCCTTTTGCGAGCTTTGTGAACATTGTGTGAACTTTGGTTGTTTGATCCAGGCAGTAGCTCCTGCGAGTCGAGCGTGGACATGACACTTCTTGGAATCCGCCCTTGGCAAAGCGAATCAGACGCCTCTAATTTCAGCTGTTTGGTCCCATAGCTATGGCCATATACATGATGTTTTGCTGTTCCAGTGTATGACGTCGCCCTTTGGTCCAGCTGCCCGGTCCAGGCTATAGTGACTACCATGACTTCTCCGTGCAGCTGCGGAAACTCTTAGAGGAAAAGGTGGCGAGGGCGACGGGCGAGGGTGACCTCTGCGAACGAACTGGCCTCTAAGCGTTGTTTGGATAAGGGGTTCTGTGGCTTCAGGGGACGGCCACTTGTACAAGGTTGACAGCTTGATACCCAGCTGGAGGATATGCCCAAATTGGGATTTATAGGCTATAATCCAATTTAGGACTCCCAAAACCAGGGGCAGGACTTGGTCATTGAGGGTAAGGAAATGAAGGCAACGTAAATTGAACCATACATCTCATCCGGCTCTCATCCAATGGGTGTCCGATGGAGGTCCATAAGTAGTGTAGGGTAGTCTGCTGGTGATCCAATGGGCGATCGAGCTACTCTAATAAGCCGGTTGGATCTCACTTTAAGACTGACCAGGATGCACCAAGTAACTACTCTGTTGTTCTCTCGTCTTGAGAAGCAGCTTGCTTGAAAGTCCAACCAGAGAACCCCGGCATATTCTTGCACCACTTTATCAGCCACGCTCGTTTTTCTGCATGTGTACTTTCGTTGCGGGAAGTTTGAATCAGATCGACAGATGCTCTCCCATCGTGTCCCGCATCGTGTCAAAACTGCCAGGGCCCGCAGCACATTGGTAGCTTGCCACACGCGTGGGATGCGGAGTGACCCTGGGCGAGGTGATTTCATGGTGGAACCTTTCTCCCAGTCCGACAGATGTGAAGTGGAACATGATCAAGCTGCCCTCATGGGGGTCCTTTCAAGCATCCTGAGTCCAAACTCTTTTAGAGGAATCCTGCGTCGTGAAGCCGCGTGAATGTTGTGTGCCCTTCCCCAGTGGACGAAAGTCTTTGGAACGCCTGGGTTTCACTCGGTGCCCTGGTCTTCCCGGTCTGCCTGCTCTTCCCGGTGCAGGTCTTCCCCGGGTCGACTCGGAAAGGGACGGAATCTTCGGTGCGTTTGGTTCGTCAGGTATGGTTCTGGCTCCTGGGCCAAAAGCCGGCCTGTGAAGTCAGCCAGTAAGGCGCACAGCGGATCACAGGGGGTGGAACATGGTGGGGAGTTGGCAGGGTTTGCAAGAATAAGGCGAAGAAAGTGAAGAAGGTTGGGAGCTCCAATTCAGCTATAGAAGGTTGGAATGTGCGTGATGGGATGCCAGGAAGCCTGCAAAAGCAACTAAGTGGTATTTGCTTCATTTTTGCCATCGTTTTTGCCCACCGTTTTGCAGACATCGGCCGCGGCTGGACGCTTGAGCCTCATCATGCGCCCCCCACAGCCACTCAGTCGAGCTCCTTATCAACTGATGTCGAACTCTTCGGCCAGCCAGAAATACTTTGATATCTCTTCATGTTCACGCCTTCGCTCGAGGTGTTTGGAGACCAAAAGGGCACCTCACCCTGAAAGGATTCGCAGTCTGGGGAATTGTCCGCAGCTGACCAGCAGTCCACGGAGGTCCACGGTTTCTATCTTTTTCGAAAAGGAAGCAGAAGTGGAAGCAGAGCAGCTGTTCAGGAGGATAGGGGTGCCCACTGGATGAGCTCCGAGAATCCGGTGACAACTCAGAGCGACCCATTCTTTGGGCTGCACGAGACGTTTGCATTCTCGTTCCATGCCTCAAGGATGGCCCTCACATACTTCTGAGCTGCTCGAAAAACTGTTCCCCACCCAGGATGAAACGCCAGATAAAGAGACACCCTGGTCCTGGCTGGGTAGACCGGTCTATTTCCCTTCTTCCAGGGGGTCTTGAGACGGTCTGTATTTTGATAGACACCACACCCATACTTCTTCTCCGACGCCCCCTCCACACCTTCGACCTTCGAAGCTCCAGTTCTGCCGGGGGTCCGAAGGTGTCGTCAGTCCTTCTTCCTTTGTATCGTTGACGACGGCTGCGGGGGTCGGAGAACAAGACGACGGCTGAACATATCGAGGTGACCGCCGGTGACCCGCTTTTCGAGATCGGAGATCGAAGGGGGATTTCGGGCTCTCTCCGCCGAGACTCCTTGTTCAGTACTCCGCAGGCCTGCAACGGTGGCAAAGGTGTCACCGTATTGGACCAGGTTGGGTGATGGTGGGTGATGGTAGACATGGGCAGAGGTGTCGCCTGAAACCCTGCAACGTCTGATTCCATGGAAATACCAGGATCATCCTGGACATGGGTGTCCTGGCGGGCTAGACTACCCTACCCTATGTAAACTGGTCTCCAGACAGGGCACAGGTTGGAAGTGCTTGGCATCATGTCATTTGTTCAACAGCCAATGTTTGGGTCAAGATTCGCCAGCATGGTAGTGATCATGGTACAATCTGTGTGTTTGTGATGGATTTGGTGTCAGATGTTCTTCCAGATGGGTGGACACCAGCCCCGAGTCTTTTGAAGCCAAGGCTGCCCCAGGTCACTGGATCCAAAGGCTGATGCGTTTTGTTTGAAAGATCAGAAGAAGAAAAACATCTCAACACTGGGTGCCACAACCGTAACCATTGGATGTTTGTAGTCTGTGTCATAGCCTGTTTTGTGGCTTTCGTTCTGCACAGCCTGCTCCAGTGCATAACGGCGGGTCTTCAAGGTTTGAAGCTCTGGGCATTCGCTTGTTGGTGAAGCCTCTTGGACCAAGTTAGGAAGCCTTCCTGAGTAACTACTCGTAACTAGCATCATGGGTACGTGGATGGCAATGGCCCCTTTCCAGGCCCCTGGAAGGACCAGCAGGTCCCCTACAAACAGGGCACACATCTTTGAAGGAAGACTTGGCTTCGAGGTTGTGGGACTTCTGTGGACCACACACCACCGCATGAACTTTTTGGTCTGAAGATCCGCGGTGCCGCGGTGTCGCAGCGTACGAAACACGCCAGCAGCGAGTGCAAGCTGAGAAGAGTCCTGGAAAAGCTGCATTCATCACTTAATCCTTCCAAGTCTCAGGGCACCCGCAAACAAACGTCCTTGCAACTTAGCCCAGAGCTTTGGATGGCACATTTTACCCCACCTTGGAGTCAAAACCCACCACAAGTCATTTGGCACTTTCAGGGTAGTTTTGTGGAGAGCCATTGACAGCTTTCCTACCCTCCTTCATAATCAATGTTTAACAATTTTTCATCCTCCCATCCGCCAAATTTTGAACCCGTGCGTAGTTGATTTTAAGGGTGGTTCGGCTCTCCAAACAAATTCCATCATCCTCCTTCCCGATTTCCTCCCTTTGCCCGGACGATGCGTTCGTTCGCCTGGGCGCACGAACAGTCGACCCGCAGATGGACCCGACCGGGACGAACGGACCTCCTCAGCCTCGTTGCTCCGCGCGTGGCGAGGCTTGCGTTGATTGGCTCTCAGTCGTTGTCCGTCCGTTTTTCCGGACATGGTGGGTCCTTTGATAGGGGAATCCCATTGTCCGCAGGTGGTCCATCGCTTGGAGGCGTGACTGGGAGGGATGGTTGAGGACTCCTGAGGAGTAGATAGATTGAGATTGCTGAACACAGAGCTGTTTGGACGCGGGTAGGGTCAAAGTGGCTCAGGCAAAGCCACTGGTGTTCGGGGCGGGGTGTTCTCAAAGCTTCGGGTCTGAGAAAGAACACTTCAAGAGATGGCAGGATGTGTTCATGTTTGCCATTTACAGTACATTGATTTGCGAAGGGGGGGCAAAGTGGGGTAACACATTCTTGAGCCAAGGGCACGTTCCTGTTCCTGTGTCACCTTCACACGGCGGAGAAATTGTTTGCTTTTGGAGAAGATGTGTGCCGCCCGAGATATGCAATCGACCAACCCAACAAGTGACCCACCAAGCAGGAGAATCAGGCTTTCCTGCAGGATTCAGGTCCCCTTCCCAAAAGCTCCAAATCTATGGCCGACATTGTTTTGGATGGTCTTGGGTGGTTTTCATGTAGGCCATAGCCATGGCAGTCCCAGACAGGTCGCTGCTGAAGGTTCATGTTGCTGTTCTGAATTCCGAAAGCTCCCTGCAGATCTCCTGCAAGGACCCTTTGGAGATCAGCGCTGAAGAGCGCGAACACTCACAGGCCCCCGGGCACGGGTCATCATCTAATCCGCGAGCCGAGACCGGGCCAGGATGGAAACCATCTCAACAGAAACAGCCTATTTCTTTTGGGGTTACCAGTGATGCGTCGAACACTGGGTCAGGAAATGTCATGAACGAGGCTGGATTCTTGGAGACCGCTGTAGGAGGGATACCTATCAAAAAGAAAAATGATTCCTATCAAAAAAACATTAATTCGTATCAAAAGAAAATTCCCCCTACTCCTTTGCTCCTGGTCTGCTGGTTCTGTGGTCGGTTGGTCCTTTGGTCCCTTTGTCCTGGTCCCTTGGTCCCCTGGTCCCTTGGTCCTCTGGTCCCTTGGTTCTCTTGGTGCTTTGGTCCTTCGTCCTGGTCTTCGGGTCCTTGGGTCTGTACTTTCGAGGCAAGATGCGTTCCCGTTCAAGGTGATTTGTGAAGCACTGTAGCAAACCTTTTATCACCAGACGTAGCACACCTTTTTGTGAGCCACCCTGACGGTAAAATTTAGACGAAGAAGGTGCCATTCCAAGGTAGCAAACCTTTTGTGAGCCACCTGAGGGCAAATTTTAGAAGAGGAAGGAGCCATTCCAACATTGCAGACCTTTTGTTAGCCTTGTGAAGTTAAAATTTAGAGTGCCATTCCAACGTAGCAGGCCTTTGTTTTGTGAGCAACGCGAGGGTAGAATTTGCTATTCCAATGTAGCAGACATTTTGTGAGCCACCCGGGGGTAAACTTTAGTTGCCACGCCACGGTAGCAGTAGACCTTTTGTGAGCCATGCGAGGGCAAAATTTACAGGAGCAGACCTGTTGTCAGCATAAACTTTAGAGGAGGAAGATGCCATTCCAACATAGCAGACCTTTTGTGAGCCATCCACAGGTCTTGTGGTTTCGAGATTCAGAGAGGTCTTGGGATCCATCTACAGAAACCGACAAGTAGAGGTCTGAAATTCAGAGAGATCACGTTGAGATGCAGAGAGGTCTAACGGATCTGCAGGTGTAGAGGTTTATAGAAACCCACAGATCTAAAGATGGAGGTTTAGAGGTCTTGAGTCTTGAGATCCAGGCAGGTCTTGAAATCTAAGCTCTAGGGGTCTAGACTTGCAGAGGGTGTAGGAAGATGTCCAGATTCAGCGATATCAAGAGCTCTTTTCAGAGGTCTTGAGATCCACAGAGATTTTGCGCATGCCACGCAATCTGCACATCGAGGTTCGCAATCGCTGCACCTGCCACGAAGTCTGCGCTTATAGACAGAGCTAGGTTCACCCAGCGCTGCGCCTGCCACGCAATCTGCACTTCGAGGTTCGCCCAGCGCTGCGCCTGCCACGCAATTTGCACTTCAAGGTTCACGAAGTGCTGCGCTTGCCATGAAATCTGCTGTTCCAGTGCACAAAGTGCTCTGCGCCTGCCACGAAATCTGCACTCCAGTGTGCAAAGTGCCGCTCCTGCCACGAAATCTGCTATTGGAGGTGCTCAAAGTGCTGCGCCTGCCACGAAATCTGCACATCCAGATTCCCATCGCGCAGCGCTGCCAGGGCGGTTCGCAGTGGCAGGCGCAGCTCTTCGTGAAAGGATATTTTGTTTTTACAAATTGGTCTTCTTTTTGATAGGATATAGCAAAATTTTCTTTTTGATATTTAGTTAATTTTTCTGATCGCCCGGCCGAAAATGGATTCGTATCAAAAAATGATTCCTATCAAAAAACATTAATTCGTATCAAAAGAAAATTCCCCCTACTCCTTTGCTCCTGGTCTGCTGGTTCTGTGGTCGGTTGGTCCCTTTGTCCTGGTCCCCTCAAACGCTTCAGGTCAACGCCTCAGGTCAAGGCTCGAACGAAAAAGCCGTGCTCGCAGTGGGTTGCGTCCCCCTTGTTGGACACCGACCATACTGTTTAAGGTTCCCAAGTTCCCAAGAGCGGTTGAGAAGGAGACCCAGCGTTGGTCTATTTGTGATTGAATTGGAAGAATCACTTCTGCAGCCGCTTATGGTGTTGAGGAAACTTGTTTTTTGCCCACATAGGTGTGGAATGTGATGGAATGCGATAGCAGAAGGTTCTGGTGAGGCCGAGTGGACCCGCTTGGAGGAGTTTGGTGTTAGTTAGAGGCGGACATGGTTTTTCCGTTTTTCCTCTTCCATGTTTGCTCAAAGAAACTGGTTTGACCAATGACACCCTTGTTCAGAGGCGGCTTGTAGAGGGGTCATGCCATGGTTGCATGTTCTCTGTCCTTTCCACGGACGTCCGCGCATGTCCGCGCGACGGAGCGTTTTCCAGAGGTGGATTTGGCACGCTTCAAAAGCTTCAGTCCTGAGGCGAGCCGAAGAGGGGGGCCTTCCAAATAATTGTATGGTGAAACGGCAAATTCTTTTATTTTTCTTTAGTACATAAAGTTCATATATATGTACAGTTGCTTAGTAATAAAACGAAGTAAATTTGTCAAGAATTTTACCGTTGCAGTACAATCAACATGTCTGGATGACACACTCAAACGACAGTGTGCTGTCAAAGCCCTTTGTATTTGAAGGAAAAGCTTGCATGGTAGCGGAGCAGTGATAGAGGTATCCCCCTTTTTCTTGAATGGGGGTTCTTGTTTTGGAGATGTTTTGCTGGTGACACGCCCGATCTTGGTTGGTTTTCCACCCAGGTGAGTCCAGGCTGGACCATATCTTGGTGGCATGGAAGAGCTGAGCGATGTTTTGGAGAGTGTGGCAGGGTGGACACAAGCAGCAGCAGATGCTGCAAATGCGGTTCAAAAAGTTATAGAAGAGAAGAGAGGCATCTACACGACAGACTGGTCGAAACTTCTTGCAAAGCCCTGCAGTGATTTTGAGCACAAGAACCATGAGGATGTGATCAAGGCTTTCAGGGGGTGATCATGGGTTTTCGAGAAGTACTTGGTCTTGATAGTTGGGCCGCGTAGTAGAGGGGTTGAAGGCTTTGCATGCGACGCCAACCCAATGATACTTTCAACGTGCCTGGCTCATCAAGGTCAATCAAGACGCAATCAAGAGCAGTTGAGGATTTGAACGGGCTTGATGCTTTGAAGAGCTTGAGCGGAGCGCGATAGTCTACTTCAAAGACGTGGACTAACAGTGCTTGGGGCTGCAGCTGCTTGGCCAGCTTCTTGCATGAGTCAACCTTTGCAGATGCACTTTGAGGTTGGAGGACGTCTTTGACGAGACCAGCAAGGCCGGAACTGCAATTCTTGTTGTTTGTTGAGCTGAACAAGATATTTCATGCAGTTGGATCATGAAAGAGGCGAAGCTTTCGCGCCCAGGCCATCGCCCAACGGAGCCGACAGGGGGTGTTTGATTGCCTGATCTTCTTGCTCTTTCGCGGCCAGGTGTGTGTAAATTGGAGCAGGGAGGTTTCCAGCAGAGGTGAGTTGAAGATTGGTGAGTTGAAGAGTGGGACAGTATAGTAGTGGAGTGCCTTTTTTTGTCGTTGAGTAGAACGGCATTGGAGATTGGCCGTGCGAACGAGGGAAAAGATCCCAAAGGCAAGGGCAAAAAGGCACAAAAAAGGGGAAGAAGGGCAAAGCAGAGTGTCAGAAGGAAAGTCAGTGGAGAGTATGAAGGAAAGAGAGGAGGCCAAGGGTAATCATATGTTATCATTACTGCATTGTGGCAGGCCCGATCAGCGCCGCTGACCAGTGCCTCAGCAGACAGCTCTGAATAGATGAGCAAATCCGCAGACAACCGTCAGGAGGACTGAGGGAATGACTTTGAGTTGTTCACTACTTTATTGGTGAAGATGACAAGACTTCCTGAGGATACTTTTGAGGAATATGCTGAAGAAGTGAAGATGCTTCAGTTTCAGGAGGAGACACGTGAAGCAGAAATATACCCATCATCGTCGACGGCTTTGCTTCCAATCTACGGGGTTGCGTAGGAATAAGGACAGGAAAAGGAAAATTGGATCCAACCACAGGAGTTCGATTTCAAGACTACAGGTGGGACCATGAGTGTTGAGACTGAGCTCAGCGACCTTGATGTCAAAGAGCTTATTCTATAAAAGAGGGCGGGGCGTTTAGCCCCCAGGATGGCAGTCGATCCAGTGCCTGTGAGCAGTGGCGTTGAGAACGAAGAATGAGTCCGCGCTCATTACCGGACGTCCCTCTGAGGCGTGGGAGGTTGATGAGGCTGAGTAGAGGAGAAGCGTGGGAGGAGCAACGCCAGGCAAGAGGCAGATGGTAGAAGCACGCATCGATCAGCTTTAGGAACGCTTACAGAGAATGGGCGGAGGCAGGGCAATGAAGAAAGTTCCGAGGGCTTGAAGCAGATGTTAGAAACGTGGCTGCTCAAATGAGGCCTTTGTGGAGCTAGACATGCCAGATGGAAAACATTGCTACAGTGCTAGGTGGCATGCGACGTGATCGGAGAAGGAAACGCTGCCAACTGCTTGTCCAGGAGCCGCAAGTTCAGCGGCCGTGACTTTTGCAGCTTCACACATCGCTGTTCCAGCATCAAGATTACTGAGCTGTTCGAGAAGAGAGACAAGAGGAGACAATGGGGTCAGGAGTGACCAAGCGGATAGGCTTCAGCAGCAAAAAAGGGTGTTGAAGATGTGAGATAGACCGCGTGACAAGAGGATCCTGTGAAGAGCTGGGGTGCTATCGAATGCGAAGCGATGTGAGAACTTCGAGATGACACACGCATTACGGAACATTGATTTTCCAAACATGTTTTCAAGGAAAGGTTAGCAAAGACACTGAGGGTGTGCACAGTTACTGTTTGTTTGTATGATGTTTTTATATGTTTTTATAGTAAACCATGTATTTGCATGAAACGCAAATACAGTATACATAAATACACCACATGTATTCAATGTTTTCCAAACACCAGTTACTAATGCAACATGCCGTGTATGGAATTTGCGCATCATTGTCCGTCTGTTGCAGTTGATCGACGTGCTGACCGATGAATTTGATCTTATCGAGCCCTGCTTCGAGGTGTGACAATAGTGAGGGCGGTGGTTGCACGGAGGCGGATGTGCCATATGTTCAAGCAAAATGTTCCATGGTCGTCATGTTCAAGGTGGATTTTTACCAAACTATGTTAGTTTGTTTTGTGTGATCCAAAGTTATATGTGTGGTGACGGTAATTTGAGGGTCTGGCGATGTTGGATTCCCCCAAAGTGCCCGCCATGCAACACATCTTATTCAGCATCCATGTTTGATAATGTTTGATATGATGTTTGTTCACCAAGGTGTACCATATTTATTGCAAGAATCGGAACCACATGGATGTGGACCTTTCAACAGTGGCATCCAAGACTCTTCATTCGCAGGGTCCAAATCGACCCACAGTGTCCAAGTGCTGTGAGATGATGTCGCAGACCTTGGGCGGTTATTGTTTTCTGTCATGACGATTACTGACGATTGTCCTTTGCAAGGATCTGGGTTTGACCCCAAAAAAATATTGCAAAACCTAAAACATGTTCTGGCAACAACTCGTACCTCTGAAATGGTTCACTCAGATGTCCAACCAACCATCAGCAGTGGCCGTTTTTTCGTCCCCCCTTACCTCGCCCCGCCGCGCACGGGGCCCCCTTGCTCGGCTTGGCGCCGCGAGGTGTCCACATCAATTGCCACAGTACGCGCGGCGATGCCCGTGGGGTCCATCCTAGTGGCTCAGCAGCCCGAATGCGCGAACGTTCACCGATGGAAGATGGAAGATGGTGAAACGAAATGGTCAGTAAACATTTTGTTTAAAGGCATCTTGTTGTCCACGGACCGATCGTGTGTTTCAGAGGTCTGGTTGGGATGCTGCTGGTGTTTTGCGGGCCTTCGAGAGCTTTGAACCAGACTTGCAATACATTCCACTAAAGGTGAAAATACACCAGGTGGACCTCACAATACACTGAAATCCACCTCGTGTTTTTTCACCTTTAGGATCCTGAGGATGTTCAAGAACTGCAACAGGGAGTTCTACTTTGAATTTTTTTTCTCAGCTTGGTGGGAGTTTTGTGCCTTTGGACATCATCTACCTGTGCCTCGTCAGGAAGACAGACCACCTCATAACCCCTCTTCACGAACCTTCCGCCCTGGGTCACGGGAAGGCTACAAGTAGAAGGCATGACAGGGTTGAAGCCTTCGTTGCGCTTCCGCAACCTTCTGGGACGAACGGCACGTCGTGCCGGGGCCCATCCGGCCGTTCAACCAGCTTCGTCCGACCTGGTCGATGGTCGCCGGTCCGGTCGCGTCGCGCACGGAGAGTGAAACGTCCCGAGGACGTCACGGGGGGACGTCTTTGGTGCTGCCGGATGAAGATCTTTGAGGCGATTGGAATCGATTGGGATCGATGGACACACCCTTTTGGATCCATGTGGGGATCCATCAAAATTAGGTCGATTTGGGGGAGACAAAAGCCTGGGAGACTCGATCCAGGCGTTTGTTTGGGTAGCAGGGGACCTGGCTGGTGTCCAGCAACATCTCCAACACAAACAGACTTCGATTCAGTAAAGACCACCCCAAATGACTTGCCACCTTTGGAAACAAGGCCCCCACCACCGGTTCGGTTCGCTTCGGCTTAAACGCCGGCGATCCCGGATCACCACATGACAGTCGGGTGCTCTTAGAAACTCTCGGAGCTTGGCTAGGCTTTTTCTCGGTGTCGCCGACTCCCAGAGGGCGGGAGGAGTTGCTTGCTCCACCGTCTACGCTGCACCGAGACGCTGCAACACGGAGATGCCACACTCGGCACCACTGAGCTGACGTCTTGTTTGACCATGAAAGGGGTCTATTGACCCCCTCTAGAATTCCCACAGGAATTGAAAGATCCATGGAAAGGGTTTATATTTATACAAGATGTAACCTTCAAAAGGCTGGCGTAGGCAACCTGCTTTGGAACGGCTTGGCGGTCGTAGGCATTGTATTGTCAGTATAATGTTTGTCGTAGGCGTTTGCCGTAGGCGACCGAAATCGACCGAAATAGCATGCCTTGAAGTCACCCAGCTTTTGTTTCGACTACCAGGGAGGTTAGAAAGGCCACCGTTTCTGTGTAAGAGGTGAGAACTCCCAACAATATCAACAATGTCCCAAACAACTCTTTTGTGTTGTTTTCCTGGGGACATTTTCCGTAGGCGGCTCACCGTAGGTTCTCCGTACAGGCACCGTAGGCGAAAATGCATGTTGTGATCCTCCCCCATGTCCGCTTGCCTATAGTACTCTCAAGTAGATGTTAAAACCTGCTGTTCTGAGAAGTATTCCCAATGTCGACATGGGAGACTAGACGCGTCAGTTCACGTAGTGCGTGGTATCGCCCCTCGCCTCCCATGTCCAAAACTCATGATGAGCATGAAGTCGTTGCTTGCTTGTCTTCCGTTGTGAAGCACATAGCCAATGAACCAACTTGCCCATCGTAGAGTGCCTGTGTGCTGACATTTGCTCCGTCTGTCTGCGAACGACTTGGGCCGCTCTGTCGAGCTCATCATCTGAAAGATGGGTCAGTCGCTGCGTAACCGTTTCCACTTGCAAGAACTGCATGGTACCGTAGGCAAATTGGAACAGTAATGCTCCAAGACCTCACGTTCGTAGATATCCCGTAGGCGATGTGGAATAAGCCATGTCTGCCGTAGGCTTTCACTGTGGAAACGTAGCCAGACCGTAGGGTTCTACATAGGCACCCTAAGATGATAACACCACCACATCTTTAAACATTAAACATATCCCTGCTCAATTGATCCATTGAAGCTCCTCTTCAGATTGAGGCGAGGACGGCCAGGCTGCCCAAACTGGCCCATTGGTAGATGTTCTGGAGTCCCAAAAACTCGGGAGGCGGTTCCGCCACTCGATGGCTCAGTTCCGCCGATCTGACGGCGGATGCGACGGTCCAAATCTGGACCCGCAGGTCCGAGAGCCGGAGATCGAGGGCGCTGAGGGCGCGGTGTTCTCCGCGGAGGTGGGCCCGGGTGGATGAGGACTGAGAGTTCTATGCTATTTACAATTGAGACAAAGTCTTAAATAGATGTTTCAATGCCGTATGTTAGAACATGTTAGAAGAAAAGATGAGATGGCTGCCTCACAAGCAGTTCTGAACGTCCGGCACCAGCAGCACAAGCAACTCTTGCATGGTTTGAACATGGTGTGTGTGTGTGTTCTTAGGCCTTTTTTTGAGGCCTTGGAACACCTGCACCATCCCACCATCCCACCATCCCGCCTTGATCCGACCTCGCTGTTGACCTCCCTCCGAGGCCGCAGAGATGGGACCGACTCGGGAGGTCCGGTGCGGACCGGAGCCGTGTGGAGCCGAAAGGCCAAGGAAGGACGTCACAAGGCCGTTTGGGCTCCAGGAGGTTTCCTCCCCAGGTATGGTATATTTGGACCCTCCTGGGACCCATCCCCAGGTCCCAGCTTCGAAACGAAGGTCCGACGGTACGCCCAAACGGGAAGGTCCACAGCAGTTCCAACAGCAGTTCCAAAATGACCGACCACCGAAGGCGATTTCGACGTGCCAAGAACCGTGGGAACGGTGTTCTCCACAAAACACTCACTGAGAGTCGGACATCTCCAGCCGATCCGAAGACCGGACGACCGGTACGATGATGCCGGTCCTTTTGACCGACCTGCCGAAGGTTCTCAGGATTCCATTTATGGCTTTTCCTGCATCTTGAGAACACCCGTACATCAACTCCAGGACGCCTCTCCGCCGCGCGCGCGTGCCCTTCCACCTTCCGGATCTTTCGGGCAACCACATCGATCACCCGACGTCGCCCGGTCGGCGGAGCGCAGGAGCGCCACAGCTGTGCCGGCTACGGCCGCAGCGCGGAGCACGCCATGATGATGGCCAGGCCGAGCCTCGGCCGAGCGGCTGTGGCACCGAGCGGCGGATGTTCGATGGTTTCCATCGTGGGAAGACAGCTTGGTGACCTCAGGGGAAAGCCAGGATAAGCTAGGTGGCATCTGTGGGATAAGCTGATAAGCTAGAAGTTCAACCAGGCTCAGAATACACTGAGATCTATACCTTGTTTTTTTTTCAAGATTTAAGGAATCTTGAGGCTGTTCAAGAGCTGCAACCGGGAGTTCTATCTCGCATTCTGAACTTGTTTGCCCAGCTTGGTGGGATCGTCATTTTGGGATCATCTACCCGTGGGCCCCATAAACTTCAAACCCCCCCCCTTCACGAACCCTCCGCCGGTCACGGGAAGGCGCCAGAAGACGGGGCATGACGTGCCGGGGCCAATCTTCAGCCGTTCAACCATCTTCGTCCGACCTGGTGCTGACGGGAGAAAACGAACGGTTCGGTCGCGCTCCCACGTAGTTGTATGGCTTTGACCCGGACATGTACTGTCCAAAGGCCGATGAGTAGCCGATGAGTAGCCGGTGGCATGAGTTCTATGCGAAGTCGGGTCGACATGGTCTTATACCCGTTCTCATTGTGTTCCCAGTGGCATTCCAGTGGCGGATAGTGGCAAGACGTGTGCAGGTTGGAGGCCATCGCTAGTAGGTTGGAGGCCATCGCTAGTATGACCGATGAATTGACAGTCTTGATATCCGTGGCTGCCACGGCTGTGGCTCGGTTCTGCACCAGGCTGCACATTCTCGAGAAGCTGGAAAGGCGCGTGATTCTTTGGCCCAAGCCTTTCTGTCTAACATGAGAAGTTCCACAGCGGCTAGGGTTTTGCAATGTGTTTAATGACGACGGTCTATCTACTCCCAAAGCACTGTGATGGATTTCTTCCTCCAGCTTTCCTTTCCTTGTCGACTGCCCCTCGAAAGCTCTAGACTGGACCGTGTTCTCATGTGTTTTCAGTGGTCTCAGTTGACTCTCCATCCAGTCCCCTGAAGATTTTCCTGCTGTTTGCTATGGCCTGTTGCCACCTCTTTTAATGTGGGCTGCGGCAGCGCTAAGAAGTTTATTTGAGGTACCAACCAAGTTCAACATGGTTTTGATATTTCTTTGGAATACATATTTAATATACACACATTGCAGACCTGTATATGAGGTTGGGTAAGAATCTGGGGAACGACTTCTGTGAGAGTCGAGATTTCACAAGACTGGAAGACTGGAAGGGCTTCAGATTGATTTGATCGGTTATGGGGGGTGTTGTTCATCTACCAATCTAATCTACCTGCCAATTGATGACTTTCACGCCACATTTCTGTATTGGTGAATCCATGTGATTCAGAATGAACCAAGTAAAGGCTACATTTCAATACACTTTGCCAATATACAATCATGCATAGGCCTGCCACAAGCTGCACAGTACACATCAGATACAATCATTTCTCAAGCAAAACGGACGTCTAACGGGGAGAAGGGCAGGCAGGAAGAGGAGGGAAGAGGAGGGAAGAGGACGGAATCGGTTCAATCAGTTCTGGGTTCAGGGGCTAACCCCAGCATGGGACGGTTTGGAGCTACGTGGAAGCCCAGTAGATCCAATGTAGGGTCCTAAACGTCCAAAGGGCCAAAGGGGGTGAGGCTGCAGCAGGGCCAACACGGGGACATGGATTGGATGTGGTTCCGGATTTGCATGCCTGTGCATTTCATGGTTTATTTTCCGTTGCTTGCCTTTGGACACGATGCAGGCGTTCCAAATCAAACAAGAAAATTGATACTCTCGGTAGTTACTGAAATTACAGTCAATATTTGAGAATTTTATAATGCAAAGGTAGTGTGGAGCTTAGCAAATGATTTGGAACGCTCTCTCCCTCGATAAATTGACTCACTCACCATCTACCTCAAATTAAGTTTTGAAGCATACATCCATATAATTATCTCAATCAATTGCCGGTACACCCCTCGCCAACGGATGGCACATGTTTATAAAACTGGCACAGGAATCCGTTGAGAGATGCACCTGCAGGTGGGACGCCAGTGACTTGTTGCCACGTGCGCGGCAGTTGGAGAAGCAGCTGCAGGCGCCGACAGATGTGTGGAGCAAACGAAGCACCAATCGAAGCCTATGTGTTGTGTTTGGGGATGTGCCAACCAGACGACTGGTGACGCAGACGACTGGGGCAGTGTGGGGGCAGGTCTGAACATGATTGGGAAAAGGGCTAGGGTCAAAACACACACGACCTAGATTGATGCTAGCAAGAGCTAAATCAGTTAAGGCAATCCACTTTAGTTAGTGAATACAATACCGATCTAGAGCGCTGGAACCTGAACCTGTCAACGGCCATGTGCAGAACAGAAAGGTGAGAAGGTCAGCCTAAACAGTATGGTTTACTTCAAAAACGCTTGCATGAAGTCGCAAGCACGTTCCCAAGGCGTCCCTCGGGATTATCACAACACGATGGAAGGGTCTTCGTTGAGCAATGCCTTCCAAAGTGTTCATTGCCCCCGCCTGGTATGTTGCTACAACGCGGAGAAGCAAATTAACTTGCATTAAGTGGTGTCCTTCGGTACGGGTGTGGACGCACACACACGGAGCCGGAGATCGGCGCTGGCTCCTTTTTTTGTCCGCAGGGAAAGGGGGGGGAAGAGGGTGTGGGAGTGCATTGACTAAACGATCCTGGATGTCAACCTAACAAGCCTAAAAGAAAGAACAAGGCAAGCGAAAAAGGCAAGGAAAGAAAGGAAAGGTGCAAGGGATGTGGGGGTGTGGGCAGGGCGTGCGTTGACTAAACGAGCCTAAGCGCCGACCTAACAAGCCTGAAGGAGAGCCCAAGCAAACGAAAAAAGGCAAGGAAAGAAAGGTGCGAGGGGTGTAGGTGGGAGCGGTGAGGGGGTTTCATGCCCGTAGGCGTGATGAAAAGCCGCAAGCGGCGCTCCCTTGACTAAAAGGCCTGAATTACATCTAAAAAGCCTCTAGAAAACAAAAAAAAGACATAGAAAATGAAGAGCAACAGCAGGAACGAAAGAACCGGAAAGTCCTGTGGCCTGTGAATACTTGGCGGCATGACATGTGAATACTTAGCAGCATGGGATGCTAGTCGCGGAGATTTGATCTCAGTAAGCCCTGCGGCGTATGGTCGGCACTTTCGAGCAGAACGATGGATTGAGCAAGGTCCACGATGAAGATCACGTGCAGTCAGAAGGATCAGGGGGGGTCACCTTTTTAAGGGCATGTGCACATGCTGCGCCCCTCGCTGGGGATCACACCACAGCCCGCAGTGGGACTCTGTGGCGAAACATACTTAGATTGATGCTCGCAAGAGCTAAATCAGTTAAGGCAATCCACTCTAGTGAATACAATACCGATCTAGAATGTCTTGGTGGCGGCGGTGACGGTGGTGCATGTCCCCCGGCAAGTCAATTTTGTTGTATATACAATTATATACATCTCATTGACAGTGCGGCCAAGCAACTGAAGGCTGAGTGCATTGTGCGTGCGTGTTTTTGTTTGGTTTTTGAGCCCTCGACCTGTAACAGTCGGGAAACCTAGAGTCTAGAGGAGAGCCCATCACAAACCGAAACACGTTCGTGCTTTTGCCAGGGGTCCCTGGGGTTTCATAGTCCTAGTCCTAGTAGGAGCCGAACAGACCCGTCCTCGCTGGTCCTCGCTTCGGCTTCGCATGACCGTCTATGACCGTCCTCCGTCTCCCGGTTGAAGGGGCCCTTTGGTGCTTCTGGGCCTCGAGACACGGGAGCGGCAGGACAGCGCGCGGGAGCTGCTCGAGCAGGCTGAGGGCGAGGAGACGAGGGCGGGCAGCGCTTCGACGGTCGTAAGGGGCAGGGTCAAACGTGGTTCGTAAAGAGTGTCTCAAAGAGTTCCCTCATCCTCGAGGTAGCCTACACAATGCAAGGTAGTTGAATTCAATTAGCATGCTTATAGCATCTACACAAGGTAGATGTGTTCCAAAAGATGGAAAGATTCGATGTTCAAGTACAGTACAGTGATGATTCTCATCAGGACGCCCGCCAGGTGCCACCCAATTGATTGCCATCCTCGTCGAGGGTCCGATCTTTCCTCCACCTCGCCGTCTCATGGGCCACCGCTTTGGCTGGCTGCAATATTCCAAGGGGATCCCAGAGAGCTCATCGGGAAGGATCGTATCTTTTTTCAATGAAGGATTCTCATCTATCTCATCCTCATCCTCATCTTCATTTTCATCTTCATCCATCCTCTTCCTCTTCACCTGCTCTCATCAATCCTCATGATCCCTATTTCTCACCCGATCTCGCTGCAGGAGCTGCCGGCGGTTCCGTTGAAGGCCTGGTTTCCGCCTGAGATGGGACCGGACGGTCTCAGGAGACCTCAAATCCCACGAAAGTAGGGGTGTAATGAGGCGTTGCATCTACCTTTCGACCAGGTTTCGAGTTGCTGAACCAGGTGACCAGGTGAGCTGGAGAGTATTCAGTTCATGAGGTACGGCTGATGGCTTTAATCGATAGTTTTCATGGTTGGAAGTGTTTTTTTGGGGTCTTTCCATGGTCTTTCAAGTTCATCGTAAGAGTTTTTGGCCAAGGCATCAAGGCACCGGTGTGCGATGCTTGTTTGTGAATGCACCGTGACTCCGGAGGCTCAGCGAACCCCTCCAACACGCCATGTCTCCGCACCAGATCGCTATAGGGATCGATCCAAAATGACGGAACCATCCAAGAGACCTTGACACGCCGTCTTCCACATCACACCGGCTCGAGGTTTTTCCAGCGGGCGGCCTAAAAAGCAGTGTTGTTGAAGCACTGAAACCTATCCGACTATCCCTCACCTGACGGTGTCTCAAGAAAGCAAGTGTTTAAGGTTTAAAGCAATTGCTTGGAGATCTTAAAGTTCTTTACTTGCACAATTGCAAATGGCACATCGTTTTATTCAGTTTTATGCAATGTTTTTGCTTGGGTGTTCACGCCCACGCTTCCAACCATCCTCCAAATGCTCTCGTTGCTCTCCGATGGTCAGGAGTTCTTAGACCTCTTGGAATCGCTCCTGTTGAAGCCACTGGGCGGCCCAAGTGTGAGATTTCACCGGAGGAAGAGGGGGCGCACGAGGGACCCCTGGAAATGGATTTGAATCTGTGAATATAATATATAATATATGAACAGTAGCTAGTATGAACTATTACAGTCAGTCTGGACCGTTTGGTTGGCAGTTGTACTCCCTTAGGCCTTCGTCTTCTTCCTCCCTGCAGCTGCGCCCTTTCTTTCTGACCCATTTCACTGGGTTCGGAGCTGAAGACTCCAAACCATAGACCCTGGAAGTTCAAAGACTATATTTTGACCAGCTGAAGTAAAGGAAGTTCCCTTTCAGGTCCCCTAAAGACAAGTCTTTTTATAATCTTTGACTCCCAGGGTAGATGGCAGAGTTGATGATCGCTTCACAGATCACCTGAGAGTCAGAGGTTTGCACGGTTTGGTGCCCAAAAACACGATGGTCATCGAACACCTGCTGCGCAAACGCTGCGTTTTCCGTTTTCCTATGCCATGTATTCCACGCATTCGAGCGAGTCGAACGGCCCGGTCGAGCTGACGATGTGGCCTCAATGGATTTGAATGTTCAGAAGATAAAACCTGATAAAGACTCTTAATAGCGGATAAAACCATTCTTTTCTTGCAGCATATGAAAGTTGTGTCATTCCTTGGACGTCCTAAAGCCCTTGCAGTCGCTCCTCCTTGGAGACCAGGCCCAACCCCAAGAGCTTCGTCGTGTGGAAGCTCTTGGCGAGGCGCCTCGCAGCTGGGGTCGCGGTGGAACGTTTACCCCGATTGTCCGGAGACGATGGGGGTGTGTATTTGAGATCCGGGATGTCTTTTCTTCCAGTGGGTCGAACTCACTGGGAGGGTCTCTCTATGGTCTCACTATGGTCTCTCATATGGTCGAACTCACTGGGAGGGTCTCCGAAACTATGAAAAAAGCACACCCGCGGCCATTGCTGGGCTTGCGAGGGTGGCATTTTGAGATATTTTGAGAATCAGATCCGTTGCTGCGGCCGATTGCCAGATCGGATCGCACGGACTTCTGGGTCCACATGCGTCCAACTACGGGGTCCACAGTGTCACATAAACACCAACACTGGCTGAACACCCACCGACGCTGTGGATACCCCACCTTTCCTTCGCCTTCTTCGACATGGCTGACCCAAAACGCGTCGACTGACATGACCGGTGGAAGTAATGGCCTGCGGTGGAAGACCATCTTCCGAAAATACCAACCCAGCATGTTCATTTCCGGGGGAGTAATCATCCCAGGTGGGGTGTTTGAACACATGCGGATTCCCCGTGCCATCTGTCCCCCAGTTTGAGTGATGGTTTGGTAAGCGAAGTTGTATTGTAAGTGTTGGCCGGGGCCTGTCCCAAAAACGAATCTGTGAATCAGGCAACTCAAAATGCTTCACTTGCACCACGTTTTGCTATGTTTTGCCAGACATCTCTAGACTCCACCTGGACCAGCGTATGGTACTGTTACACAAGAAAGGTGTACCAATCCAAGCTGTGGTACGCAACACTGGTAATTAAGTGGTACTCATTTTTCATCATTTTTCATTCAAGTCCCCCCAAACGAGCACCACTCTTTCTTCCTTGAGCGATGGCTCTTCGGATATTTCCATAGCAGTTTGACTTTGACTGCGCACATTCATTTTGAGTTCATGGACGAACCAAAGTCGCAGATCAACGGCTGCAAGATATGGGCACCTGTTACCAGGATCTTCAAAAGCAGCTGAATCGATCCATTCGATCTCTAGGTCCAGATGTCAGGATCACTTGTGACATGCCATGAGCTCATGCCGCCCATGTTTGTTGGTGTCATCTTTGTGTCATGCACGCGTATTGAACTAATGTGGGTAAGTACAATTTTTGTGTTGACGTTGCTGCTTGCTTCCGTTTCCATCCGTTTCCTACGTGTCAGCTTGTGAGTCCTTCCACCCACTTTACGAAGGTAAGTGGTTTGTCCATTAGAGAAACGAGCACCTTTTTAGGGACCCTGAACGATGAAACGAGCACCTTTCTACGAGCATTTTGGAAAGAACATGGTACACATTTTGTGTGTACCAACTGGTGGTACAGGTATAGAATTATGTTTTAATGATTTTCCATGATTTTCCCAATCTTTACCCTTTCTTCGGACCTGTTCGAGTGTATTACCACTGCATGTACAGGGGGTGCGGGGAACAAGATAGTAGTCTGACCGCGACCCCACGTGCTTGGAGAAAAAATACGAATTTCAAACATGTTCTGATCCTTTCTGCGTGCTATGTCGTCCTGCTCCCATCGTGATCAGGTCCTGGCCTTACATCTTGGCTTTCTCCGATGAGGTGCTGTCACGTGCAATTCTCTCGTCGTCAGCCGACCGGTGGCTGGCCTCACGGCGCTCACGGTGTTTTTCCTTCAAAATCCCGCCACCTTTTTTTACTATTTTTCACCCGGCAGGTTCCGTGAGAATCTTCAGGGGTCTCTCCCCATAAATTTTGGGTCTCTGAGTAATTAGACAGTTTCCATGGGCTATGGCGGCTATGCCTATCTAGCTGGGCTGGCATATTGTCCTCACATGGCTGCTGGATTTATATACCCCAAAGCATCCCTCATTTGAGCAACCACTTTTATTTAGGCTTTACTAAAGTAGTCTACGGCATGCTCTATTTGCTTGTCTATCATCAGTGTTCGCTTGTGAACCCACATAAACGAGATACTTTTGCTTGATGACACAAAAGTAGTCTGAACGAAATGGTGTGATCTGCTACTAAAGTAGTCTGAACGAGATACTGTGACCTGACCTCTAAAGGAGATAGGGCCCCCCACATCATCGGATAGTGTATTTGAGTTTAGTACCAAATACATGCCGCAGCACATTTGGTGTATCCTTTGAGGTCTTTGCAGTTCTCAGGATGGACAGAATTAAAAAACATAGTCATATTGACCCTTCTAGTGCACCAAACAGACTGCGCAAAAATTCAGGTCAGCCAGGCCTGCCGGCCATGAAGGTCGGGTTTGATCCACTCGTTGCACCGTGCCCACACGGTGGTCAGGATGAACTTCACAAGCTGCACCGTGCCATGCGCATGCTCGGGGCCCAAAGTGAAGGTGGACCATCGTGGTGTCGCGCTGGAAAAACCGACCTATTTTCTTTGTAGATTTCATTGACAGAAGGTTCAGCTCAGAGACCAATTCCGCCGCCCTTTCACGTCGTGTCTCCTTTGGATCGGAGGCTTCTGCGACGTTGGACAGTTCGGGAGGCGATGGCCTCCAACCTACTTGCGATGGCCTCCACCGAGCTTATAGCGTCCTGTTTCTTGGTTTCCGGGAGAGATTTCCCGGGTCCTTCGCCGGTTCCTCCCTTCATCCGATGAGGCCATCCAGAGGCCCCAGCCTGAGGGTTTGGCTGCAGATGGCAGAGGCGCGCGGCTTCTCAGTCGCTGGATGTGCCCTGGAGTGTGCCTATATGGCCTGCATGAATGGACCGTTGAGGGGAGTCTTGGAGAGAGGGGTAGTCCTGCCTGACGAAGGCTCATCACTCCTAGCACCGAAGATCGAAGCACCGGGCGCCCCGATAAACACCACGGAAGACCCGATCGCGCTTCGCATGAAGCTTCGACCGGGATCCGAAGGCATCGGTTCCAAGAGCCGTCATGAGACGTCGTGAGGGTCAACAAAAAGAGTAAAAACACCCATATATGTATAGAACTGAGGGTTCAATTGAACACAAAAGCTCAAAGCTGCTGCAGCTCTTCAGGAAAGAGAGTAGCCTCAACTGATATGACCTGATCAGTTGTTGCATGGAACATCGACTAGACAGACTATATACAGATTTATATATAGCACCAGTAAGCAATTCAACTGTCCAACCCCCCTTTCTCCAATTCACCAGATTTGTTCAAACCCTCCTTGAAAACACCCTTCATCAGATGTGAGCAAGCAAACCTTCCCCTCAACCAGAGGTCCGGTCCTGAATTCGGACACTCCCCAAACAGGCGTCCGGCATGGCCCAGACGGACGCAGCGACCTGGGCTAGGTCGCCGCCTACGACGTGCAGCGGCCCGTCTTGGAGTTCCTGGAGGACCCGACGCGGTCGCGGGACCGGACGTGTGCCTCGTGGTCGCGGAGGGAACTGAAAACCGCAGTTGACGGAAAGACTGAGAAACTCTGAGTGAAACGGCGAAACAGACGTCTTTGGTGTAGATCGGCTGATTTGGGATCTTAAAGTCGAGTCCAAGAGCAGCCGAAGCGACCTACATTAGTGGCAACTTCTATAAAGTACATGGGGTGTTGCGCAAGTTGTAGTCTAGCATTCTCCACGCCTGTTTTCGCAGCACCTGACGGTGGCCACCAGCCCACCAATCCGCCGGCAGCGGGGCAGCACAAGTCGACCCCAAAGTCGGGTCCAGCCGGGCAGCAATGTCGCAAAGACACAGCTAAGACACGACACTGTCTCCATGGTAGTCGGACATATCATTATAATCGGATCATTTTCCCAAGAACTGTAGAATGAACAATGAAGCCATTTCACTATTTAATTTATTATGATGACGATAACTTATGCATGAGTCCACAATCGACAGGTGTTTTTCAGTCTCCTACAGTCCTGAATTGACACCAGCAAGATGGGTGTGTGCACTGTGGTTTGGTGGTTTGGTCCTTCGACACAAAAAGACCACGATTCAGGGGTGGCGCATCGGATCTCAGCGTTGGTTGAAATACTTTGGACACACAGATGTTCTCACATTGCTTGGTCACCAACCTTTCAGACCTCGGCCAATTGAGCCATCGGCCGCCATGCCAAGCTCCCTGTGGGAGCTGGTCCCTTCCCGCGCTCGGGTGCCGAGGCGGGCCCCAGTCGAGGGGGACACTCACGATGGGTCCGCCTGGGGGAGTCGTGGCAAAACCAATTCCGTGGACTTGCTGGTCCGTGTTGCGTGAAGCACGTTTTCTGAAATGCTCGATTGTTCATGAGTGTGGGTTTAGCTAGGTTTAGCATGTTGAGCTGAAAGGCACGACCATTGGTTGACAACCTTGTAAACGGATGCAGCGAAGTGTCGGCATGTGCTACAAGTCCTCTACTTGGCAACCCCCACACCCATCCCACTTCACCAGTTCAAAGGACCTGGGCCCATTCCGGTCTTGGACCCCCCAACCATTCCTGATGTCGCCGTCCCCCAAAATCCCAACAACTGTTACTAATAGCGATGGCCTCCAACCTAGTAGCTTCTTGTATACCTACTAGTAGTATAGCTTCTTGTTACTACGTAGTCGTAAGAAGGAGCCCCTAGTAGCTCCTAGTAATGCCCTTGTTACCCGCTGTAAGACTCTGGTCTCAGTTCCACACCCGGTGACCACCTCCCGTGACCGACCTTATGCGAACGACCGTGGTCGAATGGCCGTCGACCAGGGAGTCCAGCCTCGGTGCTTGGGATCCGATTCCTCTGAAGGCGCTTGGGATCACGTCTGGTGCGTCGTCCGAGGGGCGAAGACGCGGTGGTGGCCGTGGGATGGGGCGGTTTTGGCGCCAAACACCGGCTTGCAGGGATGGGGCGGCTTGGAGGGCTTTGGGTGTTGGAAGAAACCGCCACCGCGTGGCTTGTTGGAAGGGAAGAGAGCAGACTTGTTGAATTGGAGGACGTGGCTTAATTTGCGGGTGAGTGTGGTGAGTCAAGAGTCAATCTATAATTTCGACGCACCCTACTGGCACTGACGATCTTCAATTGTGGGTGTCTCGGTTCTATTTCTCTTATTCTAATTACAACTGTTGAAAGCAGGAAACCAACGTGAAAGCATTGTACGTAGTAGGACGCGAATGGTTCGCCCAGTTGACCCCATGTTAGTACATTTCGCAGTCGTGTATCATCCTACCTGTTCGTTGGCCGGATCTTCTGCCAGAGTTGGGCAATAGAGGGGGCCACCCTGAGAAATGAGGCTGGGGAGGTGTTGGGAGATTCTGTGAGGGATGGACCATCAAACCAGCCAAGACAGCAAGGACGCTGGGTCGAAGTGTTTCTTCGTTTTGTTTTGGCTTCTTGTTACTAGTAGCGATGGCCTCCAACCTACTGACTTGCGACGGCCTCCACCTAATAGCGTCCTTGTTACTAATGAAGGCCAACTCTGCTTTTCTATCCAATCCAATGTCGGGAGTCCTCTGTGTGACGCTTTTTCAAGAGGTTGATCGACGAGAACAACTTCGCACCTTCTTCGACCTGGATGCTGTAGGCAACAGACGAGTCATGCGATGGACTCGGGTTCAAGCTCCAAACATACCCGGAGTGGCTTCACATCCCGAACATGAACAATAATGTTCGCTCATACCGTGGAATGGGATGTTAATTTTTGGGACACTGCCAAAGCTGTTCCAAATCCCAAGAGCAAAGCTGGTCTTCTTTCCAAGGCCGGTTCCTGGTCAAGGGGCCAGTTCGAGGCTGAAGAGATTGAGCCTTAAGAAATGGAGACTTCTAAGAGTTGCTTCTGTTCAGAGAGCGAGCAAGAGAGAGAGAGAGAGCGAGAGAGAGAGAGAGATGAGACAGAGACAGAGACAGAGACAGAGACAGAGACAGAGACAGAGACAGGCAGGCAAGAAAGAAAGAACACTTGTGGCGATGATGTGATAACCCATCGGTGCTACCTTAGGGATCTGAGTCATCAGATTCTCCTTTTGACCTTGCCACCATTTGCCACCCATTCCACCACCCAAAGCACCCACCGAAAGCTGCGTCGATGGTTACCGGGATGCCCTGGTTCCACATCGTGCACATTTCTAGACTGCCAGATTCTGACCCACTAACATGGACGTGGAAAATAGACCCCGGGCCCCGGAAAGACAATTTCGCTATACAAGCAGGGATTTTCCACGTCCATGTTATAGTTAGTGAGAGTGTAAGTCCAGTAGACCTTATCCTTAGCTATAAACATCTACAAACCATTTCCATGATGCCTTTGTGTTGACCATTGTTGACCAAAAAACTGCAAGGATGGACTGATGGACTGTCCATGCAGAACAGCTGAACAGCCTGGTGTTTTGGGAATACAATACACTTATATAATGGACCCCAGTTCTTTCTTAATATCCTAAGGACCTTTCTCCTCGTTTTGCATCCTCCTCTTCTGTCATTTTTGCAACCCATTCGTACCAGGCAACGACATGGGCGACGCTGCGTCGGCAGGTGCCCAACAAAAACCGCTAAAACCGCGGATCACTGACTGGTGTAGAGTTGGGAGATGTTGGGAGCTGGATCATGTTTGATGTTGAAAGCATTCCGGTTGTGGGTGGCTCCCAGCTTTTCCAGCGAGATTGAGCGACACGTTTGAAAGGAGAACACGAGCCATCCGTCAGCCACGAGAACACGCGGACGCTCGAAACGAAGAGAAACGGCTGTCCTGACTCCTACGGAGGTTCGCTTTTCGCTTGTGGATGGTTCAGTGGGGTTGGTTCTGGCCCAGCCACACCGGCCGGGCCTAGCTACAAGAGTACTTCGCACAAGTCTGAGCACAATTTCGTTTCCTTGTGCCAGCTGCAACTGCAACATGTGGGAAGAGAAGAACTGCCGCAGCACTGTGGACAGCCAAGGCTGTCGAGTCCACCTCCACGGGTCACAGAGTAGAGTCAACCTCACCGATGAGAGTCGTTTGTGTTCAGCCACGTACGACCGGCGTCCACCCTACCATACCTTCGATGCACATCCGACCGGCGCCCACGTCATGCCACACATCCGGTCCCCTCGACGTGCCACACGTTAGACCGTTTGTGCCGTTTGCGAGGCGTTTCGGCTGCTGCTCCGGTGGTGAGTGACGCCGCGCAGGCGGGGAAACGTGAAGTGCCGCCTCCATAGAATGACCTTAGAACATCCTTCAAGCTTTGTTTGGGGAGTGAATTTCCCCACAACATGAGCAACAGTTCGGTTCAATCGTTCTTTTCCAGCGAAACGACGTCAAATTCATCAGCTTCACGTTCTACCTGTGATGGATCGACTGGGCCGAACGAAGCTTCGGGCGAGTCATCGAGTGTCCATTTGCTTGGAGAAGCCGGCTTCAGAAGCCCTCCCTCGATGAACTCGCCCGAGTTGCGGTAGATTCATCGTTATATCGACCTTCAACCTCTAATTACTGTGTGTCTGCATATTTCTGCATGTTTCTTTGTGTTTGTAGTAACTTATTTTAATCTCTTACGTAGCCAAAAATGGTCACTTTGCAAGCTCCAGTCCTTTGCTCGCCCGACCAAACCTGGATGGCCAAACACAGACATATTGCTGGTGCCCCTCATGGTGGGGTACTTGATATTTTCTGCTGAGGGTGTTTTCTGCTGCTGGTGCTGGTGCTGGTGGCACTGGGGCACCTGTGGTACCGCATCACGCAGAACAGGCTGGCGCAAACGCCGCGATGAGCGGCGCGCAAGCAGCGGCACCCATGGTGAAGGAGACGGCGAAGAGGGAGTCGCAACGGGTCGCAATGGAGTACCATGGAGTACCACTGGATACACTCAGATCCTCACGTCGACATGGAAGTGGAACATAGGGGGTTTTCGGGAAGATCTTGAGTGAGTGGGAGTGTAACTGTACTCTCCAAAGCTGATCTGCTCATAATATGGGCTCCTGCCATGAGTTTGCACTGAAGTGAGAAGGCCGACCTGAAGAACTCTCTAGGAGAATTAGGCTGTGGAACACAGGTCTCACTGCATCCCAGAATGCTCCAAGTCTATCCTTGTTGAATTTGCACTATGACATGGATGATCCCATGATCCTTACAAAGCTGTGTCTTTCCAGGATCAAAACAAGATCATGTCGACAGTCGATGATATATTGATGATAAAACCTTCATACCAGCACCTTCCAACAGGTCTCCTTTGGAGGGTTGTTAGGCCCTAACAGGTTTCAATTGGTGACCTGTTGGAGGTGCTGGTATATGATTTTCGTCTGGGGTTTATGAATCAACTGTCTACATTAAACTCTCCTCCCGATGAACACATCCAACGGTGATGCCACTTCCTCTCCCAGGACGCGGCCTCGAGTGCCGCCAGCGCGGTCATGAGTGGTGCCCAGGCGCGCGTTGCTACCTGCAGTTTCCTTTTCAGGTCATCAGGCAGGTTTTACAGGCGGTTTTTACAGCAGAAGACAGGGACAACTGTAGATTTGGCACCAGAATCCGAAGCTTCAAAGCTTCCCAATCCCTCAACCATCCTCAACCCTTCTCCTTTTCTCTTCAGCCGACGGCTCGCGAGCTGAGGCGGCTGCTCCCATGGTGGGAGATGCCGCCTCCTCCTTGGCCAGCAATTTGGGAGATGCCGCCAGCAATCTGGGCCCGGCGACCCAATTTTTCGGACATCAACGGCGGAAGGTGGTGGTCGTTTTTGGCGGAAAGAAGACCCCTCTGGCGGACATGTCACGTGGCATACAGCCTTTAAGCTGGAATGTGGCGGCTGTTGTTCTATCTACGATCAACATCCCGGATGGTTGAGTGCGGATAACAATGGTGGAGGCCATCGCTATTAGGGTGGAGGTCATCGCTATACTAGGTGGAGGTCATTGCTACTAGGTTGGAGGCCATCGCTGATTTTAATGATCCAGTATGATCCAGTTGTCGGGGACAATGGATTTTCGGGTTTGGCCATTGCTTAGACCAGCTTGGAGAACTTCCAGATGATGAGGGGGATCAGCATCCCTTCAGAAGAAATGGAACAGTTCCAGTATTTTCAGAGATGTTCTCCTTGTCACATAATAAGAAGTGTCACACAAGTTAACACATCCAAGAGCAGTTTCATCGCAAAGACTGGGGATCCCAGATCCTCAGATGTCACCGATTGAAGCCATTCAAAACAAAGGAGAGTCGAGGGATCCTGGCCTTCCAAGTCTTTAGACTGCGGGGCCAGAGAATCACCGGTGTGGGACATGCAAACATGGCATAAAAAGCCGGCATGGAAGGTGACGACGACAAGTTTGCCTGGTGACCCCTCAATTTCATAGAAACGTTGCCTTTAAATATGCCAAAGATGCCTTGGAAAACCTAGTTGGTAATTAGTGACGATAGTGTGTGGAGGTCCTTCAAGCATGTATTGGAGACTCTTTACACCTATTTGGAGCAGCTCATTATGCGACCCAAGCCTCAGCACCGGACACAACCACCCTCTTTCGCCCGGCAGGCGACGACAACGGCTGCTTTCCTGCCGCGTCCTGCGTGCTGGAACGCCGCAGGGGTGTGGTGCGAATGGAGGATGTGAGGCCTGGGTGCTTGGACCATGTGAAAGGCTCCTGAAACCCTTCTGGAATGTTCGGTCATGATTGGCCCATGCATGCTGCGGGCGTTGCATGCGTCCATCCAGCGCGGGTGAATGGTTGACCTTTACTAAGCCGATCCAAGCGACCCTCACCGCTGCCTCAGGGTGGGCGATGAGCTTGACTGCCGAAAGCTTGGATGGGATGGGAGGGTGGTGGGGTGGTGGAGAGAGACAGCAGAGACCGCCCTTTTGATACAGTCATTTTTCTGGGCGTAATTTTGGATCGGGATGCAGATCAGGTCACGAAAGGTAGCTTGAGCTACCTGAGTTCTCCTTGCTTTAGCAAAAATGTATTACAATCAGGAGTTGGGATTGTGCATTGAATTTGGTCCTGTAAGACACCAATCATACGCCATTCTGTAACCATTCGCCCTTTGGATGACTATTTGGTAACTATTCTGAATTTTGATTGACATATTCCATTCTCTTCATATTTCTTTGCAAACGGTTGAACGAGGCCGTGTTGATCGTGTGAACGGCATCTCAGGTGAGAAACTCACCCGAAGACCTTCTCGGGTTAAAAACCGGGAAAACACCCCGCTCGTCATCGTGGTCAGCAGGTTTCTGAAAGAAGACACTCATGAACTTTCAGTCCATACCAAACCATCAATTAGCCGAACGCACCACCTCTCAACTAGCACTTCGCCAAACCACTACTTTGGGGGAACCACGTCGAAGTCGAACATGTTTCACCCCAGGCACCGCGCACCGCCCGCATCCGCCGATCCTTCGCCCGCATCCGCCGATCTTCGGGGCACCGCGTTGATCAGCCCACCCACCGCTTCGGGCACCGCTCAGGTGGCGGTGTCTTTTCCCCGGTGATCGCCATGCTCCATCGATCTCCAGGCGGGATCCGCGGGGCGCGGCACACCTCCGCGGGGAAGACGGTGCGGGTTGGTGTGGAAGGGTGGGAGCCGTGGAAGGGTGGGGGTGGAAGTGATTGGAAGGGTCGAAACCTCGATTTCTGCCACACATCATCAGTAACTCGCTACTGGCTGCCTGCAAAGTTGAGAACTTACTCTCCAGAGAAGGTGAGCCACTTCCCATGCCGCTTAGGCGCAGTATGGCGCAGTTGCAGTCTCTAGTCATCTCCATCACGACACAGGTGAGTCACTTGTTTTTGCCAAAGGCGGAAGGTCTTGCTTTGGCACCAGAACGACTCTTTTTTTTGCTAGTGTAGAGTTGCAGTCCCGTTTCCCACTGGGTCCCAATCTATATACTTCTTCCCTGCGTTCTGGCTTGTCTCTTGCTCTTCTCCGGCCAGCAGGTGAAATGATGCTTCTTGGACGTACAGTAGCACGGGGCAGTGACTGGCGGTGATATGATGTCAACGCGTGCAGGTGACTATTCGTTGGCATCATATCACTTACTGGAGGTGACCATCATCCACCGTTCGTGATGTTGCAAAATTTGTGTGCAGGGGTATGTGCAGGAGATTTTGCTTTGAACAGCCAGGTTGTCTAGTGTTCGTGGCCACAGACCACCTAGATACTGGTTTGGAGCTAGGGCAGCTAGGGTTGCACCCCTCTATAGCCTCTATATAAGACTACATTAGCGATCATTAGTGATGCAGGACTGGAGGCCATAGCTACTAGGGTGGATCAAGGGTAGGTCTGCTGAAGAGACCAGATCATGCCCCAGATTATGCCTGACCTTGGGTATGTGGGGCTTCCCCAGCCTCATGGGATTTCCAGGTTGGATTATCTTCCCATCCAACCACTTTTTGGAACCAAATCCGCCCGACAAGCTTGGAAGAATGGGCATCGCTGGGATCAGTGGTGGTCGCAGATCAGTGCGGGCTGGTGGATACACATGTTCATCCTCTGAGTCAGAAAGGTCAAAGCAGGTCAAAGGCAACTTGACCAAGAAAAGCACGCGCTTTCGTCTCCTAGTCCTGAGCTGCTGGTGATTCTCCAATCCATATAAGCCCAAGAAAGCCCATGTAACACCCATGTAACACCCAGAAAAGCCTTTTGACCAACCCTTAAGCCCATGTAACATGACCCAGACGACCCGTAGAATTCCAGTTCATTTTGAGACATCCACCATCCCACCGGGACGACGCTTTCATGGCTGGACGCTTCGAGGACCAGCTTTCGCCCAGCCAAGGTCTTACGTTGTCATCCACTTTGTCTCTGGGGCTGTGGTTGCTTGGTGTGGAGAGAGCTGGCAGAGGTGCAGAGTGTGAAAAGATACATATACAGGTACAGGAGAAGTAGCTAGGACCTAGGAGATACTAGCTTTTCCAATCTTCAGTTTGCACTCAACTAAGCACGAAGCATGTTCATGTTTTCAAAAAACAATACAAGAGAACACAAGAGGTATATTTGTAGTGTTTGACTCAACCACAGCAATGACCGAGCGTCGTTTTTCAGCACGGGGACACTAACAATAGGTCTGGTACAAGCACATAGAAGCACATACAAGCACACATACAAGCACACATCAGGGAGCCATAATAAAGCTGTCCATTTGGGGCGCTTCCGCGTGATTCGCGTGATCCGGACTGAGGTGATATCGAGGAATCACCTCATCCAGCTGCAAGAAGAGACCGAAGAAGGTGAGACCCTGGCAGCTGGGGATTCTTCTTTTTGTAGAATCTATATTTTTGGATTCAAGCATGAAAGAAGTTGGAGATCAAATTGTTTTACTGTACTGTCAAACTGGATCGTCAAGAAGTTAGGAGCTGTCAAACTGCACCGTTGCATGTTTGGTCTCTGATTTGATTTACTGCCCGACCATCTCAACTCGATACTTGTTCTGCTTTGAGGAGCCCGCAACATTCTAGCAGCAACGGTCAAGACATGTCAAGACTAGGCTCTTGCGTTGCAGGGGAATACACACTAATGGAAAGCTTTTTTGATAGAACCCTCGCAACCTTCAGCCTCGGGGTTGCCATGTATGTTGCTTCATTTGAGAGTATCAAAATTGCGAACAAAGATATACACTGGCTCGCAGGCAGTTTGTTGGATTTGCCAGGATTGAAATGGACGTGATATGACATTATCAACTCAATCAACCCTTTTTGAGTTGCTTTTTGTTTCTAGCGTCGATGGCGCACATTGGCTTTGCTGAGGTGCTGTCGACCTTATCAAGTGCTTGTCTCTTATTCCCCAAACAGTGTGGACACACCGGGGGGGTTCTTACAGTAAGGGTTAAGCTCACATTCCTCGTCGGCAAATTCGCTGTTTGTTACAGCACATTCATGCATCTCTAGATCTGCAAAGTGCTTTTCGAATCATTTTGATTTTTTGGTGGTCTGATGTCGAGTGCAGGAGATCAGAGCGGCTGTACTTCCATGTGCAGATTTCGTGGCAAGCGCAGCACTTTGGACTTGTGGGTGGTCTTTGGCGTGCTCCGACTTCGTGGCAGGTGCAGTGAATCGTGAACTTTGGACATGTGGCTCATTTTGCCGATCTTGGGAGTACTATCACGCGAAGCTTCACTTGGCATCTCAAACTTGTCTTTGGAAGTGCTTCTGTTGCCAAGCCGCTTGAGAACCTGAAAGTGCAGATTTCAAGGCAGGTGCGGCACTTTGTGAACCTGCAACTGCAGTTTTCGCGGAAGGCGCAGCGCTTTGCCAACCTCATATGCATGCTTTTAAATATGTGCTTTGATGTGTGTGTGTGTGTGCTCTCTCAGGCCTGTCATATTACTGTATTTCTATGTTTGAAATGTTTGGAACTACTGCAGAGTTTTTATTCACCTTACATGACTTGGACTTGCTAAAAGCCATGCAACAAAAGGTGCACACCTTCATGCTCTGGTGTATTCACTTGTTTTCACTACAGCGGTCCTTTTGCTTTCAATGCCATGTCCTGTGTTGGAAGCCATCTGCGGTGGTATCTTGACCCCAGAAGTCGTTGACTTCGCCAGCAGTCGGGCCGCGGGCTGCTGGCCATGCCAGTGAAGCGGCCACTGACTCTGTCAGTGAACGAGGTTCTTCCAGACTCGATGAGGACTCTCCGAAAAGACCCACGCCTTCCCTCCTGGGTGACCTCGTCTCTTCGCCGAACCCGGACGCTTAATGGCTCCACTTCGCCGAACCAGGGAAGGTGGACTTGCGAAGGGATCGAAGGGGGTGCCATCGCGGCACGGCTCCCAGCACGATCTGACCAACTCACCGCACTACTACAACAGAACCAACTCCTTAAAGGGCGTACACTCGACATACTGAATGGAGGAACACATCTCCCGCACCTGCCCGAGATACGGGAGAAATCTCCAGTCCCAATGCATTCATTCCTAAATCGAAGCCAAAGAACTCGTGGCAATCGCCAGGTCCACCTCGTTTTTGTTGGGCCCGGGAGCACAGATGCGGGCAGGCTTATTGTCCTTTTCTCGGCTTGGCAGGGTGTTCGGGAACACTGTTTGGGTGCCTTGACGATGTTTGTCCAAGAACAGGCAGCCAATCACGAGGTTTCTGGGGCCTCCGATGCCCACGGAGCGAGCGAGCCACAAAAAAAACTCGGATGTGCCGATCAGATCCCAGTCCCAGCGCCGGCACATCACTCCAGGTTTGCCAACCTCAAAGCCGCAAACCTAGCACTTCCAACGGGTGCCCTGTCTGGAGACCTGTTTGCGTAGGGTAGGGTAGTCTATTGAACACCCATTGGATGACCCTGGAAGGTATAACTCTTTGGGTGTCCGCTAAACAACATGCAGGAGGAAAGTGGTCAAAGCTCTGTGCTACCCCACCATGTCCCAGCCGTCCGGCTGTGTAGAAGATGTTGAATCGAAAGCTATGACATGCTATGATTCCATGATCATCCATGAGACTCTCTATGACACTCCATGATAAACCCTAGGGCCTAGGGCTCCAAGTACCTCAGAAGGTATTTGGACCCTCCTGGCACCCACCCCAAACACCTTCTCAGAAGGTACTTGGACCCCTAGGGATACTATACTCCACCAGTTCCGCACTTCACCGCCCACTGCGCCCAGGTTCCTGCTGCTGACGTGAGGCGAGAATTTTCCGCACCCCTTCGGTTCGTCCGGAAGCGAGGCACTGGCGTCGTCTCCAACCGAAGGGGTGGGAGTCTCCTGATTTTGCAGCAGACTCATGTCTTCCCCGGCCGTGTGTTGGTGCATGAAAGATATAATAGTGCACCTGGTGCGCCACACCGTCCACCGGAGACGCACCCCCACAGGGGCGTCATGGTGTTCGTCCTGTGAAGAGTCGGGTGAGACACCGGTGTCCCGGTGTTGAAATCCTTTCGGTGCCAGTTGTTTGGGATGGACTCCCCAAGCCTGGGAAGCATATGGATCCACCTGTTGGTCCTTCTCGGAGATTCTCAAGCAGCATCAAGTTCAGGTTGTTGGTCTTTTCCACCTGTTGTGGGTTGTTATATTCCACCTGTTGTGGATCATGGATGAAATCACGGAATGTCTTGTCTCACCCCACGTCCTCACTTTGGGCACTGTGGCGTCAGGGTGGGCCAGCAGCTGCAAAACGGGCAGAGGGTGATCAGTGTGACATCAGCTGAGGCTACAGGCGGTCACCTGGGGACGACGATGTTTTCCCAAGGTCGAGTCAGACTACGAACCACTCCAGGTTCTGAGGTTCTGTGTGACTCCTGGGTTTTGCAATGTTTTGCCTGTTCATCCCGGTATTTTTGAGGAACATGTGCTTTGTGAGGGCGTATAGCCGCTTGTGTGAAGAGTCCGTTGTTGCTTTGAATGAGGTGAACTATCATCGCTCCTGGGTGGGTTTCTGTTCTGCATCAGACTCGGACCGCATCCGGCTAATTCCGGCTATGTGTAGGCAACTGGGACTCCGTGGTTTTTAATTTGGCTCTAGCACTTCCAAGCAACGCGTTCGTTGCAAACACCAAAGCACCATGGAACCAGATGTGTTGAGATCCGGATCGAACGGGAATCCAATGTGTTTGAGTTGGAGATGATGTAGATTGTCGTGGGACCTTTTTCAGAAAGCGCAATCACTAACTGTTTGTTGTTGCAAGAATGTGTCTGGATTCTTCTGCTATGCTTTCTCCTGGGGATGCCTTTGTGGAATGAACTCAAGGGCACTAGCTGAAGATATGAAGGGTAAACTGACAATCATGGCACCACCGCCATGAACACCCTGCAGATTGTAGATCCGCTGTGAACGTTTACACTTGAACATTGTGAACAAGGGCAATCACGTGGCTTTTAAGAGGTGCAAGAGAACTGTCCGAGATTCGGTAGTCACATCCGCAGCGAAAAGCTAACCATCCCTCAGGACTATGGATGTCCTTCTTCTGACTCGTTTATTGAGTTTGAGGCAATGTCGGACGGTACAGGACCTCTTATTATTTTCATGCATCATTAAGAGATGTCACACATCACAATTGTATCTGTGATGATCTGTTTCTGGGACATTGTCATCGTCCACAAAATAACTATCGTCATTGGTACCCGCGCGCGCCCGCCTTCTTAGACTGGACATCCAGGCCTTTTGAGGGAGTGGAGACGTCCCAAACTTGTCCTGAAACCACGGCACCCTACCACTTCGAGGGGTGTTCTTTGTCTTCCACCCTGCGGGAGCCGGTTGTAGACCCCTCCACTCCACGGCCTTCGATTCGCCTTCGATTCGCCGGCCATTAGAGGCCACCCGACCTTTGGGAGGCCTCTTTGCACCTTTGACTTTGAGTTCGACACTGCTGGTGGATGGAGCGCTTTGCTCCTGCTTTGCACCACCTTTAGAACCTGGGCAGCAAGTGGATGCCGTTCCGGGACTGGGAAAGACGGTGAGCGACAAAGCTTCTGGTCCTGCGTGGTCCTGGTACAAAGAGATGCACTTTGACATCGACAGCAGCGAAGAAGCATCCACCTCCATCGTCTCAGGAAAAGAACCACCTCCCTCCAACTGCCCATGGAAGTGGTGTGTGTAGAAAGCCCCTGGGGCCCTGGTCTTCGGATGAAAAAAACTCCGAGTCCAATGGGCGGACCGGTTGAGCAGCGGACCGGTTGACCGGTGGTTGACCGAACGAGGTGGTCTTCCCCGACCCGAAAACAAGGCATCGAAGCAAAGAGACGGTTCCAAGAGCACGATAAAACGGTGCAGAAACCGGGGTCTGCGCGCTTATATATGCTATATGGCTATATATGAATATACAGATTAGTCAGAACATATCATTTCTTTAGCAAATACATCGGCAACAACTACTATATATGAAGCTGCACAAAAATATTGGTCTTCCAATGCTATTGGTTTAGTTTCAGGCAGGTTCTGAGCTGTCTATCTGCGGGTATAGATCACTTCTATCATATTAGTGGTCATGTCATGTCCAGACTACTCAGATGGGGTACTCACGGCCAACGTGAGAATGTCCGTGTTCCTGAAGTTCATTGTTCTCCACCATCGCATTGTGAAAACACCATCGCATTGGAATCTCCCAGATTCGAAATCAACCTCTGTTTTTCTGGCAGATCCAAAGGATGGGACAAGCGCCTCAGCAGGTCCTGCAGGTTGAAATACTTCAGACTTTGGGGTGTCTGTCCTTGGCTCATGGTTGAACGCACCTCCGCGTCCTCTGGGCTGAGGGGTGGTGGTCAATCGCTTGACCACCCCTCAGGCATGCGATGTTGTAGGTCCATGTTGTAGACCTTATGGACCTTGTAGAATGTCTCGGTTGATACTCGTTGCCAGTGCGGCGACTGAGAGTCTCGCTTGACCCACCTTTTTTTCGATGTCCACATCTCCGCAGTTGTTCAGAAAGGCGTCCAGGACTGTCTAGACCAGGAGCGACACCAAGAGGTGTTTGTACATAGCCTCTTAGTGGTTCAGGGGTGTTCCAAAGACCACCTGTCGGGATGGTCCTGGTTCTCAGATGTTTCCCAACCAACTCACACACGTTCCCCTGCTGCGTGTTCCTGCGCCAAAGAAGGGACAATCCCACCATCTCCCTCTCCTACTCTTCCGGTGCCCAGTGTGTGAAACCTGGCGGGCGCCGTTCAGGAGCTGGGTCTCAGCCACGAGCTGTGCCACCGAGCAATGGCTCCCTTGAGGGCTTGGTCTCTCGGCGGAGACCAGTGGTGTTTGAAGGACAGCGGTTTTTGGGGCAAATGGCTGAGAGGCATGGGGCCAGGGCACGGAAGTGAAACGGCAGAAAAGCATGAACCACCTGGAACTTCAAAGGAAAATGGGCAACTTGATGCAACTTGCACTCTGGCAATCTTGATTTTTTGGAAGATATACTGGGTGCAGTTGTACGTGCAAGAGGTTAGCAAAGAGATGTCATTTAGGGGTTGTTTGCAATCGTGGGATCGTAGGGTCAATCTAGAGACATCAACATGCATCCCATAGAGTTGATCTATGTTAACCCGTTGGCATTACAAACTTTTTGATGGCTATTCGATAGATGTTTATGGATTGTCATGCTCCCTTCCTAAACCACGTAGTTGCCCCGGGATTTATATACTTTATTTGCATGAAAAGAGTTTGGTAAAGACTCAGAGGGTTCAGATCAGAATTGCAAACCCGGAATTCAGAGTACTATCCCGGCTTTTGCATTGGACTCTACAGATGTTCCCGTCAACACATGCGTGTTCTTTCTGCGTGTTCTACTACCCAGCTGCCCATCCTCAGCCATCCCAAGCACCAGGAGGGTGAGTTCAGTGCGTGTTTGGCGCGGTGACTGCTCTCAGGCACCAAGCGAAGAGCACTTTGGAGTCCACCACGCGCCTCGACCCGGTGCGAATCGTCCTGGACAGTCCTGGACCGTTTCTTTGGAGCGATTTGAAGCTTTAAGCTGTATAGATCTCTCTCCTGGAACTAACATGTTTGTAATGGATTTCATGGTCTTCCAAGGGGCCATTCTCAATTCTCCACTTCCATGTTAGTTCCAGGGAGTGTAGATCTCTCTCCTGGTGATGCGGGTGATGTGTATTTTGGATGAAAGCGTATGCCAACCCTGGCAACCCTGGCACCCGTCATCCAGGCCTTCTCGCGTCAACCCGAGACGCCGGCCGCGACGCGACGACCGGCCGCGACGACGCCCGACGCGTGTGGACGCCCACAAGCCTGAAGGACGACTGAGGCTTTGATTGCGCATAGACATCGCCTTTGGGTTTAGAGGGTCCAAATTGGTCAAAGTGATGATAGATGATGTGAAATTCAATTGTGTCTGTGTGCGTGCGTTTCGATAGGAATATCATGAAATATCACCTGCCAATGAGTAGACAGGTCTATTCTCCTTCCGAGTTTGGCACCCTTTGATCAGCAACCTTGTGCCTGCTGAACGCAAAGAATTCTGGCCCTTGGCTTTCGAGGGCTTTGAGGGCGTGAAGTCCTGTGATTGCAAACTAAACGTTCCGCTATACAGGGGTATCTAGTGGTCGGTAGCAGAACTTCTAGAGTTCTTTTGCCGTCTCTGTTTCTGTATCAAAACAATCCACGCACGCAAATGTACATACGCTGTCCTTCAAACGGACCTTCTTAGCAGGTTTGCTGACACCTTTCTTAGCAAGTGCTCCTTCTCATGATGTGCGAAAACAAAGGGCGGAGCCCGGAACTGTCCGGAAGCCTGTGGAACCTTGAGACCCCTCAACCCCTACACAAACCAGAAACGCCTATCCAAAGCCACCAGACCAGCGTCTTTTGGAGTGACCAAGGACACCCCGGTGGCTCGGCTGCCCGCTGTGGACGCTGGAGGCCTGGACGCCGTGGACGACGAGCGTGTCGCCGCGGCTTGGAAAGCAGGATGGATGGAGGGGATGGATCGGATGGGTTTGATGGTGGAAGAAGTGTTAGATGTTTAAAAGCTTGGATCAAGTCATATATAGCACAAGAACATCTAGTGAAGTTCTTCTCCAGCATGGAATCTGGAAATCATTTGTGATCTGAATGCGACGGCATCAATGCATCCAGCGAGTCGAAACACACGGGTGTGTGTTTGGGCCACCGAAGCCACCGGCGGCACCAGCTCTTGAGCTTGGCAGCACCGCAGGTCGGTTGCCGCCTGGGACCCTGGTGTCGATGTCCAAATGCATCCGAATGCCGTCCGAGGGAGGGTGAATTCCATGGGCCACATTGCAAGGAACTGTATGAGAGGTATTTCTTCCACAGATCAGATCCATTCAATTCAATCTCATGGGAGGGTGATAGCTTTTGGCCGTATCCCAGCTAAAGGCATTGCCCCCATGATTCTGTCGTGGATCTCCGAACCATTCCGAACCAAATCCTGCAACTAAACCCTGAAAGTCAAAGACTATTTTTAAACTGGTCTTTGGATGACCCGAGTTCAGGAATATCCTTGACTTGGGCGGTGCCCAAAAAAGTCGAACTGGACTTCTGCATTATAAACATTACCCAGCTGAGAAACGCCCACCTGACCTGACGGTTGTTTGATCGTTTTGATGTTTTGATGGGTCTTGGACAATGGGTCCTCAAGTCGTTGATCGGTTCTATCGGTCGAGCCGTGTGTGTTCAGCGGGCCCGGACCGGGGCCATGTGATTCGCACGCAGCCAGCACGTCTCGCATGACGCTCGCATGACGCATAGTACCGCATAGTACGAGTGTAGGCTGTGTTTTTCTTTCGGCCACAGTTCACAGAAAGGACATGACCCTATAAAAGCACAACAAAGCACATATGACATATGACACATAAAAGCACATATGACATGTGACATAGGACATGTTCTAAGGTACTTGTATACTTGAGACACCAGGTATACCAGTACCTTGTCACATCCTGTCCCTTGCGCCTCAGGACAATTCATCCTTACGCAGCGAGCCTGCTGTTGACCCTTCGATCGCTTCATCGAGTACCTTGGCTCAAACAGCCTGGTTGTTAGATCCGAATCCTTCGCTGAAACTGCTCATTACTGCTCCCATTGTACTTTGGATTGATACTTTGGAATCAGCATTTGCAGCCTGCCTCAAAACCGGTGCCTCCGACAGGTCCTGAATGCGATTTCAATGTGACTCCGCGGCCAGTGCCAACGTTGCAGCGGCAAAAGAGTGAGGGTTGAAGTACCGTGCAGGGCTGAAGGTTCACAATAGGAACAAGCTCGATTTCCGAAGGAACACATCCACTGAGGTCATATATATATCATGAGCTGCCCTCTCCAGCCTCCACCTCCACACACTTTGGGGTATATCCTGATCCAGTGAAGGTGATCAACTAGCATCCCACACGCACTAGTGCATGATGCCAGAAACCAGAGGCCGCTACGGGTTGTGGAGCGACCCCTGTCCAGGCGGTACAGGGTTTCTTACTGTAACAACAAGTCTTCATGAAGCCCAGCTTCCATCAGGTGAGGCAGGTTCTTCTCTGCACTTCACAACAGCTGTTTGTTTCATCAAAACAGGACGTGCCGCTACACTTGCCGAACGAGGTGAGGTGACGACGCGTCTGGCAGCTGACGGAAGATTCCAAAAGGGCAACGTTTGAAGGAAGATTGAAAAGTACTCAAGTACGGCGATGAAGAGGTGAAGGAAGGGCATCATGCCTGAGATGAAGGGCAACACCCATGCCACATCATTGCACTTGCCTATACTCTTCACTTCTGCTGGGGAAAAAGAAAGAAAACCACTTGAAGACGGCACGGTATGCTCAACAGTCCGACGTTCTTTCGGATTATCGGTGACTGATACTGCCACTTTTCCGGTTGCGTAATAGAAAGATGCTCACCACAATATTAATATAAACCGTATGGTACAGATATATAGGGTCAACTTAATTCATCCCAAGCTGGAGCGAGAGGCTTCTTCTCCGTCTGGGGCTTTGGGGCAGGTGGAACAGGACTTCGTGGTCTACTGCAGACATCAACTCTTCAATCTGTTGCTGGAGCTACGAGAACAGATCATTCAGGCCCCTTTCCGCGGCTGAAGGGTTCGACGTCGGTGGCACCTTTCAAAGTCAAGACCCTACTACAGGTCAAGACCGACCTCGTTTGACCATATAGAAACACTACTCAATGAGGAAAGGATCAGATTTTACTGGGTCTTGTAGGGTGAGATTCTTGGAATAAACACAAAAGTAGTGAGAGGATGTGAGATGCTTCTAGGATGAGATCATCCAAGATGAGATGATCCAATTGATTAAATGATTTCCACATCACTGCCCTCATGAGGTGATGTATCCATCATCTTCCTCTTCTCAACCCTTGAAACCATGTTTTCGGCCCCCGAAACCGCTCGGACTCGGTGGCACCGAAGAACGAAACGCCTCGGAGCCGTCGTCGGAGTCGAAGCGCACCGCTGCGGACGACTCCGAAGCACCGCGGACGACGCCCGCAAGCGCCGCAGGAGTTGGAACGGAGCCGCGGTGGGCGGAACGTGACCTGCACTTGGGGCCTTGGGCAGGCAGGTGCGGAGCCGACGGCGGTGGTGGGCCTCCGCGTCGTTTCGCCCGCGGTGGAGGTGGAGAACGAGTCGGGTGCGGTTTTCAAAAGCGAGAGAATCCTCGTTTTGGAGCCGAGCTAGCAGCTAAGCTGTGGGCCATTCGAAGTGTATTGAGACTCATACCTAGATCTTCCAACTACTGTGTGCAGAATTTCTGCCTTTTGGCTGATTTTATGGATGAAAAGTGAAAAGGCAGAAATTCTCCATTAGCTGGAAGATCTATAGAAGATCTATATAAAGTGTAAAGGTATGGTCCATTGGTTTCTTGAAAGGACAGCACCGTCTGTGCTTTCTTCCCTCAGCTCGCTCAGCTAAGTCCTTCACGTGCCCAGTGGCTGTCGACTGAGACAGAGAGCCAGTTCCCTGGATCGCTCCGACGGTTCGACTTGGACGGTTCGGGTGGTGAACACACCGAATCAGAGCGCGGGTGGGGCGAGATCAGAGCGAATCTCCCTTCCATTTTTCGACACACCGAATCGCCGGACACAGTTTTAGGAGTATGGAGTATGGAGCGTTTGGGTCATGTTTTCTTCACCGAAGCCTTTAGCCGCTCAGCGCCTCACCTCGAGAGAGGTGATTCTCAGCGGCACATGCTATACAAGAGGTGACAGCTGCCAATTGAAGTTACCGCGACGGCAGGTCTTTGGAGGAGATCCATAGACTTTGTAGAGCAATCATGTCAACCAGCTTGGTTGGTACATCATGCTACATCAACACGACGCTCAAAAGATGACCTTGAAACTCAGTCAGTGACCTCCATTTTGCATCAAAAAAGCCGTGAATCATGTCAAACCACGTTCGACGCCCGTCACCCAACACGTTCGACACCGGTCACCGCGGCGCGCATGGCGCGCCCCAGCTCGGGCGCGCGGGCGCGGCCGCAGACGGCCGGCTCGCGGCCGCGGAGCGCCAACGTGCAGGCTGGGGGAAGCGATTGTGGCACCCAGAGCATCCATGTATGGAATATAGTGTTAATACATTCTGTGTGATCATAAATGGGGTAGATGTTTGGGTATAAGCAAATAATATGGCCTATCAGATACATGTTTGTGTTTTTTGGCTTTTTCCTCCCGACCCTTCGACTCACGTTCCATGGAGGTGGAAGCAGAGGGCGGACGATGTTCCTCGCTGTTCTGAGGGTGGAGAAAGCACTTCTCATGGAACATCAGTCGGAGTGTACCAGGACCCACAAGGGCGGTGGTTCATGGACACCCCTTCACCTCGAAAAAAAAGGGCTCTCTCGACACCCCTGAACCACTCCAGGGGCCCCTGAGTCGGGACGCTGGAACGACCAACAGGACAGTCTCCGCCGGAATCCGACGCGTCGATGCCGACCGAAACGGGTCCGGGTCCGAGGTCCGACTCATCGCGCATGGGGTGTGCGACGTCGTTCTCGCATGGGTGTGGACCATGATCACAGGGGGGCAATGAAATGCATTTTCCTTGTTCGGATCACCTAAATGACAAGGAAAAGACAAGTGATTTCAAAAAGACATGTGATTGGACTTTAAAGATCACCTGAATGACAATCTTTAAAATTGGTCTTGGACTTCTTTGGGATGACCGGTATGTGCGCTGGAAGATGCGGGAGGCTTTCCAGCGTGGAAAGGATGCTGCACAAGTGGAAGCGATGGAGCTCTGTCAACAGAGCCTGGAATATGTGACTTGGCGATGAGCACATGGGGACCTCGTGGCACGGAAGCGTCCGGAAGCAGATCTTGTCCAGAGACTCCAAATGGGACGGGCAGATTGAAATACCTTGGGGATCCTGGGGGGTGGTTGACACATGTTGACACCGGGTCAATGCAAGTCTATGAATGATACCCTGGAAGTGCAAGACGATTTTGATTAGTCCCCCAGGGCATCCAGGCAAACCATGGCAAACCACGATGTCGCTGGGAGTCCTAGTGGTTCCAAAGACGAAAACCATAGACCGAACAAATCCCTGGTTCCTGATATAAACTTATATAGTGGTAATTGGGATGCACTGGGGTCCAAGACGATCCTTTTTAGTTATACCCTGGAGTCACTGGGTTGTCTTGGTAAAACGAGCGAAGATACCATGCAGGTCCCGAATCTGGAAGACCCTTCCGAAGGCCCTGTTGGTTGTTTGCTTTTGGAAGGTTTCAGGGGGATTCTGCCGATTCTTCTGACACCAAAACAGACCTGGAGAATCCTGGAGACTCATGGTGCCCTTAAAGACATGCAATGGCCTCCAACCTAATAGCGATGGCCTCCAAGCTACTAGCGATGATCCTCCACCCTACTAGCGATCTAATAGCGATGGCCTTCAACCTACTAGCGATGGCCTCCATCCTAATAGCGATGGCCTCCAACTTAATAGCGATGGCCTCTAGGCGAACCTATATAGATTCTTGACGATTCTAGATATGTCGATCTGTGAGATCTCCATTCCATTGGCACGCGTCTTGCTCAAGCGATGCGCGGCTTCCTTGTGCCTTGTTCGCAAGACTCGGTGCGACCACTGAGCGCGGCCAGCGCGGCTGTAGAACTTCCAGAACTGGGTCGAACGACCATAGGGCGCAGCTCGAACTCTTCCATTGTTTGTGCCGATGAAGCCGTCAGTGGACAGCATTGCATTCTCTTCAGCCTGGGCTCCGGGCGCTACGAATTGGAGGACCTCAGTCGGAACGGCACCTTTTGGAATGACCAGCTGGTGGGAAAGGGTCAACGCATTGCCTTGGAGCCGAATGGAGTTCTTGCGCTGTCTCGAGTGGAGAGGCCCACATGCCCACGCTTTCGCCTGAAGCTTGACGATGGAAAGGGACAAGGACCAGCTGAAGAAGGCAAAGCACGAGGATCAGAAGGACCACGAGGACCATGGGACGAGGACCACGAGGACCATGGAAGTGGAGGTTTTTTGGACCATCGGGGGACGGTTGCCTTCCATGGCCCTGCCAATGCCCATGAGGGAAGCAGGCATTCCAGTTCGTATAGAAATATTGTATAGAAGCAGGATCCCTTCAAATTCGATAGTTTCCGATAGTTCTTGATTGAGCCACACTTCTATGTGTGAACTCCCTTAGACTTCACATTCCAAAAATTTGGCAAAGTACACCAAAGGGTTTATCCAGGGATGCTCTTTTTGGGTGGCCAGGGTTTCACCTACCAGCGCATCTTTCCACCCAAAGCATCCCAAAGCTTCCTTCTGTTCCTCTCAACGGAATTCAGTCATTTCATGTCTGGAAGGAGTTCTGCGCCGGATGCTGCCCCTGGACGTCCCAGATCCAGACCCGCTCCGGAGCCGCGCGACGGACGGCGCCGTGCCCACGGACGCGGACGACGCGGCGGCTGCGGAGGACGCGCCCGACGCCGTGGCTGCGGAGGTGGCGCCAGACGGAGGGCCGCCGCCAGAGCCGCCTGTTCCGGCGACGGGGGCAAGGAGTTTGCCCCAGCGGCGGCCATTGCTGGTCTTGCCGGGGCACATGGCACCTCTGAAACGAGCCAGACCCCAGGGGTAACATCAGGGGGAGCAGCCCATCTCTTCAAAGCTCTTGAGCAGAGGCCAAGGGCTTTCCCACGTCCGGAGTCCTCTCCAGCGTCCATGAAGCGACAAAAGAGCTCCAGGCGATTAGGGAGCTGAAGGTGTTGTAGCTACCAGCCTCAAAAAAAGGGCCATAGAGGTCCTACCGAAAGACCAAAGTTGTCTTTAGAGATTCTGAGATGCGTGTGTGGTTTTCCGGACGCCAAATGGCTGTTGCTGTGGTTCACGCAACGTGCGAGTGGACCTGGGTTGGTGGGGCTAGAGTCGGCTGGAGCTTGGTTGTTTGTTGGAGAAGATTGAGGACCATACAAATCTGACATCCTAGGTCCTAGCATCCTAGAGTTACTATACGTTCTTGAAATGGTGGAAGAACTCAGACCAGGCCCTCCCGCCCCAGAGTGTTTGCCTCCGAAGCAGCATCTTCGGTGAAACAGCCTCCCGGCCCGTCGACGCTTTCACATAGGTCGTTCTCCGGATCGATCTCCGTCGTCTTCGCGATCATTCAGGCACCAAGAAAGGTTGAAGAACGGTTCATATATATAGGTACCCCAGTACCGTGGGTACCCGAAACAAAGGTACCCCAGTACCCGACAACGGTGAAAGAATCCGACAGTTCGACTATCCCATATAGGTACCCCAGGTGACGGGTTACCCGAGGTACCCCAGGTGTTCTGGGTCCTATGACAAGAAGGTCACACGCCAAAAAACCTCTGAAACACAGTGGGCGCCGGGTAGGTGAGCAGCCAGCTTTTGACGAATTTCCAAAGTGAGCTTCAGAAGCTGAGTGCCCACCTCGAGCATCAGGCGGGACTCGACCTGGGACCCGGTCTGTGGAGGGGAGACGAAAGAGGAGAAAACCCTTGGAAAGCATGTGGTTCTGCTGAAGTTCTGCTGTAGAATGGTGTGAAAGGATTTTTCTGAACAGGACAAGTAATAAGTAATCCTTGGGTCAGCAAGTATGTTTGTTGATGTACTTGGTGTGTAGAATCAGTCCGTCGATGCTGAGCGGTTGAGATACAGATACTGTCAAAGACAGTCATGTTCGTTCGCCAACTGCATGGAGCCCCCATTCTGGGGCTTTTTGGGAGCACCCCACCGGTGGATGCACCGGTGGATGCATCTCTCATCCAATAGAGGGTATAGGTTTGGAACGTTCAACTACGTCGTGGTTGTGCGGATCGGATTAGGGATGATGTTCCGAACTGGGTGAATCCCCCCGAACCGAGCCTGGGGCATACAGATGCATACAGTATATTATAAATGTGTTTATATATTATATATATAAGCTGTTTGTTGTGTTCCTGGCTTTCTGGGAGACTGCTCCTGAAGAAGTTCAACTCCTCCCAACTTTGGCCGATTCTGCTCTCCCAAAGTCCGAAACCACGCAGGTATTGACCCTGATTTCGCAGGTATTTGGTGCGACCTCACCCAGGTGAGACCTATAATGAACACCCCGGGAGAGACCTATAATGAACACCCCGGGACCTCACCCAGGTGAGAATAAGAGTAAGAACATCATCCTTGAAGCAGTTTTCTCAAGTGGTCATGGAGGTGACTTCTGACTCGAAGTTGGCCAGAACACCGGTTTGAATCCCCAAGTGACTACCAGAAGGTGGGGAAGAGTTCTCGGAAGCTCAAGTTTTAGTATACGGCAAGAGCATCCGATGATTCGCATTCCAAAACATTATCCGTTCTCCGTTTCAGTCTGCACTGACTTTGAGAAACCGAAACGCGGAGGTGGTGGAGGCAATCGAACACCACCAGCAGAAACGTGGCCGCACGAAAACGGTGAATCTGATTTGGAGGTACCAGGTAGAAGATTCTGTGATTCTTCAAGCAAAGCCCAATTTCTGAGGATTCTGAGCTCCGCACGTTGTTTTGGGGAACGTGGTAAGACTATGTGAGACTCTCATCCACTCTCCCGCACCTCTCGCAGCCTTTAAGTCTAATTACAGCGCCGACATTATTTTTCAGATTTTGATGTAGTTAACATTGACAGTCTAAGTATTGATGCTATTCAAAACTGTCTTTACTGTCATAGTCTAGTTGAATAGTCGTAGTAAGTCTTAGTTTTGACCAATTTAATATTTCTGGCAGTGCTCTTTGTTCGCTTCACCCGCCGCCTTTTGGTGCCTCTTCTCACCCGCTGCCCGGTTGAGAATGATAAAGAGGACCACTTGCTGCAGATCTATAGATTCCCATCACGAATATTTTTTTGGAGCCAACATCCAGACTCAACCTCCACCGACCCCCCCTTCCTGTCCATTGGACCCATTTATAAAGACATGAGCCCCCTCTACTCAACATGGCTTCCGAGTCCCAAATCAACATGGCTTCCGAGTTGCTACACGAATGCAGCCACACTCCCTGGAACAATCACGGAAGCGTAACATGGCATAACAAGAACATGGATGACTATGTTCCTACAAACACTGTGCTTTTCCGCTTCCATGATGATTTCAGTCGAGTGTTCCTTTTTCCATGTCCTTCCCAAGGAAGGCGGAAGAGAAGTTGGACTCCATCTTCAAGGCCCAGACGCAAAGCTGGAGGCCTCGCAGCGAGAGCCCCAAGCGGAACTACTTCGCAGGCGCTTCTATCGTCGGCTCCGCCCTCCGACGGTAGCAGCGGGTGTGCGCAAAAGGCCGGTGATCCAAAAAGGATACCGAACTTGAGGATCTGTCTCCTCCTGGACCCTTCAAACCAGTTAACAGTCTCCAACCCTAAACCCTAAACCCTACATAAATCTACATTAACACTGTCTCCCTGCTCACCCGTACCGATCGGAGGGTGGCAGGATCGGGATGTCTAGGGGTGGTGGGAGTGTGATTCTTGGGAGTGTGTGGCGTGGAGGAGCTTCTAACGCTTGTTTGGGTGAACATGGCCAGTCAGCTAGGTGAGTGAGTGCAGTGAGATCCTTAGCGAATGGACACAGAGCGAATCCAGGGGGAGGTTTGGAGGTTGTATATGTTTTTCTTTGGAGGGAGGTGTGAGTGTTGATGTTGACTGCGTGCACGCTGAAACCAGCTATGAAGAGCTGTGTGTGTGTGTGCTCTTTTGCACACGTATATTCCCATGGACATTCCTATCAGAATTCCACTAGAATGAAGGGTAGTGTATACGCATACCATGGTAGTGTATATGGTATACCCATGGTAGTACACATATTATATCCCTATTCCCTATGGTAGTATGGTATGATGGGTTTACGCAGTCATCGCCTATGACTCCGGATGGGTTCCGGATGGGCTGGGGATGCCACAGATCGAAGGCTATGGATCGATCTGGAGAATCAGAAACGCAGATGCGAACGCAGATGCGAACGCAGGGTGTGTTTTGTTTCTTCTTTCTGGAAAGCAGGATCAAAAGCAGGATGGTAGTTGGTTTGAAGACATTAGTAGGTGTTGTCCGGGTTTTGATCGATTCTTGCCAGTCTATCTGTTGACCATGCGGTGCAGTCGTATCTATTTGGTTATACCATTGACCACAGTCTGTGGCACACGTCGTGGCCTGCAGGCCTCGCGCATGACGGTGGGCAGATCGAGGCGGATGGTCCAGTTGATTCTCTGACATCATGTCACGAAAGGTAGGAAGATCTCATGTACTTCAAATTCTAGCCATTCTAGCCGAGCCGATTCTAGCCAGAGCATGCAAGAGTTCTGTATGCATACCGGGAGAGTACTTTTTTAACGTTGAACCGAACCGCATTATGCCCCAGCCTGCAGCCCTAAAGATGGCGGTGTAGACCATGCAGCAGCCTTTGGACATGAAGTTCTGAAGGTCATGCAAAGAGCTGCTTTGCTTCGAGCATCTTGCCATGACATGTCGGTCATTCGATAGAGAATTTGACTACGTATTGAGCCTTGAGCTCTCCGCTGCCTGTCGCGGGCCTCCGGGGTCACCAAACAGCGTAGCTTCGGAGACAGGCCAATCGACAGCTGGTCCGACGGCGCGATGAACAGATCAAGAACATGCTGGTGCTCTTGGAAAAGCTGGCGACTTGGGCGCAGTTTGTCACCAGGCCCTGAAACGGCGACAGGTGCTTTGCTTATAAGTCTTCCGGCTGGTCAGCCGGCATCGGCTCGCGACAGATGGGTTGAAGCGCTCCAGTTTCACCGGCCCTGGAGGGACATGAGGATCCGCCGGTACACCCAAATAAAAACCCCACATGAGCAGGAAAACGTCCTTGCTCCCAGCCATCCTACTTGCTCCCCAAATCCACCTGAGTGGCTGTCATCACTGGGACGACTCTCCATCTCCTCCCAGTCGCTCCGGGTTCGACTCCGTCGTGAAAAACCCGAGTTCCACCAGCGTTGCGTGTCCAGCCGTTTCAGGACGAACGCTGCGCCGGTTTGGAGGGTCTCCAGCGCTTGGAGATGCAAATGGCGCAGTCCTCGGCGCCGTGGCAGTCGAAGAGTTCGGGGACGGAACCGTTGGAGGTGGATGGGAGTGTTGTTGTTGTTGTTGTTGGTGGTGGTGGTGGTGGTGGTGGGTGTGGTGGTGGGTGTGGTGGTTGGTGTGGTGGTTGGTGTGTTGGTTGGTGTGGTGGTTGGTATGTTGGTGGTGTGTTGGTTGGTGTGGCGGTTGGTGTACTGGCTGGCTGGATGGCTGGCTGGCTGGCTGGCTGGCGTTGGTTGTTTTTTGTTTTTGTTGTTTGTTTGTTTGTTTGTGGTTGGATGGTTGTTTGATTGCTTGGTTGTTTGTGTGGTTCTTTGGTTGTTAGATGGTTCGTTCGTTAGTTAGTTAGTCAGTCAGTCAGTTAGTTAGTTTAGTTAGTTTAGTTTAGTTTAGTTAATTAGTTTGTTAAGTAAGTAAGTTAGTTAGTTAAGGTTATTTAAGTGTAGTTAAGTTTAGTTAGTTTAGCTAAGTTTAGTTAAGTTAAGTTTTGTTAAGATTAGTTTAGTTTACTTAAGTTTAGTTCAGTTTTGTTAGTTAGTTAGTTAGTTGGTTGGTTAGTTAGTTGGTTAGTTAGTTATTTAGGAAGTTGGTTAGGTAGGTAGTTAAACAATGTTAATCAGTTAGTAAGTTAGTTCAGTTTAGGTCAGTTTATTCGTTTTAAGTAAGTAAGTTAGTTAGCTAGTTAGTTAGTTTAGTTTAGTTTAGCTTAGTCAGTTTAGTTAGTTTAGTTTAGTTTAGTTTAGTTCAGTTTTGTTAGTTAGTTAGTTAGTTGGGTAGTTGGTTGGTGAGTTAGTTAATTAGTTATACTTTAGTTAGTTCGTTAGTTTAGTTAGTTTAGTTAGTTAGTTAGTTAAGTTTAGTGCAGTTTAGTGCAGTTTAGTGTAGCTTAGTGTAGCTTAGTGTAGTTTAGTGTAGTTTAGTGTAGTTTAATGTAGTTACTTAGTTAGTTAGTTAAGTTAGTATGTTAGTAAGTTAGTACGTTAGTTAGTTGGTTAGTCAGTCAGTTAGTTAGTTAGTTAGTTCGTTCTGTTTGTTTGTTGGTCGGTTTGTTTGTCTGTTTGTAGGGAGCCAGCAGATAGGATGGTCTTTGCTGGGACTTGGCTCTTTCCCTGATGCCGAAAGAAACCACTCCGGGGTGTCTAGGAGGGAGTGCCAATTCAGCAGAGGCCATTCCAAACGGAGGGGCCAAGCAATCGCAGTCATGTGAAGTATGGTCCGTTCTGACAAGGTCACATCTGGTCACATATGATGTCAGTGTATGTGACAATGTCCTTGAACTGTGCGATGATCTGCCATGTTTTTTTCCACTCCTGGGATCCTCATCTCGTTGTTGGCATCTTCTCTTCGGCTCGGCGCTGTTGGCGCCAGCGCGGTGCCGGTCACCGAAACAAGCGCTGCGTCGCACGCGCCGTCAACGCCCCAGGAGAAGCTCGATTTGATTGCCTCTCGGCACGGTCGGAGAGTGTGTCTGTTCCGCGGGGAACGGAACGACGGTTTCGGTTCCGTAAGGGTTTCGGTGCACCGAAGAAAGTTCTTCTTTTTTGAAACAATAGGTCCAGGAGTGGAAGACGGCAGGCCATGGATGGAGTGTTTGAAGAGGCCGAATGTGGAGGTTCATGGTTCATGGCGGAAGGAGAGTTTTTGTTGAGAGTCGAGAGTTTGGAATGGAGTCAAAGTGAATTCCTATCCAAAGGTCCAACAGTCCAACGCAAAGGTTGTCCTGGAGTTCTTTTTTCAACAACACAACAGATCCTTGCCATCAATTCCCACAAAACGAGTCAGGGCACTCAGTAGATCATGCGTCAGATCCCTACCCTTGAGGTGGAACCCCAGTTTTTTGCCATGGTCAGGTCCCACTTGGAGCCCTTAAGTTTGGCGCAGGTTTTGACGGAATTCTTCTTCCATCTTCTTCCAAATGAACGGAACCTCCAACACCTTCCGCCCCACCCCCCCCCTGTCCAGGAGCGCTCGGTGCAGCTGGCGCTGGAGAAAGAGCCTCAGGCGGAGAGCCCAGTGGTGAGCATGAGTCCAAGGAGTTGGAGACTGGAGCGCTCAGAGAGCCTTGGACGCGGAGCGTGGAGGTTGGCGTGATGTGCTAAATAAATGCCGTGATTGGGTGGGTGGGTGAGTTTTCTTTTTTAACCGCTCCGAAAAATCGGCCAACAGTCACGACGTGTCAACGTTTGTTTTCGTCTTCTTTTGGCAGGGCCGATAAGAGATCGAAGACAAGATCCAAGACGAGATTTTGAGAACTTCTTCTTTTTGGTGGCCGAGACATTACTTGATTGTTTCTTTTATGAAGGCCACCTTGCGGGGTGGTGGTTTCAGAAATCGTCATGATATTTCTATGTTCAACCGTTGCTTGGGATGATTGCGGATTGAACCCAATGACACCACCAACCAGCTTGACATTTCACTTCATAACGGATCCTGTTGGTTGAAGGCCACACTTGATGGCCACAGTAGAGCATACATCCATTGTTTCCAGCATACATACTGGAGTAATTATCGCTCAAAACACGCAGAGAATATAATACAATCGAAACAGATCGAACCGACGGTCAACCATCCCCCAGCCGCGCTTTCAGAACCCATGGACCCAACACCAGGAGGACGCAAGAACACCCCTTCGGAGTTCCCAGCCTCGCGGAGAGGGTTTCACAAACACGTTGGGTGGTAGAGGAAAGTCATCTTTCAAAGGCGATACATGCTATCAGGTTCCATGTGGATCTCTTCCCGCGTGTAGTGCCCCAACACTTGGGTTTTTGGGATGAAGGAGGACCCAGCCGAAAACCACTTTCTGTCCGCGCTCATGCGCACTCGTTTGAGCCATGCGGAGAATCATGCGTCCTTCGGATTCCCCCGAGTTCGCAGCAATTCCTGACGAAGAATGAGATGGTTCAAATGCAACAGTGACTTGGAGAACATCTGAAAACCCCTTATCTTGTTCGCTCTGAATTCCTTGCTTCGCGTGAGTCGAAAAGAACATCCAGGGTGCGCACATGGGCGGACCTGCAAACCGGGCGGGTTGTGGCGGCGGTTCCGCGGTGATCACAGGGAGAGAGTGGAAGCGGTGCCCGCGCATGTTGCGGTGGATGCTGATGTTCACAGGTCAGGCATTGGTTGTAGCTTGGCAATCCTGCTAGGAGAATGATGGACATATTTGCAGGTGAGAATGAGAATGATCTATACGACTGCAGATCGGAATTGAATAGCCCAATCTATTGGCGGTGCGCATCCATGCGCGCAGGTTGGAATTTGCAATGTTGATGCCTGCTTTGTTGTAGGTTGCCAACCTACCGGGAGAATGATGGATGTTTGATGTTTGCAGGTATTCATGCCTGCTTTATTGGCTATATATGTTGGCCACTGTACTGCGAGAATGCCTTTTAAATGTTTTCAGGTCAGAATGCGACATGATTCATGATGCCTTTTAGTCTGAAGGTTGACAACCTACAGCGAGAATGACGGATGTTTTCAAGGCGCAATTCATGCGCATGATGCTTGCTGTCGGTTGTTTGTAGGTTGGCAAGCAACCATAACAAGGTGTGATTCTTTTTGTTGTTGGGCTGCAGAGAAGAGCCTAATACAATGGTTTCAGAGTAGATGGCACAGACCCCAAGATGTCCTTTAGATGGGGGTCCATATAAACCACCTACTCTCAATCCACCATATATTGCCTATAAATGTGTCTCTAAATGATAGATGCTGGGTGGCAATTTTCGAGACACAGAGGATGACGGACTCTGAAAAAGCCCAGGGGACCTTTTGGTGTTGGGGTTCTTTTCATGCCTTGGACTGATTTGCATCCTCAAAGAGCTTTTCTGGACTCAGTGTTTGTTGAGCTTACAATAGTATAGATGCAGTAAAATGAGTATAGTGAACAAGGTCTCACCGATTTTGTCGCGGCCTGTTGCCTGCTTTTGAGGTCGCCTGTTCTCTTGATGTTTCTTTCCTGTTCTGAGGCAGTTGATGAATGAAGCAGACCATGACCTGGACCACATCTACTCCGACTCTCGGCACCGCTGGGCCCATCGTTGGTGGAACACCGGGTGGCTCTGATGGCGGTCCCATCCCGGGCCCGGCCCGGTGTCGAAGAACAGCCGATGCGCATGATGCGCTTGCTGGGATGATGCGGTCGCCAAGTAAGTGTGATGGAGGATTCACCTTGCTCAAGATCGCCCCAGCGAACGGAAAATCATGGATGAGCTCGTTTTGCATGGCATGCCAGCCGTGCCCCTTTGCATTCTCAGTCAATCATAGTGAGTGTGGGTCGAAATCTGGTGCCCTTCCAGCATCAAGACTGGTCTCGCCTCTCAAAATCTCGCCTCCCAAAGAGGCGACCAGCCTGAAACGCATGTTTCCTTTGCCAGCTGGTCTCAGGTCGGGCTTCATATCTGGTCCTTTCATAGAATGGCCAGACCTGCTCAGAACAAACGCGGTCTCGTGTCAGTCTTCTCTTCTCAGGAGATCAAAGCCTCTCGGAAGCTGGCGAACCACAACTTTCGCACGCTGATCAAGGAGACAAGATTGAAGACGCGATGCGGCGGCGCGATGCGGCACGAAGACGGTGCTGATGGTTGTTTCATGTTGTTTCATCCAGAAAAGATTGTGCGTTTCTGGCATTTTCTGAGTTGATCTTCCTGTATTACCAACCCTTGCAGATTTGGAAGAGCTTGGAAGATGGTTCGTGCTCAGGAGTAAGTATGATTTGTTCGCAACGTGTATTTCGCTTTCAGACAATCTTGTTTCAGAGACTCTACTTGAGATTCGAGTCAAGCGTTTTGGCTTCTTTGCTCGTCCATAGTTCTAGAGTCTATAGAGTCTAGAGCACGAGGTGAGGCTGGGTTCCCCATGAATCTTGCTCCTCGATTTCGAGTGGTTGATTTTTACAGCTCCCACATCACAACGATGAAGCTCAAGAATGCTGAGCCCGCAGCCTGCAAAACTTGTTCAATATTCATGGGGAACCCAGCCTCACCTCGTGCTCTAGACTCTATAGACTCTAGAACTGTGGACGAGCAAAGAAGCCAAAACGCTTGACAGAAGGGAGAACGAACCACTTGACAGCTGGTCTCGAATCTCAAGTAGAGTCCCTGAAACTAAGAGTAACTAAGAAGCTACTAGGAACAAGGGGCATTTCTACGAACGGAGCAAGGACACTTCGTTTCGTTTCTGGGGCGCTCCTGGCATGACCCTACTAACAAGAAACACCAGGGAACGTCCGAAACCAGATCTTTGCTTCGTCTCTGACCGAGCCGTGCTTTTCGAACTGAGCTTTTTGGTTCTTTGCTTCGTCTCTCAAGGGCTTTTGGAACCCGAGCCGTGCTCTTCGCTTTCACCGCCTCACCGTTCGGCCCTTTGGAAGCACCCGGAACACGCAGGCGAAGCGGCGACGGACGTGTGCGGCGCTGTGTTGGGTTGGTACGGTGTCGCATCGGTTTTAAAGCACTATAGTGGTAGGTTTGGACATGTTTGGATGGGGGTTTTGGCCCTGTTCTTGTCGCGTTTTGGGATCAAACGTGATCAAACCTTTCAAAGGTTCCATCACAAGCCGTTCCCCGAGAATTCCCACGCTGTGGTTTTCACTGGCGAGATTCAGTCCCCTTTCTATCTACTGTCTAGCTTGGCTGTACCAAACAAATGGAGCTCGCAAAAAAGCGGGCCAGAGTCCAAAGGTCTCTCCGACCATCAGATACCATCTGACTTTTCGAAGTTTTGGCCTCTCCTGCTCATGGACCCTCCTAAGTAGGGTCCAGACCCTGAAGTCTGACTCAAATCCCGGTGATTTTTGGAGGGACCCAGTCGGACCGTGCGATGGCCGTGCTTTGGGAGCGGCCCAAAACGCCCGTGGCATCCGGTGAGTTGGTTCGGTGGTCTCCGCAGGAGCTGAGTCGCATTCAACAAGCCCTGAACCTGGACTTCGCCGTGGCATCGGAATCCGAAGACTCCGACGACGTGGACAGCGCAGGTCGGCGGAACGGCGTGAAGCGCGACGCGCCGGTCGAAGCGCGGTGACGGAACAGGGTCACGAAAGCAAGTGAAAACACCGGGGTGCAACGGAGGGCAGACTGTGTATTCGGAAGTACCATGAAGTATATATTGTATAATATATATTGTATTAAATATATAACTCTTATACACAGCTGTATTGTATCGTTTTAACAGGATCGGAATAGGATGTTTTAACCAACTCGTCGGGTGCTTTTTCATGCTCCGACGAGTTCACAATTGATTTCTGCGTTCTTGAGAATGACCTTGTGCAATGAGCACTAGTAGACCAAATGAAAGAATTCCAATTAATCAATGACTGATGGCTTTTTAGTAAATAAAAGAGAATGCTCTTAAACTGTTCGTCCACAAAGTGGACACAGTTTCAGCGTCACATCCGATCATGCACATGATCTCCAAAGAAAACGTCGCGTCATCTGCTCGCCTGCGGATCGGCAGCTTGCAGACCTGGTCTAGACCTAGCTGTCAGACCGAAAAACATGGCCGATGCCCCATGTTTCGCTCGACGGATCCCCCAGAACCTTTTCGGGTATACGGGGCGTATCCAACCCCCTCCCCTGGACCATCCAAGGAACGGAACAAAAAGGCGATCATGACCCTATAAAGTAGGTGCTTATCCATTTTGTGAGGTACTTGGAGGGTCCAGGCTTATCCTTTGTTCGTGTATTTCTCAACCAATTTTGCCGGTCCAATCCATGGGGGGTGCCTTAAGACATATTCCAGGGTATACCCTTACCTGTTGGATTGTTGTTGGACTATTTTTATATGCGATACCCCCCCCCTTCAGCTGCTTCTGGAATATGTTTATGAGAGATCGTGAATATGATGGAATCGTTGGCGATGATCAAAAAGTAGGTGAGGATACCCTTGGGATAATATATATAGCCAAAGGTATACCCCGGAATATTTAATTAAGGAGATTCTAAGTTTGGTCAGACTTTTTTGACACAATTTAAACAAAAAGGTTTCTTCAGTATTGAATGCCTAGATATGCCAAGGTTGTTGTGTTTTTGACCCTGGGGCTCTCAGATAGCCAAATATTCCAGAAGTACCTCAGGAATCCCATACCACTGAAGTATTTCATAGACCATTGATTGCCTTATCTGGCTGCTAGGCATACATGGAATACTTGTTTGTTGGACGTTGAAGTATCCTGGAATATTTGTTACAGACATATATTTCAGGACGTTTAACCCCCCCCCGGAATAACTGTTGCTGTGAAGCCCCAACCCAAATATTTAAAACAAATCCTGCAGGTATCCACAGTATAGGGTACGTATCTAACCCCCCATTCCAATCCTATGTCATGTTGATTTTTGTACGTTTATAAATATAGTATTACTGTATGTATATAAACCGGACCATTCTGTCTGGGTATCCCTTAAACTCCCCTAGACTGCTCATTAGACATCCATTTGGATGGTACATGTGTGCATGTGTTTGATGCATATTTCAGGTGGAACCGCCTCGGTGCACGTGACGGTGCGCAAGGCGGGAAGCGGATGGAAGCGGGGAAGCCAGCAGTCGGCGAAGTCGTCGGCGAAGCGGCGAAGCCGTTCGGGTCTGGAAATGCTCGGGGGTGGCTCCAGGCTCCGGGTTTTCATCAACTGAATCTGGATTTGAGAATGGATTTCCTGCACCTTCCCTTCGCCAACATCCTTCATCCGTCTTCCTGCCGATGTCCTCCTCCACCAGGAAGACCCAAAAGCGCTTCATCACTCGAAACCCTGATAGCAAGCAACTGTTTCTTCATTCTAATAGACATCCGGATGGTATACATCAAGCATCAAGCTGCGCTTGACCTGTTCTTCGACCTGTTCTCTTGACGAAAGCATTGGCCCGTTGGTTTGCCCAGACAACACTGGATGGCCGGCTGGCCGCCCGGTGGCCGGGCGCTTCCGCGCCGTGCATCGATCCTGCGGGGTGTCACGTGAGCTCCTGGGAGGTGATGAAGAAGAACCATGCAGCACCCCGAAATACATTCACATATACCCTGGGAGTCAAAGACTATAAAAAGACTGGGCTGACGAACGGGGACCTGATTTCGGGAACTTCCTTTACTTCAGCTGGTCAAAATATAGTCTTTGGACTTCCAGGGATTGATGATCATATTTGGGTCAGGAGTCACAGAAAAATGAAGACCCTCCCTCGTCTAAGATGACCTGCTCGGATATTGGCAGACCTTCTTAGTGCCCTTTTCACCAGAACTCACTCCCACCTGGTAAGCCTTAGAGAAGTGGTTTTGTGAAAGTGACGACTGCCTGGAAAACCCCAGCACCCAGAAACAAGCGGTTGTTCCAATATGGCAAGAAATCCTTTACACAGGAAATGGATGGGACTGGGGAGTTCCCTCCATTTCTGGTTGGGACTGGCGAAACCCCAGGTGTTTGGTCGAACATGAAGAAACCCATGCGGCGAACGGTCGAACGGTTAAACCAGCTCGAACCCGTCGCATCATCACGTCACTGGAGCGGGTGACCCTGATGAAAGACAGAATCATCCTGAACTCCAACTGGCCGAAGTGAAGGAATTCCAGGAACCAGAAGCCTCCAGACCCGCCAGGCTTCCACCGTGGCGGTGGCCGTCCCGCTGGAGCCCTTCTCGCCCTCGTCCTCCACGGCGGTGTCCGTCGCGGCCGCCGCGGCCTCGGCGCCGCTGCCGCTGTCGCCGGACCCGGCGGCAGAGCGGGCGGCCTCGGCGCCCATGTCGGAGCGCAGCAGGCGGAGCGAGGGGTGGAGCGGTGAAGGTGACCTGCAAAACGACATGACCCGAGGAGCCGGATATGTAGTAAGATTTTACATTATAGTCCAGTATAGTTGTTTTGTGTTTGACTCGAAGCCAGTTGGTCACGGTCAAGCCTTTGCATATCAAGCTTGCACACTTCCGCTATCCATAGCTTAGCTTAGCAGGGATGCCACTCGCTGTTGCCATTGGCCTTTTGACTTCCTGGCGCAGAAGGTCCATTCGCTTGCCTGGAGACGAGCCAGAGGCCGGCGAAGCGTTTGGGGGTGGAATACAGGTGGGGTTCAAGTAAGGAACATCCATGGTGTTCGTCATCGTCGTCATCCTAATGAAATTGCATGAGGTGGTTTCTCACTGGATTCAATAAGTTTCTACCAAGGGGTTCTCCAAGGTTTCTGAGTTTTCTAGCAGTTTCCATGTTTGTTGACTGAGGGTCATCCGGGTAGCTGACGTCGTAGGATGGTGACAGGAAGCAGGTTCGGGCCCAGGCGGGGGGTGCTCTGGGACCTTACTCTCCTCTTCAACAAACATGTATAAGACATTCTAAGACCGCTGTATACTAGCGATGGCCTCCAACCAAGCAGCTTGCCTCCACCCTAGGTGCGCGAACGAAAGGACACTCGGACATCGAACCTTACGATGTTCCTCGACTCCAAACACACCATGTACCACTTCCCATGTTCGCTCCTGATGTTCTGCCCCCCCCCCACCGGTGCACCGGTGCACTCCCGGTGCACCCGAAACCTGCAGGGCAACTCCCGGCGGCCCAGCCGGGCCAACAGCCGCGACCGCGATCCAGCAAGCGAAGCGCCACGAGGTGGGGGCAGTAGAAGGAGCAGCAGCAGCCCAGCTGGTCCTATGTAATCCAGGAAAAAGAACATAGATAAGCTGCAAAATCATTTGGGGGGGGTCATAGGGGGAACCCCACTCAACAAGAAGCAACAAGAACTGGTGGAAATCGATGGAACATCGTTATACCATATGTGATAGAGCGACGTCAAGATTTCCCGTATAGAATGGGTGACCTCAAGGCCCATTATAACACAGTGTGTGTGTGTGTGTTGCTTTTTTATTTTTTTTAATAAGAAAATATCACTGAGGGAGTCAGAACACTGACTATAACAATGTAACAGTTACTGTAATAGGCCCATATAACAGTTATAATGTTGTGTTATTTTCCAGACAAACTGAGGGAGTCAGAACCAATTTGAGCCAAAGCACCTTTTTCTCAAGTGGTTCTGAACGGTGTGATGCAACTGGATTTGGACACAGTTGCTTTCCAAGGCATCTACAGAATTCTACAGCAGTAACATCAGTCTATAAATGTGTATGATTTACATCTTTGGAAGGAAATGACCACCAACCAGTGTGTCGAACGCATTCACCCGAGCTATGATGCAAGGCTTCTTGAAAGGATGTTATATAGGTGGGATGTTATATAGTTTGGAACTCCAAATGCAGGTCACCTGTGTGTTTTGCAGCAGATTGACACATACCAGCATCACCCTACGAGGGTGGTGAAAACAGACCCCCACTGCATAGTACGTCGCATGTGTGTTGCCATCCCAAAACCATCCAAATTGCCTTGTGTTTCCAAGGAGTCACCGGTCGAGTCACCGGTCGCGATGTGGGTGTTGTAGACCTCGTCCCATCCAGTGGATGTTCGGATGTTCTGACCCCGACTTCCTTCCGTTCGGAACCGGCACCCGCGGCTTGGTACGACTCCTGGTTGGTTTGTTTCGTCCCGTCTGGTGGCTGGCGCATGCTGGCGCGCTCCGGTCATTTCTTTGGACGAGCCGAAAGGACTTGCTTTTGAGCAGGTTTTTGGTGGGACACCGACCCACATCCTAGAGATGTTCGAAGGTAGGACTCTAGGAACGCTCGATGATTCCTGGTGCAGAATCTCGCAGATGATGAGTGCTAATGTGGGCGAGAACTGGAGAGTAATGACGGGTAGTGGTAGTGGGCAAGAACCAGGACTTGGTGGATGGCCAGTTCGAGAAAGTTTACCCAGGCTTACTGTATGTATTTCGGTGTATTTGGGATATCTGACACTGGTGAAAAGGATCTTGGTGGATGGCATGTTGTTCCTTCTCGGTTGCTGCAGTACTCCTTTACGAACGGTGAGGCGTCCTGCATTTACCTTGAGGACGTTGTAGAGTTGTAGAATCTGTGGGTATACCTTCAATGTGCAGCATGTGTTTAGGATTTGTGTCAATTGGATGTGTGTTGGTCGTCAACTTGAATCAATATACTGTATATGATATCGACTTGGAGGCTGGAGAGGAGCTCTGCGTGATGAATAGATGCGTCCGATGGGGCCGCCGGCATTCCTTTCCCGGGAGGGTTCCTGCGCGCCAGCCGGCCGAGCCGTTTGCGCGCCAGACGCCCTCACGAAGCGTTTCAAGCGCGTCCGGGAGTTTTGGACTCAGACGCAAGTGGAGCTGGAAGAACGAGGAGCACAGACGGAGCCCATGAGGCGAGGGTACCCTCGGATGGGTTTCATGGGTGAACGGCTCAGACCTGGGGCCGTGTGGCCCTGGAAGTGGTTAAGGGTGTGGCCCCGAAGAGAGTAAACATGTGAAGGGTGAAGAGGTTTGAGATGGCTTGATGATATTGAGTATTACATCCGATTACATCCCACCAATATTCAGCCCCTTGGGTACTGATAGCTCTATGATACATATATTGATACATCTCAGCCCGGTCGAACTCTAGGCGAAGGGGAATATGTCTTGGATTCGCAGAAGTGTTGCCATCGGTTTCCACCGCTTTGGGAGCCGCTGAACTTGCTCGGTGGCCTCGCCTACCCCCCCCCACCCTTGAACCACCTGAAGCATCCTTTGTAACACTTATTTCTGGCGAACCATGGTTTGGAGCACTTATTTGAAGTTTGAGCGTTAATTGAGGGTATGCACACTTTTCAGGACATATGAGCGCTTTTTGGTGTTGTAAATTCTAAAGCCTACTGGTTCCTGACCAGTGTCCTTATCAACCCTTGTGGGACTTTGGGGGCCCTATGGACCGGGTGGAAACCAGTGGAAATCCTATATTATGACCTCTCCTAGTATGTGCAATTGAAAGCACAAAGGTTTGGTTCTAACCTTCTGGGCGTGCTTTACAACACTTTTTCCAAGAAGGGTGCCCGCAACTTGGGCGCGAATTCCCGCAACCCGGGCGCAATTTGTAAAAAGTGGCGGATTGTTTGTTTTTTTTTTAAATGTTTTTTTACTTAATATCTTTTATGTTGATTCTGAAGATCAAAGAAAGGGGTTGCTGGCTGCCGCTTCGTAGTGTGTGAGCGTGTGTTGTGTGTGCATGGGATGGGTGCCAGCATGTGGCAGGGGAATGGACTTGAAGACCACATAAGGTGGAATGAAGCTACATCTGACTTTCCAGTGGTACTTGTACGCTTTTTCAAGGCATGAACGCTTTTTTTTGATGATGTGCAGTTGTTTTTTCTGTCACTTTTTTCTGCTACGACGGAGGGTTCAGGCAGGCGTGAAAAACACGCACCCGGCGGAACAGCGACCGTCGTCATCGTCGGTCTGAGCCCGGACCGTCTCTCAGCTCCAGGCCGGCGAAGAAGAAAGAGCGCCTCGGCCGGTGTGTCGGGCGGGGAGTGGCGGCCGGCGGCCGCGGCTCTGCTTCCTGGCGGCCGCGGCTCTGTCCCAGAGGGTTCCCAAGGTTCCCAGGAGTGGTGTTTGTTGTGACGGTGTGATTTGGCGGTGTTGATGCTGGCCGGTTCCTGGGTGAATCCCTTGAAACGATGTATGAAGATGTTCTAAGTTCCTGGACAGCAGACCTCCAACTCACTCGTCACAGACGCTGCCTTTGGAGGTGCATGGGCCACACACCTGCCATTTCCATTTTAAATATAAACTTATTGCGATCTTCTCTCAATCGATGTTTGCGCTGACCGTGTTTGATTTTGGGAGAGCCATCAAGCTTTTTGAGAAATGTTAAGAAAGAAAAGACGAAACTTAATACATATAACATATATATATATATATATAAGTAGTAAGATGATTGGGCTGCCTCAGATTGTAAAACACGCTATGTGTCTCAGGGCCGGCTTCGGCTCCTTGTTCGGCAAGAAGGAGAGGGCAACTGGTGGACACGGGTTTGAACATTGGGATGGCTTGGGTGCCTTTTCCTGCTGCTTTCAGGCCATGGAGAAGGTCAGGAACTCTGCCTTGCTAGACATTCAAACAGCCCAAGACACAATCGACCATCTTCGACCTTCGCAGGGGGAAACGGAAGGCGGCGTTGACCCGCCCTGAGGTCGGTCCGGACGGATCCAAACTCCACCCTTTCTCCAATGTTCTTTGGGTCCGGATTCTTTGCCAGGGAGGGATCGAGTTTTCTCAGCCCCCCAAGCCTTGTGCGAGTGTGGGACAGAGCGCTTCTGTGTGCTGGACGCACTGCGGGCAGGCTTGTCTTGGCCAAGAGCATGGCATTCTCTTGGGCGCACTTTGGGATAGCTGAGCCAGTTTGCACTCCAGGTATATGAACCAATGTCATAGAAACATCACAAAACCTATAGCTCAGATCCTTTAAACAAACATACACATGCATCCACATCGGTCTCTTCTCACTCCACGGCTTCGAACGACCGTTCTGAAGGACAAGACTCCCGCCAGTAGCCGGGGGCTCAACGTCAATGACTTGGACTCCATGAAAGCCCGAGCGCGAGACATGGCTGAAGCAGACCTAGTGATTCAGCCTGCAGCATGTAGACTCTTTAGGAATTGTTCAACTTATTTCAACCCCTGAATAATGAAGAGGTTTCACAATGGTGGGGGAGGCTATTCATCAAGAGTCTTCTTTATCTTCTACGTACATCCTTGTACCCTCTCAAAGCCACCACACTGGGAAGGAACATAAGGAACATGGATCCTCAGCATGCTCGACTGACGACTCTTGTGTAGACAAAGCTGACAGGGGGCTTTGACGTAGTCGCAGACTTGTGCAACTAACTATAGTCAAGTTGCCGACTCGTTTGTATAGATGGCGTACATGCCACATGGGCTGACAACATGAGTTTGCGCGATCTTATGTGTTGAGCACATTGGATGGGGCCCAGAACCTCCCAGTAAATGGTCATTGTGGATGGCGTAAGCAATCATCCTCTCCTTTGCAGAACGTAGAAAAGTGCATTGAGAGTAGATCGATGGCACAGACCCCAAGAGGTCGTTTATATGGACCCCCATCATTTGGGGTGAAACCTCAGGGGTCAATGTAGGTCGCCAGTCCCATGGCCGGCCAGCGGTTTGTTGGACACCTCGCTTGCTCGAAGCCCTCCAAGGAAAGGCCTTGATGCGCCCGCAACATGGCGGATCACTGGACGCTTCGTTGCTGTGGAGCGTTGGATGTTGCCAGCGTTTGCCAGCAACCTCCTAAGGAGGAAGGTCCCATAGTCTAGGCAGTTGGAATGCCAAGTGTCCGCATGCCTTGGCAAACCGATGCCACCCTCCTTCCTTACCAAGCCCCCGGAAAAAGTCTGCTATACCCTCCTTCCTCGGGCTTCATTTTTGACCTCTCAGCTTCGCCTTCTGCACCATTTGATGCTTCCCAATCACTGGATTTGCACTTCCTCCGTCGCTGCCCCGCCCCAACACCATCGACTCGGTCGACCGTGACCTACCGCCGTCGCGGTTCGCGGTTCGCGGTTCGCTTCGTGAGGCAATACGACGTGACCAACTTCTACAAGACCGAAGGGTGCTTCCAAGCCATTGCCCGGTGCGGGACCTTGGAGGGTTCCTAACCACCCGGAGACCACCCGGAGCCCACCCTGTCGGGTGGGTGGCTTGCAGATGGAAAAAACTGGTCTCCACATGTCTCCACCGTTCCGATGTACAAAGAGGAAGTCCGTTCCGGGTGTGAGTTGATGTGTTTTTGACCATGTTTTGACCCCAGCTCGGCGTTGGGAGGTCCGACTCCACGGCGTTCCGACCTCGAGGTCCAACCTTTTCGATCAGCTCACGGTGACGGTCGTGTGCCTCAACGCTGTGTGGATCGCCCCTCGGATGAAGACAAAGCTGCTGTGCTCGGCGGTCGGTGAGCAGAAACAGCTTGGTGGTGGGAGAAGGGGGGCTCACTTACTTGTAGTGGAGGTATGAAGATATCACTTTCATGACATATTATACATTGTAATATGGGTTTATCATCTTATATTACTACAAATTACAATAATTAATCATATATTACTATATTTTATATAAGTATAATGTGTTTTATCTCGATCTCTCTCTATACAGTATATAGTTATATACATAAATTCAATCTATTAATATTCCCTTTTGCATGGGTTCACTTTGTTTGAGTGCTCCTTCATGGAAGGAAACAACACACTACACCCCCGGGATTGCACGTGTTTATGCTGGCCCACAGCCAGGAGGTGTACTCAAAGCCCACTGGCAAATTCAGAAGAATTCTCGAGCTATGCGTGAGCCAAAGTTTCCTTATCGAGGCCATCGACACTGACAACAACACCGCCCTGTTCTTGACGCAGGCAAGGGGTTGTGGGAGCCATATCGAGCTATGACCATTAGTGGGAGGTTCTGCAAGGCAGAGTTGGCTATACGGTTTGATAGGTCTCTTTCAATGGCAATGCGGCAAACAATCATGGAGCAAGACATGGGAACGTGTTCAACAGATGTGCTCCGCATCGCCACATAGCGACCTTCTTCTCATCCTTGACATCACTCTGGAGCATCTGCCCGCAGAACACAGATTCCTTGGAGGCGACCATGTCTTGGTGCCGCGGATTCCCCGAGTGTAGAAGGGACTTTCCAACAGTACGGCTTTGATGGGGTTTTGTATGGTTTTCTTGTTATGTTATGTTTTGTTGTCCAGCTGGCGCCAGACACTGTAGATGTCTTTTTGCAATCCAAGCTTTCTAGGTTACTGGAAGATCTATTTGGTCACCAAACATGCACTAAAGATACTAACGTCACTTTGAAGTGGAAGATCAGGTGATGGAAGTGTTTCCATCTACAGTACCCTTGAATGGATTTAAGAACAGCTGTGGAGGGAACGCAAGAAAAAATCG